CTGACTGAGGGTGTGGTCGATGGAGGGGGAGGGGGGGGAGGCGGACGGACAATAAGAAGGGGAGAAGACACCATTCCATAATCGCCCTTCTAGAACCTTTCTGGACCGGCGACGAAGAGACACGGCGACGAAGCGACACGGCGACGAAGAGACACGGTGACGAAGCGACACGGCGACGAAGCGACACGGCGACGAAGAGACACGGCGACGAAGAGACACGGCGACTATAATATTCTTTTCGGAGTAGTTACAGGAGAAAGAGAGTTAGTTACAGGCTTTGGTAGAGTCGCAGAGCACTACTAATGGAAGGCGTACCGCGCAGACCAGCAGCAAAACGAGGACGCCCAGCGCGGCTGCCATGTGGACGGACCACGCGCGGCGCGTGCCCTTAAAGAGCTGACAGCTCATCATCGCTGTGCTGGGCTATACGTTGCGATGCGGGCGATGCGACTTTATGCGTCCCACGCCGGAACTACCGTCGAGTGTGCCGCCGTACGATCCGTCCTCGACTCCGTAACGCCGAGAACGCCGCTGCCGTAGACCGCCGATTGCGGTGGGGGCAGAAGCAAGCTTGGGATGGATCGGAACGCTACAACGCAGGGTGTTTCCGAGAATTCCCAAAAACACCCTGCCAGGTGCAAAACCATGGATGGATGGGAGCACAACAGCGCAAGGGAGAGCGGGTTGAAACGAGATCGTGTGGGTGGGGCTGCCAGCAGTGCTGGGAACTCTACTAGTAGAGGTGACAAATGCCTTCTCATTTTGGGTCTCATTTTCTCTCGCCTCTCGCCAGACGGCCTTCAGCTCCAAGCCGTGCATGCAAGCGCCTCAGTCGCGACTACTGTACGGAAGCTACAGCCGGGACGGCAGGGGGTGCGCGAGGGTGCTTGGTACTGTACTGTACTGTTCACGAATCGCCAACTTGGAGTCACGTCCACCTGTTAGGCAGCGAAGGGAAACATGGTTGGCCGGCAGAGAACGACATCACGCCAGGAGGATATATCTTGCATGTGCGGCATACATGAGCTAAGCGCGCACGAGCTGATGCCATCTCTGGCATGAGCTTATGGTTTTGCGTGTTTTCCTCGCGTGAGACTTGCAATGCGGGTTCACTTCGGCCGCAGAATTGAAGCAAGTGGAGGAAGGGGAGGGGAGGGTGGGGAGATGAAGGGACTAATTATTTATTTTTGGTGTGTACACACATGTGCGATGCGTCACAATGGAGCGAATTTGCATTTGTCCGAGAGGAGAGATGTGTGGTGGGTTGGATAGGTCAATTTGTACCGAGTCGCTGATTCCCCTCAAGTTCGAACCGCCAACACCACTGACATCTGCAGAGCGCGGCCGTTTCTGATCCTTTGATTGGTGCACAAACTGTGAATGAAAAAAGGTTGTCGTCACTTCGCTTGTTCACGACATGTCGTCTGACGCATGTCCGCAAACCCGTGTCAGTGTTCGGCAATTCTGTAACTGAGGGTGCTTCGATAGAAAGCAACGCCCGAAACACGAAACGCTGTACCAGCGTGATACTTGTAAAGCGACATATTCGAGTTCGATATTTTCGAGGATGTGCTTTACATAACCAGAACAAGGGAAACAAGAGAACATGGAGGGCCCATGGCATATGACATGTTTTTCTATAAGTGTTCCTCAAGCAAGTGAGATGCGCTTGTCATGAATGGGCAGGGGCTGCGGCTGCTGGGCCTCGTGAGGGTGCGACTCTCCCTTGTACACCTTCAGGTGGGTGAATAGACGGCGGCCCAACTGGTGTGGGAAGGGTAGGAGAGACAGTAGGTGAGAGACAAGAACGTATGCTCAATAATCAATACGCAGCAGGAGAGCGGGAGAGTTTGAGAATCACAAAATCACTGCAAGCATCAGCCATCACACTCCCAGCATCAGCCATCACACTGCCAGCATCGGCCATCACACTGCCAGCATCAGCCATCACACTGCCAGAATCAGCCATCACACTGACAGCATCAGCCATCACACTGCCAGCATCAGCCATCACACTGCCAGCATCAGCCACCACACTGCCAGCATCAGCCATCACACTGCTAGCATCAGCCATCACACTGCAAGCATCAACCATGGCTCTGTGTTCAACAGTCCCAGAACCTAATCCCTCCCCCGAGCAAGCAACTCCTCCTGCCGTTAGCCAGCATACCCCACCCAAGAACCCAACATGACCCTTGGGGCAGCATGCCCCGAACAGCATGCTCCACAATCTTGTCCAGAAGAAGCACCTGCAGCTGCTCCAACGCCTCAAAGCCACACTCCCCGCCATGTCCTCCCCCATCAACAACCCTCCATGTCTCACCCGCCCCTTGGGCAGCATGCCCCGCACGGCGTGCTCCACGATTCTCGGAATGCGCGCCTTCAGCTAGTCGAAGGCTCCCATCCCAATCCCATTTATTGCTTGACAACCCACAGACTCACTCAGCCCCCGTCCCCTTCCCCATGTCTCACCCGGCCCTTAGGCAGCATGCCCCGCACGGCGTGCTCGACGATGCGCTCCGGGATGCGCGCCTGCAGCTGGTCGAACGTCTCCTCCGTCATGCCGCCCGGCCGCCCCGAGTGCCGCCGGTAGATCTTCTGCGACCGCTTCTTACCCGTCACCGCCACCTTCTCCGCGTTCACCTGCGCGCATGGGGATGAGCAGGGGGAGGAGGAATGGGGGGGGGTATGGGTAACGGGAGAGGGGGAAACGCGGGGTCAAGGGACGGGGACGGGGAATCCGCACAAAGCCGCGGAGATGGTTGGAGATGGTGGACGCCAGGCCGCCAACTCGAGCTCTGAGGCGCGTCAAAATACATATTTCACGCATCTCACGCTCACCACGGTGACGTACGCGCCCATGTCGACAGAAGGGGTATGTGTCGGCTGGTCCTTGCCGCGGATGTGGTTGGCGATGGTGGACGCCTAGCGGCCCAGTCGTGGTGTTTCGATGCGCCTCTATACGCAGAATACAGAGGGGAGGGGCTCGCACTCACCACGATGACATAAGCGACCATGTCAACGGAAGGCGTGTATGTGGGCTGGTCCTTGCCGCGGATGTGGTTGGCAATGCTGGACGCCAGGCGGCCCAGACGCAGTCAGAGGTGCCTCACGACACACACCTTCCAGCAGTTTCACACTCACCACGATGACGTACGCGCCCATGTCAACCGACGGCGTGTACGTGGGCTGGTCCTTGCCGCGGATGTGGTTGGCGATGGTGGACGCCAGGCGGCCCAGGCGCTTGTCCGCCGCATCCACGATGAACCACGGCTTCTCCACGTTCAGGTGCTCCGCCTCCTTGGGGTAGTACGTGCGGTTCCACTCGTCCTGCTCGCGAGGGTTAAGAATGCGCGGGCATGGGGGTTGAAAGGGGAAGAGAGAGGAGGGATGAACCACGGCTTCGCCGCGTTCAGGTGCTCCGCCTCCTTCGGGTAGTACGTGCGGTTCCACTCGTCCTGCGAATGAGGGGAAAGAGAGGCTCATTGGGAAGGAGGAGGAGGACGAGGGGGAATGAACAACTGTGTCGCCGCGTTCAGGTGCCCCGCCTCCTTGGGATAGTACCTGCGGTTCCACTCGTCCTGTAAGAGTGAAAGGAAGGGGGAGGGATGCACGAGGAGGGAGGTTGAGGAGGAGGGGAGGGTGGGGGTGAGAAAAGGGGTGGCGATGCCTCGAGGGAGGGCAGGAAAGGGCGGAAGGAGTGGCGGGAGAGTCAAGTCAGTCAGGCAGGGACGGAGGGAAGGCATGTGTCTTGGCTACGTGCTGCGAGAACTGGAGCGGGTAGACGGGTGTCGCGGCCGCGACGAGGCTGATCACGAGACTGATCACTCTCTAGAACCTGTCGTCCACGACAAAACCCTGATTCGCAGTTGATACTAGCCGCTGGCAGCAGTCGACACAAGGTACGATGCCAGCGTTGCACTCACGAGGTTTAGCGCAGCGACTAGCAGTCCTCGAGAACAACTATGCGTGCCAATGCTTAGCGAAAACTACTGGAACGCTGGCCACAGTAGCCTGGTGAATCGCCTAAGGTACCTGAGGCGCCATTGCGATCGGATAACCTGATCAACTACATTGAGAACTAGCAGTGTCATAGCTACGCCAGAGGTCAATGGGAGCTTCTGAGTAACAAATCGATATTAGGGTAAGAACGCACTGTCCTCGATAAACCTCTTTTCTGCTTTCTCTGATACGCTATCACGATCCGCCTCCCGCTTTCGCTATCCTACGGCCGTACCGGTCCCTTGTTCTCGATGCCCTCGTACATCCACCGGTGCTCCGCGGGAATGAACCCCCCTTTCCCGGCGCATCTCACGGCGAGCCGGCCGGCGCCATTCTCGCTAGAGTGCGGCTTGGCAGCGGCGAGGCTGACCGCCTTGAGCTGTGAGCAGCAGCCGGTCAACGCGCTGCTGGAAAACGACAACCTCGAGGCGCCCTGCGCAGAGAGAGACGCGGTCGCCATGGCCCCAGCGACTAAGGGAAATGGCGGACTGTAGAATCGTCAGAGAAGAGACTCAGGAAAGGCAGTGGCGGTAAGAGGTGTGAGGGTGGTGAGGTGACGGGAAAGGCAGGGATAGAAACTGTTTAGGGTGGTGAGGGGGAATTCGCCTTGGGAATTGTTTGTTGATGATGTGGGGCTTTTGGTGAGGTGTGTGCTGACGTGGCTGGATCGAAGAGGATAGAACAACGAACGGCTGCGATTAGGAGGCGTGGCTCCTCCCCGTGATTTTGGTTTCTACGACTGCGATACAAGCATTTCAGTAGGATGTGTTCACTGCTGCTGAAATGTGTCATATGAAACATTCGTCCTTGCGAAGTAATCAAATCTATCAATCCCAAAGCACAGGCTATACAGCAAGATATATGTGAAAGGCGACTAACTGTACCTGCAATCGGTGCTGCTTAAACGGAGCAGCACTGTTTGATGGCTTGGCGGAAAATAATCGCCCCACCTGCTTTGGTGCAGCTTTGGTCAACACTCGCTACGACTGTGTAGCATTCCTCTCCCTCTATCCGCCCCATCACCATCAAGGGCATTTTGTGGACGTCTTTTCCACCATGTAAGCTATCACCGCATCCCGCTTACAAGCTCACTATCTCCCCCGCATAATCAATTGCGCCGCCTCAGAATCGAATCTCGCTGCCACGTCGCCGGACTAAGTGGCGAGCTTAAGTTTTTACGCGTCGGCGGAATGTCGAGTCGCGCGGCGGGCGGCGGCAAGCCCGGGCGGGAGAGCAAGGGCGAGAAGGGAAACAAGGAGCTCGCCGTAACAGCCGCCGCGTTAGACGCGGCGATGGAGACACCGCTTTTGGCGGAGGAGGAGGAGGACGAGCTGGAGATGGCCAAGGCGTGGAAGGCGGTGGAGGCGGTGCGCGTGAGTGTGGATCTGCCGGCGGCTGCGAAGCAGCTGATGACGCTGCTGCGGCGCGTCGACCAGCACGGGCGGCTGTACGCGGGGCAGGCGGTTAAAGACGCCATTAGGAGGTGCGACACGGTTGCCTCCAGAATGCGGATTTGAAGAGGTACTATAGCGAGGTGCCGAGACGCGCGATTCCTAACGGGACGTTTGGCGCGGTGTTTGCGCGGCAGAACCGGTGTGCCCGGAACGGAGGAGCGGGCGTGCAATCCGTGGTTGAGCGACAGAGCGGTGTTCGGCGTCGAGCGATGCGGAGCTCTGCTGGCTGCGGAGCTGGCGCGGCCTGACGCGTCATCGCCGGACGCGTCGTCGCCGGACTCGTCATCGCCGGACTCGTCATCTGCCCGTTGATACTTTCACCTTTGCGCCTCTTCACCGCATCCCCCCCTTTCCCCCCATCCAACCCTCCCCCTTCCCATCAGGTACGAGCAGTGCTGGCTGCGCATGGCGTACGGGCAACCAGACGACGTGATGCGCACGCTGCAGCCGCCGCTGGACGTGCAGTGGGTGTGGCTAGTGCACCGCCTCAACCCGGTATGGACATCAATGAGCTGTTAACGCGTATCGCCTATCCATTGGTAAATTGCTAGCCCCGTTTCCTCTGTGCACGTGCAGTGGGTGTGGCTCGTGCACCGCCTCATTCAACCGCGAATGCGCATGGGTTAAGTGAGGTGCTTGCTGCAAGATGGCTGGGTCCGCTCTAGTTTTTTCCAGCCATCTTGCAGCAAACATGTCATCTACAATCCCCCCCTTCTCCCTTTCCGCTGCTCCCACCCTCCCACCTCCTCCCTTCCCCGCTCCCTCTCCCCTGCCCCTCTCCTCACCCCACAGGAGGCCTATGCAGAGGACTGTGACACCATCCTCGGGCTCCCGCCTGCTGGACGGTGCTATATTCGACCCTGCTGGACTGACGACGGTGGGCAGTGACAGCACGAGGCATTATGCCACTCATGACCCCCTGCTCCCCCTCTTCCCCAACTTCCCAGGAGGCCTACGCGGAGGATTGTGACACCATCCTCGGTCGATTACTCGATGGTTCCATATTCGACCCCGACGATGACGACGTGGGCAGTGAGAGCGCACGGGGGGAGGCCGCAGCGGTGGCGGCGTGCCGGGCGCTGTGGGAGGAGCTGTTCCCGCTGGAGCCCTACGATGCCCCCGGCCCCACTGCTGCTGCTGCTGCTGCTGCTGCTGCGGATACTGGCAATGCTGATGCTGACGGTGGTGGTTCGGGTGAGGGTGTTGGGGAGGAGAGGGGTGAGGGGAGTGAAGCAAGAGAAGGAGAGGGTGCAACTACAGGGGATGCTGATGCTGTTGATGGGACGAGGCAGGGGAATGGAGCAACAGGAGCACCCGCACAATCATCACCAACAGCAGCAGCAGCAGCAGCAGCAGCAGCAGCAGCACCGGCGCCACAGTCATCACCAACAGCAACAAATGCAGCAGCAGCAGCAGTGGTGCCGCCCGCCCTCCCCCCATCCCTCCCCTCGGAGCTAAGTTATGACCTGGAGGCTGCTGTGGCGCGCCAGAGCAGCTTCTTCTTCCAAGTGAGAGAGAGCAAAATGGGGTGGGGGGTTGAGAGGGCGTGGGGGTGGGGGTGGGGATGGGGGTGGGTGAGCAGCTATGGGTGCTGAAGCAGCAATCCCTATAGCAACTGCAGCTATTGTGGTCGTTGCAGCGTTACTCCTTAATTTGCTCATCCCTCTTTTCCCCTGGCCTTCCATACCCATTCCCCCCCCAACCCGCACTCCTACTCCGCCTCTCCCCCACCCCGCCCATGGGTGCTGGAGCGGCAGTACCTGCAGGGGTCACTACAGCGCCACCACATGTTCCTGTATATAGTCATGCATCCCTCTGCCTCCCTCACCTACCAGGTTGACCGCCCATGGGTGCTGGAGCGGCAGTACCTGCAGGGGTCACTACAGCGCCACCACATGTTCCTGTATATAGTCATGCATCCCTCTGCCTCCCTCACCTACCAGGTTGACCGCCCATGGGTGCTGGAGCGGCAGTACCTGCAGGGGTCGCTGCATCGTTACCACATGTTCCTCACCCTTGTGATGCATCCTGGCAGGGTGATCCCGCTATAGTGGAGTCCGTGTGTAATGAGTCGATTTTTGAGTCGACTAAAAAATCGACTCATTACACACGGGTTTTGGGTCGACTAAAAAATCGACTCACTACGCATCCTGGCAGGATGATCCCGCTATAGTGGAGGCACTTTTTAAAAATTTGTGATGCATCTTTCTCCCCTCAATTCCCCTCCCCCTTCACTTCTCACCTGCCAGTGGACCCCCCATGGGTGCTGGAGCGGCAGGGGCATTGCAGCGCTACTGCTGCACCTGCTGATTTCTCCCCCCTTCACCATACTCCCGCCCCCCTCCCTCAACCTATCTCCCAGGTGGACCGCCCGTGGATGCTGGCGAGGCAGTACCTGCAGGGGTCGCTGCAGCGCTACCGCATGTTCCTCAACCTCGTCATGCTCAACCGCGGGGCGTTCCTCACGCCCACCTACGACATCGACCTGCTGTGGCACGCGCACATGGTAATAATGGGTGCCGGGCAGGCATGGCTTCTATCTGACATGGGGTATGGCATCAGTGTATGATGCTACGCTCCTCACGCCCACCTACGACATCGACCTGCTGTGGCACGCGCACATGGTATGGCATGGTAATTGTAGTCTGTTAGGGCGTTCGTTTGTTAGGTGCTATACACACACATGGTGACGGGTGGTGGGCATGGCATGGCGTCTGCTTGGCATGACAAGTGTGTATGGTGTAATGTTCCTCACGCCCACCTACCACATCGACCTGCTGTGGCACGTGCACATGGTATGGCATGGTGTGTGCACACATGGTATCCATGCACACACACATGGTATGGCGTTTGTGTATGGCACTGTGTTCCTCTCACGCACCTATGGCATTCACCTGCGCTGCCACACACTCATGGTATGGAAGGCACACCCGTGCTACACTTGTAGCATGGTCACTGCTATTATATAGGGCGACACTATGGTGTGTTATGGTATTACATATGACCTGCTCTGGCATATCAGCCCACGCTGTATCATATTTAACACCCATCCCCTCCCCCCTCCCTGTTTCCTTCACTCAGGTGTGCACAGTCGCGTACACCAAAGACACGGACTGGCTCCTGAACTGTCTTCTCGGCCACGACGACTTAGACGCCATGCCATTGGCAGCAGCCGCCGCGTCAAGCAGCAACATCATCAACTGCAACACACGCAAGCACCTCGATCTGTGACCCCTTCTACCCCTCCCCCCTCCTCCACCCCCACCCCCACCCCCCCCCCCCCTTTTTTGCCATCAGATGTGCACAGCAGCGTACACTAAGGACACCGACTGGCTGCTGAACCGGCTTCTAGGCCACGACGACTCAGACGCCATGCCGGTGGCAGCAGCAGCAGCCGCCGCCGCCTCAACCAGCAACACCATCGACAGCAACACGCGCAAGCGCCTCGAGTGGGCCTACCGAGCCACGGCGCAGCTCTGGGACCGAACCTACGGCTCCCCGTTCGACCGAGCCGGAGCCATGTTCCGAGGCCCGGCGCCCGTGCCTCTGAACCCCCCGCCGGTGGTGGCGCCGCGGCGAGTTTTGCCGCTGGAAGGGGGGGAAGGGGAGTTTACCATAGCCGAGCTGAATGCTGGGAGGGGGTTGGAGCCGAGAATGACAGTGGAGGTTGATTTTATGGTGTGGAGCCTGCTGAATTTCCATGCTACGAATCCTGAGAATTTGTTCTTGTTGATCCGGACGAAGCGCGCCGCCCATGATTTCTCGCTGCGCACGCGCTCGCTGCCCGCCCGCCCAGGCTGCCGCCCGCCAGCGTGGCGGCAGCGGTGGGCATTGGAGGCTGAGCTGGCAACAGCTGGACTCCATTTTGAGCTGAGAGCCGAGTCAGGGACTTTCTGGGGGGGCTGTGGGGGCCGCGGCTGGTTGGGAGTGGAGGGATTACCTGGGGGGAGGTGTTATCTCGCCCGGCTCTACTGGTGGATAGACAGGTGGTACTGGCGCCAGTAGATCTGCTCACTGCCGTGGGGATCAGGGGGGATGGGGACGAAGGGGCAGGGGGGACGGCAGGGGGAGGGGGAGGGGGAAATAAGGCTGCAGGAGGGTTGGGGGAAGGTTTGGATGGGTCGGGAGTAGGGGGAGGGGGGAGCGGGGGAGGGGGAAGCGGGGGAGGGGGAAGTGGGGGAGGGGGGGGGTGTTGGTGGTGAGTGGGGAGGGGGGCGGGCGAGTGAGTTGCCGCGGGTGCATGTGGCGGTGTCTCTGACACCCCCCACACCAGCGCCCTACCTCCTCAGAACAGTTTTTATGCGGGGCACGGACGACAATGGCTCCATGATCTGCGAAGAGATCGCCATACAGCGAGACTTCAAGCCACAGGTGAGGGGGGAGAGAAGATGTAGCCATAAGCCTTGGGCGAGCAGCAGATGTAGTTTTGAGTCGACTCAAAACGAAATTACTATCACACGGGCCATAAGACGAGACTTCTAAGCCTTGGGCGGGCCGCAGTTGAGGGGGTGACGGGGGAAGTAGATGAGATGTGAATAAAGCGCACGGGTAGTCGTTGGGAGAGTAGAGGTGGGTGACAGGGAAGATGCAGTCACCAGCGATAGTGACGCATCTCACCACACCTCACCACACCTCACCACGCCTCACCACGCCTCAGCACGCCTTACCACGCCTCACCACCACCAGCATTCGCAAGACCAATCATTGTCTTCTTTTTCTTCTCCCCCCCTCAGTACGGTCGGTGGGGCTCGTGCACGGTGTACAACCACGAGGACAAGGAGGTGTCTCCCTCTCATCCATCCTCGTCCCTTCCCTTCCTCTTCTCCCTCCCTCTCCGATTCCCCTTCTTCCCCCTCCCCCTCTCATTCCCTCCCCCTCTCATTCCCTCCCCCTCTCATTCCCTCCCCCTCTCATTCCCTTCTCCCTCTCACGAGGACAAGGAGGTGTCTCCGATTCCCCTTCTTCCCCCTCCCCGCCCCCCCCTGTAGTACGGGCGGTGGGGCTCGCGCACGGTGTACAACCACGAGGACAAGGAGGTCTTTGTCATCCGCAAGAGGTCAGTGCGCCCACCCAAAGCAGTGCGCCCACCCAAAGCAGTGCGCGCACCCAAAGCAGTGCGCCCACCTAAAGCAGTGCGCGCACCCAAAGCAGTGCGCCCACCCAAAGCAGTGCGCGCACCCAAAGCAGTGCGCGCATCCAAAGCAGTGCGCCCACCCAAAGCAGTGCGCGCACCCAAAGCAGTGCGCCCACCCAAAGCAGTGCGCCCACCCAAAGCAGTGCGCGCACCCAAAGCAGTGCGCCCACCCAAAGCAGTGCGCGCACCCAAAGCAGTGCGCCCACCCAAAGCAGTGCACGCACCCAAGCAGTGCGCGCACCCAAAGCAGTGCGCCCACCCAAAGCAGTGAGAGCAGCCAAAGCAGCCACAGCAGCGAAAGCAACAATCTCACATTCCCGATGCACTCAATGCACGCTGTGCAACCCTGCTTGGTGATTGCTTCTCGTGCGTTCAATCATGTCTCGCATGCTATCTGGCTGTGTGTGTCAAATGTGAATGCGTGGCAGGGTGGCCAAGGGCACGTGGCATGCTCGCTACCGACCAGTCCCCGTGGAGCCAAAGGAGAAAGTCATTCTGTTGCACCAGGTGGGTCATTCTGCTGCACCAGGTGGGTCATTCTGCTGCACCAGGTGGGTCATTCTGTTGCACCAGGTGGGTTATTCTGCTACACCAGGTGGATCATTCTGCTGCACCAGGTGGGTCATTCTGCTGCACCAGGTGGGTCGTTCTGCTGCACCAGGTGAAAAGCCAGTGCATCCTGTTGCCCTCGCCTCATTCCTGCTAACTCCCCCCCCTTTCCCCCCTCCCCCTCCCCCTCCCCCTCCCCTTCCCCTTCCCCTTCCCCTTCCCCTTCCCCTTCCCCTTCTTTCTCCCCCTCACCCTCCTCCTTCCCCTCCCCTCATAGGGTGGCTGGCGCTACATCGAGACCAATCCTGTCCCGCTGCCTGAGCCTTAGCCGCCGCACCTGCGGGTGGGGGCGGTTCGTGGGCCTGTGGTGGCACAGGCAGAAGCTATTTCTCAGTCGTTATCTCAGGCGGGGACATCTGTATTGTCTCTCTCCCTTTTCTCCCCCCACTCCCCCCCTCCCCTCCTCCCTCAGGGTGGGTGGCGCTATATTGAGACCGATCCTGTTCCATTACCCGAGCCTGAGCCCCCGCACCTGCGGGTGGGGGTGGTGCGGGGGCCCGTGGTGGCGCAGGCTGTGCCGCAGCCGTCGGATGACTATGATAGCATCCAACGGTTCTGCTTGCTCGACTGCCTTCCCAACGGTCGCACCGCCACTGTGACGATCGAGCGGCGGCGCGACTCGACTATCTTCGTGCAGGGGATCCAGCTGACGCTGGAGGAGGAGGGAAACAGCCGGGTGAGTTTATTTGGGTGGTTCTAGAGGCGACTCGAATGTCGCCCTGATGCGACTATCTTCGTGCAGGGGATACAGCTGACCCTGGAGGAGGAGGGGAACAGCCGGGTGAGTTTTCCGTGCTCCTTCTGGTGGCTCCACTCTTCTCAATGACCAATGCCGGCTCACTTCACATGCAGTTTTCCTAATGATGCCAGTCCTCCATTGCCTGTTGTTCCGAACTGTCTGCTCCCCACGTCCTTTCCTTCTGCTACAACCAGGTGCTCCTACTGCCCGGCCGCCAGCACAAGTACAAGGTGCCAGGAGCCCCCTCCGTCGAGGACCTCGGATTCGCCACTCTCATCCGCTTCCCCCCGGATGCCCCTCACGGGCGCGCCACAGCGCTGCTCAACTGGAAGGGCGCAGCAATGGAGGTGGCGCCAGACGAGTCTGTCCCCCTCGTGCTGCTGCTCTGCACGTGCCTCTCCGAAGCTATTAATGACATGGCAGGGATTAATCGTGTTAGGCGCTTCCGCCGCTTGCCATTGGCCGACCCCGACCCAGCCAATCACTGGGGCGCACTGAGCATCTCGAGGGATATGGCCAGCGGGGCGGCGGCGGCGGCTAAGAGTGGAGAGGAGGAGTTTTCGTTTTCGAGTGTGGAGATGAGTCGGCAGAAGTGGTGGAATCGGCGGCCGCTGCGGTTTGCCATAGGGGCTGGCAGCTGTGGGGCTGGGGCATGTGGCCCTAGCTGCACGGGCCCTGTTGATATCTTCAGTGGATGATAATAGTAGGGACAAGGTAAGGATGTCAGATTTCATGTGAATGTAAAATGTAGAACTAAAATGATAAATGAACGTTTTTTATATGATCTACACTAGATATGCCAAATGAATAAGGAATTACTCAAAGGAACTGTAATCGGTTTGCACGTTGAGATATATGATTCTGATGGAGATGGTCGAAGTCTACATGACGACCATACAGGTTTATCTAGTTATTTGGGTGTAACCATTCTTTACTAAGCTTTCCAAATTCATACAAAACCGGTTTTACACTTGCACACACAATCAAATCATCCCAAGCAAGAACCATTCTTCCTCTGAGAATGGTTGCTTCGAACAGCTAGGTAGTAAGGTACCCAAAAAGGCTGCTTAAACAACGGTGCCATCGGCGATGGTGGCATTCTTGAGCACCACTGTGATGCCCGAGCGGATGTAGAAGCCCTCCGTTGACCGATCCGCCTCGACCACATGCTGGCCGAGGGGAAACACGCACATGGACACACGTGTCGAACACATGGAGGCATGCCCAGGGTTGAAGAAGCATTCAACGCACCTTGATCGCAAGGAGAATGAGGGCCAACTAGACAGTTGGGGTTTGGGTTTGGGTAAGAACGACAGAAGGAGAATGACAGGAGATAAGAGATGCATGTTGCAGGGCCGCAGGGGAGGGGAGGGAGGGAAGGGTGGGGGACTCACGTCCTTGTTCTCGAGGATGACGTTCTGTCCAATGCGTGCGTTCTTGTCCACAATGGCATTGCTGCAGTCATAGGGCACATAAGGACATACATCAGAGGACATATATCAGAGGACAAACATCAGAGGACATACATCAGGACATACATCAGATGGTGCACATCAACGTTGCACGTCTCCCTTCCTACCAGCACCACCATTTTCAGCGCATCCTCCATTTCCATTTACCTAGCTCCGCTCCCACCATTCTGCTCCTCAGAATCAGAGTCCCACGCAACCCCACTTCAGCACCCTCACCCTCTTTCCACTTGAAGACTCAATCATGATCTCACCTGATTATCGAGTTTGCGCCAATGCCCACGGGCACCTTGCCCGCGGCGAGCAGCGCTGCCCTCTCCGCATCGGTCTCGTAGAAGTCAGCTCCCACCACCATGGTGTCCTGGGGAGAGGTTAGGGGAGGAAACAACAGGTGAGAGTGTGAGAGTGAGTGTAGTGTCACGGGAGAAAGAGCCCTCTCTGCATCTGTCTCATAGAAGTCGGCTCCCACCACCAAGTTGTCCTAGTGAGTGGGGAGATATGCTTAGGGGTGAATGAGAGAGGGAGAGGGGAGATACACCTAGGGGTGCATGATAGAGGGAGTGTGTGTGGGTATGTGGGTGGAGAGATTGAACCCTGTCTGTATCTGTCCGTCTCATGCAAGTTGGCTCCCACCACCATCATGTCTGAGTGGAGGAGAGGTCCGGGGACAACGATGTGTGTGAAAGGGGTGGGAGAGAGATGTGGATTGAGAGGAACACAAGAGGGGGAATGGAGGAGGGCCATGGCATGCATAAACGTTGAAGGTTGAGGGGCGCATGGGAGACCATGGTATCTGCTTCAACACCGGAAGACAGTGCTTGCGTGGCAACCCATGAGCAGAGTGCACCTCGAACCCCATGCATGTAGCCTTCCCTTCCTCCCCATGCATGGGTTACTAAAAGCCTGCACATAAGCTCGTAAGTCAGGTGCCAGAAACTCCTAGCGCTCTGTTCTCGCTTTGAAAAAACTTCGGGAGCCTAGCCACCAACAACTCAGTACTCTCCATACACAGAAGTTTCACCCTCGCTGCTCTGTAGCACACCCAAGCGCCCATGCTGCTTCGTGCATCACAGTCACACAACAGTGTCTATCAAACCACCCTGCTCCCGTGCCTCATCTGTGTCCACAGCAGGCTCACCTTGAGGATGACGCCGTTCTCGAGTCTGGAACGGATGCCGACGATGCAGTGGTCCACAGTGCAGTCGCGCAGGAAGCACCCGTGCGAGATGATCGACCGCTTCACCTGCTCGCATTGCAATGCCGCCCACCCACGCGGCCACGCACCCACACCCACGCACCCGCCAATGGGAAGGGAAGGTCAAGAGGAAGTGAGGATCACGCTCTAGCAAACGAATGCAGGAAATGCGCAAGGTCCTGGCAACTGCAGCAGCCAGCATGGTAAGGACATGGCAATGCGGCAGGCGACGGGGAAAATACCTGGCAGCGCTCGATCTGCGTGGGAGGCAGGTAGCGCGGGGACGTGTAGATGGGCTTGGACGCGTCGTAGAACCTGAACTTGGCGTCCTGTGGGGAGGCAGGGGTCAGGGATTTTGGGTGGATAGAGAGGGGGGGGAGGGGGGAGTGAAAGCGTTAGCCTGCGTAGACTTGCTTGCTTAGACGCGTTTTAGAGACCGAACTTGGAGTCCAGGGGGAAGGTGAGGGTGAGGGGATGGGGTGGGGGGTGCGGGGGGGGGGGGGGGGGGGACGTTAGTAGAAGGGTTTGCTTGTGTAGACGTGCTTGCTTGCCCGCGGAAGCAGAGAGAGGAGAGCAAGGCAGTGTGGACAATGTAGGCAATGGATACACGGCGCTTGGACGTGTCAGGGAGCGGATAAGGGGGCGGTGTGGCGTGACGGGGAAGTCAGGGTGAGAGGGCGTACAGTGTCGGTGAGGTTAAGGTTGGCGTCGAAGAAGGACTTGATGGTCCCAATGTCCTCCCAGTACCCGCCGAACAGGTACGCCTGCAGCACGCACAGAAACCAGGGGCCAAGAGCGAGCGGCGAAGGGCAAGGGGGAAGGGCATGAAGGGAAGGGCACGAGGGGAAGGGCACGAGGGGAAGGGCACGAGGGGAAGGGCACGAGGGGAAGGGCACGAGGGGAAGGGCATGGAGCAATCAATGCGGACAGCATAGAGCCAGGGTGGTGGCGGGAATAGAGCATTCCCACAAATCGCAGCGACGAACACTCCAATGACACACCACCCACGAACGCAGACCTCGCCTCGTCACTCCCTACCCCCTAGAGAGAAGAGAGAGTATTCCAACACCAGCCCTAGACGCGGCACGGACCTGCACGTTGTACTCAGCAGCGGAGGCGGGGATGATCTCGCCGCCGAAGTCGTTGGACGTGGGGAAGCGCCACCTGCACGCGGAACGGCGGAACGGCGGCACATAGAAACACAGGGTGTTACTTGACATGACATTCGGAGCGTGTGCGCCAACGACAGACTAGCAGGGGAGCCGGAGGTGAGTACTACCACAGTAACGTGTCGGGGATACGTGAGGAGCAGGAGCAGAATGTTACCAGACGAGGCGTGGTTACCTGAGCAGCTTTACCTGAGCAGCTTGAGCAGGATGTCCTTCTTGAAGACGTAGATGCCCATGGATGCGATGTAGGGGAACTTGGCCGCCTCCTCCTTGGAAATGCCGAGGATCGACGTGTCCACCTCCTGGTACACGTGGCAGGAACGCAGGGACGTGGATTTGAATAACACGCCTCTAGACGATACGAATTCGGGTGGTAGCCATTCGCAGTGCATGCATACAAATGCCGTGTCTAAGCACGTGAAGCACCCTACATGCGAGTGGAAATAGCGGGCAAAAGGCCGAGGCAAACTGTTCTGGAGCTCACCATGGCCTTGAGGTCGGCGCCCTTGGGCTTCTCCGCGAAGCTGACGACGCGACCAGACTCGTCGATCTTCATCAGACCGAAGTCGGACGCGCGGCTGCGAGCAACGGCATGGTGCCACGCGTTAGGACACGTCAAAACACGTCAGGACGAAACGGACTGTAGCTGCGACTCATTACACAAGGCGATGCGGAACAATGTTCAGAATGGTGTGGCATGTAACGGAATGCGTTGGCCCCCCCACCTGTCGTCCATGGGCAGCACGGAGATGGTGATGTCGGCATTGGTGTCCTTGTGCTTCTGCAATCCGCACACATCGCAAGACACGCGTAAGTAACTTGCACAGCAGAAACATTCAAGCCGGGAAAGGAAGTGGGCACACATGGCGTCAGGATGGCCTGGCGGATTGCGTTACCTGGACGAAGTCCATGTAGTCCATGCGGTAGAGATGATCGCCGGACAGAATGACAACATCCTCCACGTGCTTGTTCTTCACATCCTGCAACATCAGACAGCCGCGCAGGATACACAGTATGAAGCGCTCGATAAGATGTACCAGGAAAGCCTCTATCTGACAGAAGATGCGCAGAAATCGTCCAGCGAACGGCGAGCGACAAGTGCATTTCACGCGCGACGGACGCACCTCGAACAGCCAGGAGAACTGCCTGACGGCGTCGGCAGTCCCTTGGAACCAGTTGGAGCCAGTCGCGGGAGTCTGGGTCGCCGCAAGAGCCTGAAGGAGACAAAGAAAAGGCGGGAATCCCATAGAAAGCGTCGCGTAAACATTTTTTCAAAAAGGACGGCCGATGAAAGCGAAGATCCAAGCGAGCACCCACGTCGACAATGCTCGACAAAAACGAGAATCCGCACGAATACGCACCTCGACGAATCCGTCGCCGAAGTTGACGCCGTTACCGAAGTTGTAGGTCCTGGCCAAGTGACGGTTGAGCGAGGCGGAGTTGAACTGCGTGAGAATGTACACCTTGTTGATGCCGCTGTTGATGCAGTTGCTCATCGGCACGTCGATCAAACGGTACGCGCCGCCGATAGGAACCTGACCACGGGAATAGTGCAATATATTTAGTCGACATTACATTAGCCGACGTCAGCCGACGTTAGGCGGCAGTTGCTGACATTCGACACAGAATCTGGCTGCATGGCTATGAGATGAACCCGATTTAACCACTGGTCCGACGCAGAAATCCGACGGCTACGATGCGTACCGCCGGCTTGGCGCGGGTCTTGGTGAGGGGGAAGAGGCGCGTGCCGGCACCTCCACCGAGAATCACCGCGACAACGGACTTCGGATCGGCGCGCTTTGTCCTCGCCTGCCAGGGGAGGAGACAACGTGAATTACGTCAGCTACCAATATTTTTTTCTGCGATCCGCTTTCTGGGAATCCTGGAAGAACTATAAGATAAGGCTACGGCCTGCTCTGCCCTTACCGCAGACTGCTGCGGCGCGGCTTCCGCGAGAACGGCGGAAACGGCGGCCTTCTTGGCGGCGCGCACCGCGACCTTCTTAGACTCGCATCTCAAGGCCTTGCCTTTCAGCCCCGACTGCGCAAAGCCCGCAACTTTCTCGCCGGAGAAAGCCTTCCGGGATGCGGCATCGCTGGACGCTGCAGACACGGCTGCAGGGACCGACAGACTTCGGACGGCGGTGGCAGCCATTTTGGGTTAGCTAGCACTCTCGGATGTGCAAAGATGTGCTAAAATTCCGAGTTTCCTAGCTGCAAGTGCTTCTTGTCGCTCCTGGAGAGACAAGACACCAGAACTGCTTCAAGGACAGCTTCTAGCAGTAGAACCTGTTCTGACAATGTTCTACCTCTACAGTTCAACAGTGGGGGAATTCCTGGCACTCTGGCTTATCTTCCAAAGACCTAGTGGATGAGAATGCACCCTGGCAGGTGGTCCCTCATCCATGGCGGAAAATTGCCAGCGTGGCATGCCGCTGTGCTGGCGACGGTCGTCCGCCCACTCGCCAACCGCTCAGTGCCAAACAAAGTGCCTCGAGATTTCCTTGTTTCGCCAAGCGGAGAGTCGCCCACCAGGGATCTCCCGGCGGATCTGTCGCTGTTACATGGGATGAGGCCACGTGGCAAAGGGTGTGGTCATGTGGGGTCATGGGCGCACGCACAGCCCCTTTGCTTCTCCGCCGCTGGTTTGAGGAATCAAAATATATTCCTGCGCGAGTACAGAGAAATTCCATTTCAGTAAGGAATAGAACACCAGAACTCACAATACATTCACAATAAATTGTGCACTCTTGAATTGCACTGTTTCATAGTGTTAGAGAGATCACTCACTATCTAGAGGAACAGAGTAGTGTTCGTTATTGTAGCCATTATTGTTACCCTTGCATGTCCCTTCCTGCCTCTCTCCATTTCTTGAAAGCCCACTTCTGAAGACATTGGTTAATCAAAGGATACAAGCAGGCAACAAACATAACCGAACCTATCACAACAATAGCTACAACAAGACCCAAAAGCATGACCCTGCGAAAAATAGCAAGAGAACCCAGCCCATGAAGAAACACCTGATAGCAGCAAGAGAAGCAGAAGCAGGTAGCGGCTGAAGCAGAGGCAGCTGAAGGAACTAACACCCTGCAGCTCCTTTTCCATGAGTGACGATCCTTGGGATCTCACTAAGTGCAAGCAGTGTTCATATAGGAGCGGACAGGTCAAGGGGATGTCGACCTGTACCGTTGGGTCACATGAAGGGCTGACACTGCCCCCAAGGGCTATCACAGCCCCTGCCACGATTGTGTGAGTTCATTGAAGCAAAGGGTGTCACCGGCCCACATACTGGTGGCTCTGACCCACACCTCACCAACCCACTCCTCCTCGTCACAACCACCAGTGATGGCCATCACATCACATCTCCTTCCATTTCACATCTCCCACCATTTACATCTCCCACCATCTCACATCTCCCACCATCTCGTACCTTCCACCATCTCACACTTCCCACCATCTCACACTTCCCACCATCTCACACTTCCCACCATCTCACACCTCCCACCATCTCACACTTCCTGCCATCTCACACCTCCCACCATCTCACACCTCCCACCATCTGTGCTGTGCAGTGGGCCGTCAGCACCCCTGCTTCACCAGCATTTCACTTCACTCCACCACCACCCACACCCACCACCACCACCACCCACCACCACCCACCACCACCCACCACCACCCACCACCACCCACCACCACCCACCACCCACCACCCACCACCACCACCCACCACCACCACCCACCACCACCACCCACCACCCACCACCCACCACCCACCACCCACCACCCACCACCACCACTGCCAACGTTGGGTCTGAAACTCCCTCCCTTGCCTCACCTTGCTACTCGGGGTCTCAACCCCACTCTCTTGCCTCACATTGTAAATTCAGGCCTAAATTCCCCTCAGCTTGCCCCACCTTGTAACTTGGGGTCAGAAATCCCCTTGATAACCTCACCTTGCAACTGAAGGTCTGAAACCCCCTCGCTTGCCTCACCGTCTAGCTAAGGGTCTGAAACCTCCTCGCTTGCCCCACCTTGCAACTAGGGGTCTGAAACTCCCTCCCTTACCTCACTTTGTAACTTGGGTTCTGAAACCCCCTCCCTTGCCTCACTTTGTAACTTGGGCTCTGAAACCCCCTCGCTTGCCTCACCTTGCGACTTGGGCTCTGAAACCCCCTCGCTTGCCTCACCTTGCGACTTGGGGTCTGAAACACCCTCCTTGCCTCCATTAGTAAATTGGGATCTGAAACCCCCTCCCTTGCCTCACACTGAAACTTGGGGTCTGGAACACCCTCCTCCCTTCTCTCACAGGGAAGAGTTGATCCAACAAGCCTGCATGATAGGGCTTACTGCATCAGGCAACACGTGGGGCATCATCATTTGCCACCTATCATGTGGAGCACTAGGCTCAACCCTTTTCCTCCTCCCACACACCGTAGGGTTTCAGCCCCTCTCGCTTCCACTCACTCACAAATCTCGAGGGCGTTCCAACCTTCCATTTCTCAGCTCTGGCTCACCTTAACCTAGGGATTTCACTCCCCGAAACGAAAGGTGGGGTCAGAGGACAGGAGAAGGAAATGGAACGGAAAAAGAGGGGGTTGAAACCCTCAGGGCAACACAAGAGTAAGACAAGGGAGGGGGTTTGAAACTCCCAAGGGTAAGACGATTGAGAGGCAAGAGAAGGGGGTTAAAACCCCCAGGTTAAGGCGAACCAAAGGCAGAGGAGGGGGGGGTCCCTCTGCCCGTTGCTCGCCCTAACCTGGAAGTTTCAACCCCCCTCTCCCCCCTGCCTCTCTCCAGCCTTACCCTGTGGACTCCAGCCCCCCTCCCCTGCCGTGCTCTTGCATTACCACAGGGAATTCACTGCCCCCGCTTGCCCCTCCATCGACTTACCCTTGGGTCTCAGCACCCCTCCTCTCCCTCTCGCTCAACTTACTCTGGTAGTTGCAGCCACCCTCCATTGATGCTCATGCAACTTACTCGAAGCGCTTCAGCCCACCCTCTCCTTTCGAACTCCCTAGGGGGGTTGCAGATCCCCCTTTCTCCTCTGACTCGACTTACCGTGAGGGATTCAGGCCCCCACTCTTCTCTCCCTCTCGCTCAACTTACGCTGGTGTTTGCAGTCCCCTCCGTTGCCCTCAGTCAATTCACCCTGAGGGTGTCACGCCCCCTCTCTCCTCTCCCTCACACTCAAACTACTCTGGTCGTTGCAGCCTTCCTCCACTGGTGCTCGGGTCCCCTCCTCTCCAACTCACCTGGGGGGGGTGTCTCAACCCCTCTCTTCATTCCTCTCTCCCCTTCTCTCCTCTCCCTCACTCAACTTACCCTGGAGGTTTCAGGCCCCCCTTTCTCCTCACCTCCACACTCAACTTACTCTGCTGATAGCAGGCGCCCTTCGTTGCCTTTCAGTGTCAACTTTTCCCACTCCCTCACACTCAACTTACTCTGGTCGTTGCAGCCACCCCCCATTAGTGCTCAGGCAACTTACTCGAAGGGTGTCAGCCCCCTCCTGTCCAACTCACCTGGGGGGCCCCACAGGTTTTCAGGCCCCACTCTCCTCTCCCTCCCACTGAACTTACCCTGGGATTTTCATATCCCCTTTCTCCTCTCCCTCACACTCAACTTACTCTGGTCGTTGCAGTCCCCCTCGACGCCCTCAGTCCACTCTCCCTGGGGGTTTCAGGTCCCCTGTCCCATATCTCTCGCACTAAACTACCCAGGTCGTTGCAGGCCCTCTTATTTGCTTTGACATCTGTCAACTCACCCTGCAGGTTTCTGCCCCTCTCTCTCCACTCTCTCTCTCACACTAAACTTACTCTGGTCGTCGCAGCCTACCTCGTTTGCCAACAATCAACTCACCCTGGGGGGTTCAGGCCCCCCTCTCTCCTCTCTTACTCACTCAACTTCCACTGGTCGTCCCAGCCCTCCTCTCTGGCCCCTCAGTCAACTCACCCCAAGGGGTTTCATTCACCCGTTCCTCTCTCTCTCAAGCAACTTACCCTGGTCGCTACAGCCCTCCTCCTTGACTATCCAGTTGACTCACCCTTGAGGCTTCAAGCCCCTTCCTCTCCCTCTCACTCAACTTACCCTGGTCGTTGCAGCCCTCCTCCTTTGCTGTCCAGTTGACTCACCCTTGAGGCTTCAAGCCCCTTCCTCGCCCTCTCACTCAACTTACCCTGGCCATTGCAGCCCACCTCCTTTGTTGTCCAGTTGACTCACCCTTAAAAATTCAAGCCACTTCCTCTCCCTCTCACCCAACTTACCCTGGTCGTTGCAGCACCCAACTTCCCCCAACTCCCCCCTTCCCACCTTCCCTCCCCCTAGCACTAGGAGCAGCATGCAACCCACTCCCCTTCGGAAACAGCACAGCCGATGGCTGTGCCTTGCCAAGCAAGGAGTGGCAGTGGAAAGTGCACAGGCGGCCCAAGACTCAAATCCCGCCACATGATGCGTGGTAAGAGGGGACTCCCAACCAGAGCCGGCGCGCACGGCTCTGACCGGTTCCATTATACCTTAAACGCCAGTGTTGTTACCTGAGCACCGACTGCCGTGCCACACACTTTCCACAGACCACACCCGCCCAGCAAGGCAGAAACCACAGAGGGTACTGCCCCTTAGGGGAGTGAGCCGCATGCTGCTCCTATGCTGTACCCCCTTCCCCCCACCACCACCCTATCCCACCCCACCCCACCCCATCCCAAGCACCCGCTTACCTCCACCTACCATAGCCGAATGGAGCACCATGCTGCTTCAACCTGCTGAGGAGGAGGAAGGGGAATTAGATGACGGTGGGGATTGCACCCTCCTCTTTCCTCAAGGCGTGATGCTGCTGGGGGGAAGGGAATAGGGAGAGAGGAGGTGAGAGGGAGAGTGTGGCTCCATCCTCCTGTCGTTGCTCCGCTCTCCTGCTTTCGCTCCAAGGCTCCAGATCCAAGCGCTGTTGGAAGGAAGAAACAGGGGAGTGAGACGTGCATATCTGACCTGTTACCTTACCTCGGTCACTCACTCCTAATCCTAACCACCCAACCCAGCTGCTGCTTCTGCTTCTGCTGCTGCTTCTGCTGCTGCTGCTGTCAGCTTCTCAGCTTCCTCTGCTGCAGTCTTCAAACAATGCCAAGTAACCTGGTGGGGGCAGAAGGGGGAGGAAAGCAGAAAGCAAGTTAGTGCAGGGCTTTCAACAACCAGACAGCAAAAAGAGAGAAAGCGAAGACATACAAGGGCTGAAAGGACAGAGAAGGAACATAGTCTGCAGCAGTTGGAGGGGATGGTGGAAAGTGGCTTACCATAAGAGGCCGACCCCACCCACCCTGATACTCTCCCTCGTGGCAGCATTCCTCCCCGCCTTCCTGTGTCCATGCACCTGCATGGCCACAGGGGAGGGGCGTGGGGGAATGTCGGTGTTGACCCCCACGCCCCTCCCCTCAGCATGGAAGGGGGAAACTGTGGAGCAGTGAGTAGGCAGATAGGGGTAGAAGAGTGAGAGGTGTGTATGGGAGAGGTGGCAGGTGATAGCAGCAGAAGGACCACTGGAGCAGCACTAGGCACATGGTGCAGAACCAGGGGTAGTATGTATTAGGAGGGGGTTATCTAGTAAAGTCTCTCAGTATCAGGGGTAGGCTTAACCTGGGGGCTGGAGGAGGGGGGGGGTACCTGAAATAGGGGGGGTCTGCACCATGTGGACTAGGCTGCTGCAAGGGGTTTGGTTTTGGAAGAAGATGCATCCGACATGGATAGAATGAGCGTAAAAAAATCAGAAATTGGAAAGGCTTGGAAGATGCAACAGCAAGGAGAAGGCGTGTGTTTGTTACTTACTTGCTATGCCTGTTTGTGACGCTGGCGTGTTCAGCCATCCCCCCACTCCAGCGCCACAGCACAAGCACTGATGGGTACTGGAAGGGAGGGTGGTGTGGGGGGAGAAGGGGGAGAGGGAGAGGTAGTTAGTTCCAGAGGAGAGTGGTAGGCGGCCCCATGGAGATTGGGATGAGCAAGCAATACAGGAGGGAGAGGAAGAACAGAGGGAGCCACTGGTAGAGCCACAAGCACAAGCCACAGACCCCCAAGGGAACCTGGGGGGAGTGAACTTGCAGTAGGGGGGGAACCTGGGGGGGCTGTAAGGCTGAACCTGGGGGGTTACCTCCAGTAAAAGGGGGGGGAGGAGTGTGTGGCTTATGATGGAGCCCCGACCAGTGGCGGCAGTTTGATAGAGAAAGCATGGGAGGGGCACAAGATAAAAAAGAATCAATGATAAGACTAAAACGCATCAATAATGAGAGCAGTTAGCAGCATGAAACGCTCGGCCTAAGGAGGAAAAGTTACTTAGCTGGAAGTTGAAGCGCTGCTGAGAGTAATTGTCCGTCATCCCCTCCTCTCCTCTCCCCTCCCCTTCTGCTCCCTGCGACCAGAAGCTGCCAAAGTGCTGATGATACCGCTGCTGCTGCTGCTGGTAGGTGGTCGCTCTGCCTCCGCTTCAGCTCCTCCTGAGGAAGGGGGCTGGTTTTGAGGCGCCTCAAAACTGAAAGGGGGGTGGGGGAGGGGATGAGGGAAGGAGGGGAGGGGGGTGGTGGGGAGGAGGGGAGGGCAGAGGGGGGAACTTAGTGGAGGCGGCTGCAGGGAAAAACTTGGAGAGCAATAAAGCCAAATGACTTGCAAAAGAGTGAAACAGGGCAATGGGTGCTGGAATTTGGGGGTGACTTGAAGAAGATGGTTGGCGTGTGTGCACGGGGGTGGATATGGGGCACTGCTGCAGCAGCACAGGGCACAGGGCACCGACCAGGAGCAGGAGTGGCTGTAGGGTATCTAGTAAGGGTTGTAACGGCTTTACTTGAGGGGGGGGGGGGGGGTTGGTGGGGGCTGGTCTGTACCCTGTGCACTGTGCTGCAGTCAGTGTCGCATTTTGAAGGCAAGATGCATGCAATGGAGCGGGGTGCATGGTGAAGGGGGGGGTGCATGGGATGGCCGAGTGTGGCAAGCATGGGTGAAGGGGGGAAGGCGACACTCAACCTTCTGGGTGTGGAGCATTGACCCCTCCACGTGTCCATGTGTCCATGCAGTTCACCACGTGCCCACGTCTCTCTGCTACTGCCTGTCCCCTCCCACTTGCTGCTCCAGGGGGAACCCAGCCGTTCTGCCAAGAAGAGGGGGAGGAGGGGGAGGGGGAGAGAGGGGGAGGGTTGGAAGGGATTAATGAAAAGCTTGAGTCGATTGTCAAGGAGGAGAGCAAGGGATGGAGCGGGTTACAGAATAAGGCGAGAGCTTTGAACGAAGTTGGCAGCATACATACCTTCACTGCAGCCCCCAGTTGCAGCAGCTGCTGCTGGCGCCTCTGCTGCTGGCGCCTCTGCTGCTGGTGCCTCTGCTGCTGGTGCCTCTGCTGCTGCTGCATCTGCTGCAGCTGCCTCTGCTGCTGGTGCCTCTGCTGCTGGTGCCTCTGCTCCTGCTGGCCTCTGTCTTCGCGTCAGACGCTGCTGTGGATGGGGGAGGGAGGAGAGAGAGGAACGGGAAGGAGGAGAGGGGGAACTAAGTGGAGGCGGCTGCGGGGAAGAACTAGAGACAAAACTTGAGAAGCATTTAAGCTGACTGCCTTGCAAAAGCGTGAAACAGGGCAATGAGTGCTGGAATGGGGGGGTGATTTGAGGCAGACTGCTGCAGCAGCAGAGGGCAAAGGGCACAGACCAAGAGGTGGAGGGGCTGTGGGTTATCTGGTAAGGGCTCTAACGGCTTTACCTGGGGGGGGAGGGGAAACCTGGAGGGGGGGGGGAGAGGGGTGGTAGGGGCTGGTCTGTGCCCTGTGCACTGTGCTACAGTCAGTGTTGCATTTTGAAGGCGATATGCATGCAATGGGGCAGGGTACATGGGAGGCATGCATGGGTGAAGGGGGGAAGGCGACACTCAACCTTCTGGGTGTGGAGCATTGACCCCTCCATGTGTCCATGTGTCCACGTCTCTCTGCTGCCTGTCCCCTCCCCCTTGCTGCTGCTGCTGCATGCCTGCAAGGGGAACGCAGCCGTTCTGCCAAGAAGAGAGGGAAGAGGAGGAGCGGGGGGGGAGTGGGGTGGGTGGTGGGAGGGGTTGGAAGGGATTAGTGGAAACGTTTAGTTGATTGGCAAGGAGAAGAGCAAGGGATGGAGCGGGTTACAGAATAAGGAGAGAGCTTTGAGCGAAGTTGGCAGCATACATACCTCCACTGCAGCACCGGGTTGCAGTTGCTGCTTCTGGCGCCTCTGCTGCTGGTGCCTCTGCCCCTGCTGCCTCTGCCCCTGCTGCCACTGCCTCTTCCTCTGCCTCTGCCTCCGCCTCAGACCCTGCTGTGGAGGGGGGATGGAGGAGGGAGAGGAGGAGAAGTGCAAGGCAGAGAGGGGCAAGTAAGTGGAAGGGGCTGCAGGGCACGACTGGAGCAGCGAGGTGATTCAATGACAGAATCCGAAAATGCCAACAACAAAGCGACTTGCAAAAGCGCGACGACAAGTGACAGTGTGTGCTGGAACGAAGGGAAGGGGTACGAGGGGTTGGGGAATGTGAGTGGATAAGGGGCACTGCTGCAGCAATGTGTGCTGGAACGAAGGGGTACGAGGGGATGGGGATGTGGGTGCAGGTGGGTGGAAATGGGGCACTGCTGCAGCAGCAGCGGGCACAGGGCACCGACCAGAACGGGGAGGAGCTGTAGGGTATCTAGTAAGGGCTCTAAAGGCTTTACCTGGGGGAGGGGGGGGTAACTTGGAGGGGGGAGGGGGGTTGGATGGGGCTGGTCTGTGCCCAGTGTACTGTGCAGTCAGTGTTGCATTTTGAAGGGGATATGCATGCAATGGGGCGGGATGCTCGGTGGTGCGTGCAAGCACGAGTGCGAGCGAGTGCATGTGGAGTGTGCAGGGTTTAGGGGACACTTAGCCTTCGTAATGCTATTTTCACTCTAGCTTACGACTGCCCGTGATTCAACTTCCCGGTGCCTCGGCTGCACTTCGCGTCGACCTCGCTGCTGCCTCCAATGCTGCTGACTCGCCACTCTCCTCCACTTCAGTGCCTGCTGTGAAAGGGGGAGTGGAGGGGGGGGGGGGGGGGGGGGTAACAGGGGAAGGGGAAGGCAGAGGGGGGGAGCTAGGTGGTGGCGGCTGCAGGGCAGAACTAGAGACAAAACAGCATTAAAGCCGACTGACATTGCAAAGCGTGTAACAGGGCAATGCGTGCTGGAATGGGGGGGTGACTTGAGGAAGATGTTGCTGGCGTGTGTGCAGGTGGGTGGTTATGGGCCACTGCAGCAGCAGAGGGCACGGCACAGACCAGGAGGGGGAGGGGCTGTAGGGTCTCTAGTAAGGGCTCTAAAGGCTTTACCGGGAGGAAGGCGACACTCAACCTTTCGGGGGGGGGGTAACCTGGAGGGGGGGGGTTGGTAGGGGCTGGTCTGTGCCCTGCGCATAGTGCTGCAGTCAGTGCTGCATTTTGACGGTAAGAAGCATGCGATGGGGCGGGGTGCATGGCATGGCATGGTGGGTGCAACCATGGGTGAAGGGAGGAAGGCGACACTCAACCTTCTGGGTGTGGTGCATGGACCCGTCCATGAGTCCTCGTTCCTCCGCTGCTCGTCCCCTCCCCCCTGCACCTCCAGGGGCACAAAGCCGTTTTTCAAAGGAGAGTGGGAGGGTGGGTGAGGGGGGGAGCGGGAGGGGTTGGAAGGGATTAGTAGAAAACGTAGACTCAAATGGCAAGGAGGAGAGCAATAGAGCAGGTAGCAGCAAAAAGCGAGAGCTTTGGGGAAAGTTCGAAGCATACATACCTCCACTGCAGGCCCCAGTTGCAGTTGCTGCCGGTGGGTGTGCTGCTCCACCCCGCTGCTGCTGCCTCCGTCTCTGCCTCCGCTGCAGACCCTGCTGTAAACGGAGGGAGGGGAGGAGTAGTGGAAGGCAGAGAGGGGGAAGTGAATGGAGGTGGCTGCAGAGCAGGAATGGAGAAGCGAGGTGCTTTCAAGACAGACCCCGAAAATGCCTAAGTGAGGAGTGCTGGAATGGAGGGTTACGAGGGGGAGGGGGTGTGGGTGCCACGAGGTGGGTGGATATGGGATGGGGGCACTGTTACCGCAGCAGCAAAGGGCAAAGGGCACAGGGCACCGACCAGAAGGGGGTGCCTAGTAAGGGCTATACCTGGGGGGGGGGGGTAACCTGGGGGAGGGGGGGGGTCTGTTGGGCCTGGTCTGGGCCCTGTGCCCCACTGTGCTGCAGTCAGTGTTGCATTTTGAAGGTAAGATGCATGGAATGGGGCGGGATGCATGGTACGTGCAAGCACGAGTGCAAGTGCATGCAGGGCTTAGGGGGCACTTAGCCTTCGCAGTGCTGTGCTGTGCAGTAACCAGGCAGTCTCGGGTGCACTTTAAGCGGACCTCGCTGCTGCCTCCAACGCAGCTGAGCGCCACTCCCCCTCCGCTCCAGTCCCTGCTGTGGAAGGGGATGGAGGGGGAGGTGAGGGGAAGCGGAAGGCAGAGAGGAAGAAATGAGTAGTAGTGGCTGCAGGCAGAAGAGGATGTGCTAGACGGAAAATCAGATATCAGCGAATGCGGACAAAGAGCCATAGAAAGAGAGGGTTATTGGAGGGATGGTTGGGGTGTGCGATATGAAGCCACTGCTGCAGCAGCCACGAGCACAGGGCACAGACCAGGAAGGCGAGGGGCTGTAGGTCATCTAGTCAGGGCTCTAAAGGCTTCACCTGGGTGGGGGGGGGAGTGGGGGTAACCTGGGAGGGGGGGGGGGGGAAGGGGGGGCTGTCGGGGCTGGTCTGCGCCCTCTGCACTGTGCTGCAGTCAGTGTTGCATTTTGAAGGGGATATGCATGCAATGGGGCGGGATGCTCGGTGGTGCGTGCAAGCACCGAGTGCGAGTGCATGTGGAGTGTGCAGGTTTCAGGGGAATTTTAGCCCTCTTAATGCTGTGCAGCGACCAGCCAGTGCCTCGGCTGCACTTCATGTCGACCTCGCTGCTGCCTCCAATGCTGCTGACTCGCCACTCTCCTTCCACTTCAGTCCCTGCTGTGGGAAGGGAGGGGAGGAGGGGGGGTGGGGAAAGCAGAAGAGAGGAAATGAGCAATAGTGGCTGCAGGTAAAAGAAGATGCGCGAAAAGAAAATCAATCATAAAAATGAGCACACTGACTTGCACAGATGTGAAAGCGGACCACGAATTGTGGAATGAGAGGGTTATGAGGAGGAGGGATAGTTGGGGTGGGAGTGGTTGGGTGGATAAGGGCTACTGCTGCAGCAGCAGCAAGCACAGGGCACAGACCAGATGGGGGGGGGAAACGGCTCTGAAGGCTATACCTGGAGGAGGGGTGGGGGGGGGGGCTTACCTGGGGACTGTAGGGGCTGGTCTGCGCCCTGTGGCCTGTGCAGAGCTACCAGTGGCGCAATTTTAAAAGTCGAGATGCACGGAATGTGGCGGGTATGTATGGTGTGTGTGGGGTGGCATGTTCATGTGCAAGCAAATGTGGACGGTGCAGGGCTAAGAGGGCACTTAGCCTTCGACTCTCGCTGGAGACTCGGCTGGGGCCGCCGCTGCCAGCCACAATCACGTCGCTCAGCTCCGCCTGCCACCACCACAGACGTCCCCATTGGAGCTACCGCTGCTGTCGTGTTGATCAGCCAGGCAGTGTTGGACTCGTGGCGTGTGGGCCATGGAGCCAGCGCCAACCAACACGCACACAGGAAAGCACAAGGGTGGCTGTTAGTAACAGCGGGAGGAAACGAATGGACTCGATGTACGAATTGACAGACTCGATTACGCCGTGCGGCGCTATGACTCTCTAGGCTTACTCGCCCCCCCTCTTAACTTTCCCCACACAAACCTTCACGCCGCGGATCTGCTCTGCTGGGATGACGCTGGCCACTGCTGCCACTGTCCCTTGCAACTTCCTCTAGCCGTCGCTTGCTGCCGCCCTTGCCGCCATCACTGTTACTGTCATGGTCGTTTCGCCCACCACCGCCTGTCATCACCGCAGACGTCCCCACTGCAGCTTCCGCTGCTACAGTGTAAACCTGCCAGACTGTGTTGGACTCATGGCTTGTGGGCCATGGAACAGACAGACAACAGCAAACGCAGGCAAACAAAGGGCAGTAGTTAGTACTGGCGTCAGGGAATACGTGGACTCGAAGTGCAGAAACGAGAGACTCGATCTAGACGCCGCACGGCGCTAAGACTCTCTATTCCTGCTCGCCCCCCCTCGTAACTTTCCCCACACGAACCTCGAAAGTGGATGACGTCGAGTTGACAGTTGATGACGCTGAGTTGAAAGTTGATGACGCTGAGTTGAAAATTGATGACGCTGAGGACCAGCTGATGAAGTAGAACCTGCACAGAGCAAAGAAACAGTTTAGTGGACAGAAACGAGACGAAAATCGACAGCAAAAGAAAAAGAAGGGAGGAACGAATAAAACCCACCGGAACTGCTGTGGAACGGATGTAATTGAATCTTGACGGCGATGTGAAAATAGTCGAGGCAAGTCAAAAATCGCAGGTGAAATGACTCCGAACGGTGAAATAGTCAAGAAAACCTGCACATTGGCGAGGAAACAAAAGCTAGTCAGCAGAAGGTGGGTTGAAAATCCACGAATGACAAGTTGAGAAAATTAATGACGAACTTACCGAAACTCGCTGAACTGTAGATTGCAGACGAGTGAAGTGCCGCTTGGTGGATTTGACAGAAGACTAGCGGTGGTCTTGATGCAAATCGGCGATGACATTGAAGCAGATTTTGCGGCGATCTAGGTCCAGAGCGGAGCGCAGACGAACGAAACAAAAATTGAAGAGCTTTGCTGGCAGAAAGTAGGAGAATGAGCTCAGTCGGAGAGAAACTGGGTTGAAGACGAGCAGAACGAGCCCAGTTATAGAGAAACTGGGCCAAAAACGGCTGAGAAATCGACCAGAATGAGGCGAGGGGGTCTCGGATGAGACTCGCTCTCCCCTCGCAATGCACATGGGTCCTCACGAATAGGATCCGACGGTCTAAAAACACTCAAGTTTTAGAAGGGTTGGATCCATGTAGAATCCCAGCCGTTGGTCATAATATCCAATGTGTCACATGAATGTGTGGTTCAGGAGAGATGGAATCGTCTCGGTTCACGTGTTGCCACCGCCAAAAAACGCGGCTAACAACCAAAACGAGTCCGACGTGTCCCAAACAAGTACGTTATCGAAAGCGGGAATCCAGTTTTTTTACGAGCAGACGTTGGCTGTGAGTTTGGACCGTCGATCTGAAGGTTGTCACGCAAAACCAGCTTTCCGTCAGTTTGCGAAGAGGGTTCCGAATCGCACGAATTCGAACTGACTGCGGCGGCCAATGAGGGATCACCAAACCTAATCCGTGGAACCTAGCCGTTGGAAAATGAATGGTTCTCTCTCTGCTCCTGCTGACAAGAAAAGCTGATGCCACAACCCAAGACACCCGTTGGTGGGACTACCAGCCCAGTTCTGCGAATCCCTGTTGGCGACTGTCGCTGTGACGGTTCCATCAGACCTGGCGAGGGTGACGAATTTCTCTGTAACTTTCGTCGCGGAGTTCATGCGCTGAAACCTCAGGAACGGAGGGGTGTACCATGCTGGCTCTGCGAATTCAGGTAATCTGCGAAGCTGAGGATTTGCGAACTTGTCGTGGGAGTAAGTGTTACTGGCTGTCAGAGGACAGAAGGGCTGGTGGTGACTCTTCTGTGGGTGAGGCCAGGGGTTTTGTAATCGGTGAAGTTGGGTTTATATAGGGAAAGGAGGATTTACCTGTGGTTTTTAGCTTCATATCTGACATTACCTGCTTTTGCTGACAAGTCTTTGCAGTTCAGATCTAGCCTCTTTCCAACCTGACCCTGTATGAATCCAAGGGTCACATCAAGTTCAGTGCCTGGGGCAGAGGCTTGCCCTTGTGGGTGTCACTTCTTCCAATTGGAGGGATTCAATCTACGGCGTCATCTCAACAGTTCTGTCACGTGGCAATATCTTGGCATTTGCCAGCATTATCGTCCAATCACAAGGAAAAACTCTGCAAAAAGTTGTCAGTGGAGACCACGGTTGAGCTGCTTTTGGTGTTATCCACCGGGTGCTGCGTCAGCCGTAGCCACATCTGCTCCCCCCTGTCTGTACCTGGCTTGGCCAACAACTGCAGCGACAATTTCGCGCGCTCGCGTATTTCGTTAGCCTAGGGAACCGACATTTCGTGAGAATCGCGCAGGTTCGTCAACCCCCGAATTCCAAGGTCGCAACCAAACCAATCCCCAAGGTTGTGCTGTTGTGACCCCTCATGTTTCGGGAGAGGAAACCAGCTGGCTAGGGAGGAAAAAATAATACAACCAGAGGTTTGGGGGGAGGGAGGGAGTCTGGTAGGGTGGCAGGTGGCTGAAGGAGGGGTAACACAGAGACTTACAAGAAGGGATATTCCGTTGGATTACAGTCATCCTCAGTTTGATCTCGGTAGTCTCTTGGGCTTGATCACAGATTGTCCTGGCTTCCGCAATGGCCTCTGCTATCCTGGTCGTGACTCTGGTTGTTTGGTGCTGTCTGGCCAGCACGGCTCACGCAGATCTGGGTTACGCTCCTACGGACTTGGCCAACGAAGTCTCTCTGCAGGCCCTGTTCGAGCGATGGTCCGTGAAGCATGGCAAGGTTTTCGGTGTTGCTGAGAAGGAGTCTCGCTTTCGCACGTTCGTCGATAACTTGCACTTCGTGCACAACCTGAACTCGCAGGGCAAGAAGTTTACACTTGCTCTCAATGAGTTCGCTCATCTGTCACACGAGGAGTTCAAGTCGACGCGCCTGGGCTTCCGTAAGGACATGGATTCTCGCAGCGACAGACCTCTTCGCGGAAGCTTCATGCACGCTGACGTCAAGGCGCCGGAGGAAGTCGACTGGCGAAAGGAGGGAGCGGTGACTGAAGTGAAGAATCAGGGCCAATGCGGTAACGTCTCTAATCCTCTTGCCATGATGCCTCTCTCGTTTTTCTTCGATCTCTTGCGAAATTTCTCTTTACATCACGTGCTAATTAGCGGAATCTTGTATTTTGCAGGGAGTTGCTGGGCTTTCTCAACCACTGGAGCCGTTGAAGGCATTAACAAGATTGTGACTGGCGAGTTGATCTCGCTGTCGGAGCAGGAGCTGGTTGACTGCGACACGAAGAAGGATCAGGGATGCGGTGGTGGACTCATGGACTTCGCGTTCGAGTTCATCATTAAGAACGGCGGCCTTGACACGGAAGAGGATTATCCGTACGACGCAACCGCGCACAAGTGCAACAGGGAGAAGGTGAGTGTCCTTAATGAAAGAAATACCTCTACGGCTCGTATCACAACAAGGTACCATGAATTAACATATGAAGTGACATGGATCTATTGTTTGACGTACAGATGAACACCCACGTTGTCACGATCGACGACTACGAAGACGTTCCGTCCAACAGCGAGGCCGGCCTCAAGAAGGCTCTTGCTGTGCAGCCCGTTTCCGTCGCGATCGAGGCGGATCGCCGTGAATTCCAGTTCTATTCGGGTGTAAGTGGTGTATGATTGGTATCCTACTCTCTCGTGTAGCATTTCCCGTTCCCCACCAGAGCTCAATTGTCGTTTTCTGGCACATGCAGGGTATTTTCGATGGTGAGTGCGGCACAGATCTGGACCATGGCGTCCTGGCCGTCGGATACGGCACAGAGAACGGAACGGACTACTGGATTGTGAAGAACTCCTGGGGTCCTCGCTGGGGTGACCACGGCTTCATCAGGCTGGTCAGGAATGTCGCTGCTGAGGAGGGCCAGTGCGGTATCGCCATGCAGGTACAGATTCAGTCTTCGCCTGCTAGTTTGGATTGCACAATGGACTAATACGCCTGTATTCTGTACGAGATTTCTGGACCCTACGCTCATCTTCTGTGTGGCTTGTGTCCTGCAGGCGTCCTATCCCATCAAGAAGGGACCCAACCCTCCTCCCGGTCCTCATCCTCCTCCCACACCTCCTCCCTCGCCTGAGGTGTGTGACCGCAAGCACGAGTGCCCTCATGGCACCACCTGCTGCTGCGGACTGCCTCTTGGGAAGGTGTGCCTGTCGTGGGGATGCTGCCCCATGGAGCACGCCACCTGCTGTGACGACCATCACCACTGCTGCCCTCAGCAGTATCCCGTCTGCCGCACTGACATTGGCATCTGCACAATGGTAAGTTTGTCTGGGATTTTCTCCATCCCCACAGGCGCCTAGCCCCGTTGCCTTATCTTGTCTAACTCCTTTTCTTTGTATTGGTATGGTGATGTGCCAATCCATCGTGTGCTGCAGAGCCCCAATATGGAGTTTGGAGTGCCCCTGCTCACTCGCTCCAAGGCCCAGTTCCGCTGGCCGTTCCTCCGTGATGTGCTGGGGCGCAAGGCAGGACAGGAGGAGGAGAACGCCTCCTAGAAGGCTTGTTGCGGGCAAGGCGCTTCTAGGAAGCTGCCTGTCCTTAGTCGTTGGCATACTCCATCCCAACCCAACACTTGATTATGACTCTTTGGGGTCCCCATTGTCGAGGGTGTTGCTAGTAGATCATAACCACTTTCTGATACTGTAGCCTCGTTTATTACATTACTTGTACATTTTGGTTTCACAACATCAAGCAGAAGACAACGCACTGTACACCCACTGATCCATTACAACTTGGGTTGTGATTCCCATGGACCTACAGGGAAGAGATCCTCAACACTGGTGGGAGAAATGGCAGGGGAACAGGCAATCCACAGAAATGATCAGACTCTGCAGGGGAATATCATCACGGAGACCGTAGGGAAATATAATCACGGAGCATTGCTGGAGAATACATGTGCTTACCAGTCACCTAGGCATTCGATGATGTTTGTGGTGGTCATGCTGCGCTTGTTCTTGGCAAAGGCAGCCGACGCTGCTCTCCTCACCACCAACGACCCTGCAAACGCTGCCATGATTGCTGGATTGTCTGAGAGCTGCTCTGCCACCAGATGCTGCATCTCAGCATCAGAGGAAACACCCTCTTGTTGCTGAGCCTGTAGGCGCTGCTGCCACTTGCGGGCCCAGACGAAGAACACTGCAATGCTGAAAAGGTGGGAAACGCATCCAGTGTCAAGTAAGCATGCTATGCACAGGGCAGCAACATGGTGTGTGCTGGTATATGCATCCGAAGGAAGGACATGATGGGAAAGGCACAAAGAAAGATCGTAATGTAATGAGCCTCTCACCTGCCTGACAGCACGTCCCCTTGCCCTCCGCATCGCCTGGGAGAGCCAAACAGGCCGCATTCAAGCACTGATAGTGATGGGACAGGGAAGGGAAACCACAGAATGTGAAAGATGTGAGCAAGAGCATGCATGAAGGCAATGCTTGAAGGCAATGCGTGAAGGCAATGCATGAAGGCAATGCATGAAGGCAATGCATGAAGGCAATGCTTGAAGGCAATGCATGAAGGCAATGCTTGAAGGCAATGCTTGAAGGCAATGCTTGAAGGCAATGCTTGAAGGCAATGCTTGAAGGCAATGCTTGAAGGCAATGCTTGAAGGCAATGCTTGAAGGCAATGCTTGAAGGCAATGTTTGAAGGCAATGCTTGAAGGCAATGCTTGAAGGCAATGCTTGAAGGCAATGCTTGAAGGCAATGCTTGAAGGCAATGCATGAAGGCAATGCTTGAAGGCAATGCTTGAAGGCAATGCTTGAAGGCAATGCTTGAAGGCAACGCTTGAAGGCAACGCTTGAAGGCAATGCATGAAGAGCATTGTTACCTGTCTTTCCATCTGAAATGCCATCGGCTGCGCCCTTTTCCACTATGGTGACATTTCCAAGACTGCACGGGCAGAGAAGACGGAACGACATATTTTCAGACAGAAAGGGAATATTGCAGTGAACCAGCCGGGGCACTGCAGTCGATTGTACTGTACGCATAGAAGTACCCACTCGGTTGCGAGCTCGGCGAGTGAACTGGCGGGGTTAGACGACCCGCCGGAAGCAGCTGCTGCTGCCGTGGAATCGCGTTGCGATGCGACGACTTGCGAGAGGCGAGAGAACTCGTTCACGTTGGGTGTGAGTATGGCGAGGGGGTAGCTGGTGATGAGGTGCGGCTGGTTGGACACCAGGTGCAGACCATCCTGCAAGGACATGGCAAGGGAGAGGTTGCAAGATACAGGTGGTGGTGTTGACAAGGTATGTGATCACCAGATGTATGTATGTGTACAAAAGTTGTTCGCATGTGAACCCCCATACACATACCGCATCGATGACCATTGGAATGCTTGCTTGCCGGGCGGCAGTCATGATGTCAGCCACACACTCCTGCAGCAGCGAGTCCCTGCCCAGGCCCGGCCCTATGACAACGCAGTCCATCCGCGACAGCCAATCAGAGACCGTCTTCACTGCTGCTTCGACAATTTCTTTTCGCTGATCCGGCGTGTCAAGCCTGCAAATGTGAGAGAAACCAGGCAAAGAGGCCAGGATGGATGCATGAAAGCCTTCATGATGGGCTGCACTGCACTGCACTGCACTGCTGCACCTCACAAGTCACTAAATGCAGGTAGAATTACATGGCAGAGAAGAAATAATTAGACCTACTTAACGTCATATGATTCCCGTAGCGCCGGGTGCACTATGAGCTCCGGGCTGTACGCCTTGATGACTGGAGCGGCCTCTCGCGAGCAGAACACGTGCGCAATGTCTGCACCCTGCGTGATTATAACGAAATGGAGGAGGCAATAGGGACGATGGGAGCAAAAGTTGGACGCGGGGAAACGGTGGAGCAACTCCTTTCTGTCGACTCAAAAGTCACCTACGGTGGAGCAACACCTTTCTGTTCAACAGAAAGATGAGCATTGGGGAGAGCAACGGCGTGAGGGGCGCTGAGAGGTGCTGAGAGGCGCTGAGAGGTGCTGAGAGGCGCTGAGAGGCGCTGCACTTGGCTCCCCCGTCAGAGACTCGCGTACCAGTTTGAGCGCGGAAAATGCGGCGAAGAAGGGAGCCCCGGTGTACTCGCGGCATCCTCCAATCACAGCGATCTTCCCTGTAACGAGGGGGACGAAACGCGCGAGGTTTCGGACCAGCAAGGAAAGACGCTTGTGGTTCGGTTCGACCACTTGACAATATCGAGCGGGACAAGCGGATGCTACTGAGTCTAGAGAGCGGAGGTTCCAACGGAGAATCCGCGATAAAGACATGGGAACGAGGGATTGACGAAATCCGCGAGGTAATTGCGATGCCGCACCTGCTTGGCCTTTATGCTTCCCCGACGCGAGCTCGGGGACGAACGCCCGAATCGCGGAGATCATCAGCTCGAGATTCGCCCACTTCATGCCGCCTCTCGGGAAAGTTTAGTTTATCCTCTGCACTGATATGCGAGGGTTACGCTGAAGTCCAGCGTTGGCGGCTGGAGGAAGGGAAGAAAACGAAACTGAACTGGCTGTGGGAGAGCAGAGGGCGGAAGCAAGGATTTGGCGCCTAAACTCCGTTATTGCAGAGCCGTTTTGACGATAAAATGTCGAAATGCTGACTTCAGTGTAGAAAAATGCGCGAAAGAATGTAACACTTTCAATTTCCGATTTCTCGAATCCGATCACTTCCAACCAATTCTACCCGGCCTGCGTCGAGCAACTGAGAGTCAATTCCGCCTGACAGCCATTTCGGGCAGTACGAATCTCCAGCACCTGGCTTGCAGTGGAGCTCTTCAGATTCCGCTGCCGGCGTCATTCGTAAGACTCACAGATTGGCTCAGGGATTCGCAGTGCTTCCGTGTTCTCTTAGCTTTCACGTAGTCGCGTCTCCAGAAACAGCCATTTCAGCCACCTCCGGTTCCTCGTGTCGGATCTTTCGCACAGCATTCGCGTCGATTCCAAGCGCATCTAAGTCGGATCAAGCAGTCTCAGATCGGTCGGCGTCATGGGCGATAGTCAATACTCCTTCTCCCTCACCACCTTCAGGTGCCGTCCTCTAGTTCACGTCATGGTTCTTTACGATAGATTTTATCGATTGTAATCCCTTCGTCCCACTTCCGTGATATAGATTCACTTAATTGTGATTTCTTTGTCCTTCTTCCGTATTGCTCATGGTGCAATTCGTTCGGCACCTCCTTTCAACCCTTCTCGGTTTTACCGACGCGTCGTCTCTCCCTGCCCTGCCCTGCCTTGCCCTGCCCTGCCCTGCCCTGCCCTGCCCTACCCTGACTCTCATTCCTCCGCAGTCCATCAGGCAAGCTGGTGCAGATCGAATATGCCCTGAACGCCGTAGCTGCCGGTGCGACGTCGCTCGGAATCAAAGGTAGGTCCCACCACGTGACCTGCCAACACTGCCGTACTCGCTACGTGCTTCTGCATGTCGAATGCACCGTTCGAACCAACTAAGGAAGCCGGTCCCGATCGAATATGCCGAACTGAATGCTGTAGCGGCCGGTGCGACTCCCCTTGGAATCGCTACAAGCTTCTGCCTCTCGGATGCACCGTTCGTACTCCTCGCATGCGTCCTCCCTAAGACTTCCCATGATCTTCCCCCCTCCACCTCCATCCGTGATCTTCCCCCCTCCACCTCCATCCGTGATCTTCCCCCCCTCCACCTCCATCCATGATTCCCCTTTCTCCTCTTGGTGCTGCATCCCATCCGTCGCAGCGGCCAACTGCGTGGTGATAGCCACGCCTATCGCTTCCCCTCCCCCGTCCCCCCCCCCCCCCCCCTTTTTCCCCTCAATCCCGCCCCGTCCCCCTTCCCCTCAATCCCGCCCCGTCCCGCTTCCCCTCAATCCCGCCCCGTCCCCCTTCCCCTCAATCCCGCCCCGTCCCGCTTCCCCTCAATCCCGCCCCGTCCCCCTTCCCCTCAATCCCGCCCCTCCCCCCTTTCCCTCGTGTCGTGTGTCACATCCCATCCGTCGCAGCGACCAACGGCGTGGTGATCGCCACGGAGAAGAAGCTTCCCACAGAGCTGATTGACGAGACCTCGGTGAGTCGCGTGCTGCGGGCAGATCCTCACCGTTGGTTCATATGCTCACCTCGGTTAGTTGGTTCGCCACGGAGAAGAAGCATCCCACCGAGGTGATTGACGAGACCTCGGTGCATCTGCTTCTGGTCCGTACACTAATAGACTGTTACAGGTTGGTGATGGAAATTTTCCCACAGATCTGGTCGACGAGGATTTGCAAATTTGTTGCTCCATGGTATGGTGGAACTTGGGTCAGTTGCTTCTTTTCTCTCATTTTCTTTCTGAAATTTCGTTTCTGCGTTTGCTTGTTGCAGGTGAAGAAGATTCAATTGCTGACGGAGAACACAGGAGTCGTCTACAGGTGTGGCTGCACCTCCGACATTACTCACCCCACTGCCATGCGTGCTCACCCCACTGCCATGCGTGCTCACCCCACTGCCATGCGTGCTTACCCTCTCTGGTCGAACCCGCACTACCTGTATCGCATCACAACCGTCCATCATCCGTGACCCCTTTCCGTTGCTCCGTCCAATCCACCGCATGCTCGTCTCTCATGCTTTTGCCCTCTTATCGCCTTATCCCCACCCCCCGCTGTCCTCTCGCCGCCCCTCCCTGTTGTTTCATCCCCACCAGTGGCATTGGCCCGGACTCTCGAGTGCTTGTCAGGAAGAGCCGCAAGTCAGCACAGTCCTACTACACTGTGTACAGGGTGAGGCATGCTATAGCTCGTACAGGGCGAGACCCGCTGTAGTTATGTAGGTGCTTCTTTGTCTCTGTTGCGTTGCACCTTACTACTTTTTCTTTATCGCTGCTCTTCCAATGCTGACTCTTGGTCCCTCCTAGCTCAGCCCATCCCCTTGCCGCATCCCCTTGCCCATCCCCTTGCCCATCCCCTTGCCCGTCCCCTTGCCCGTCCCCTTGCCCGTCCCCTTGCCCATCCTCGTTTCCCTCTCATGCCCTTGTTGCACCACGCCTTGCACCTGTACCATACCATGCCACGCCTTGCACCTGTACCATACCATGCCACGCCTTGCACCTGTACCATACCATGCCACGCCTTGCACCTGTACCATACCATGGCAGGAGGTCATCCCAGTGTCGCAGCTGGTGCGGGAGACAGCTGCTGTGATGCAAGAGTTCACGCAATCAGGGTGAGACAACACACACTGCAGCTGAGGCAGCAGTTCACGTGGTCTTGTGAGAGTGATCGGAGCACGAGGGGAGGATCGGAAGGATGGATAAATGGGCCTGCGTTGTCTTACTGCATATCATGTCTGCTGTCTACTTGCACCATGTCTTGCATGGCTGGCATGGGAGTGCACCATGCATCACTGCAGGGGGGCGAGGCCGTTCAGGGTTGTTGCTGATCGCGGGGTACGACTGCCAGAGCCCGCACCTCTACCAAGTTACCCCTCGGCCACTTGCAACCCAGAATTTCCATGCTCCTTCTTTCCTCACATGCACATGTTCTCCACACATCGTGCACCATGCATCACCACAGGGGGGTGAGGCCGTTCGGCGTGTCGCTGCTGATGGCGGGGTACGACTCGCAGGGCCCGCACCTGTACCAGGTGGACCCCTCGGGCTCGTACTTCGCCTGGAAGGCCTCAGCTATCGGCAAGAACATGACCAACGCCAAGACGTTTCTTGAGAAGAGGTGAGGGGTGAGATGACGGATTTCCTCCTCTTGTCCCTTTTCAGTACAAGTCACTGGTGCTGAAGTGTTGGGATAAGATGCTGGGTTCCTGTGTGATTTACTTGTGGTCTATGGCATGCTTGTTGTGGCGCTTTATGTCCTGTCCGAGTGGGTCATGCCTGTATGTATGGTGCATGTGTATGCTGTGCTTATGTGGGACGTGCTTGCATGGGACGTGCTTGTATGGGGCGTGTTGTATGGGGCGTGCTGTATGGGGCGTGCTTGTATGGGTTGTGCTTGTATGGGTGTGCGTGTATGGGGTGTGCTTGTATCAGGTACACGGAGGACATGGAGTTAGAGGATGCGATCCACACGGCCATTCTCACTCTCAAGGAAGGGTACGGACATGTGCACTGCATCAAATGTCTCGCTTTGCTTTGCACTTCTGCTGCCTCTCTTCTTCCCAACTGCTTCTGTGTTCCGTCACTCTCACCTCGCACCCCTGTCTCCCCTCTTCCACTTTCTTTCACCAGGTTTGAGGGGCAAATTGCGGGCGACAACATTGAGATTGGCATTGTGGGTAGCGACAGGAAGTTCAGGTGAGGTAGAGGGCTGTTGTGATTTCTACCTGTTATGATTGAGCTGCTCCTTATTGATGCAAACCAGCATTTTGTTCTGCCTTTTGTCTCTGCTTTGTAGTATCTGTGTGTCTCCAAGATGACTCCCTGCTACGAGACTCACCCTGTTCCTCCCACCCTCCCTTTTTCCTCTGGTTTGCTGCATGTGTTCTCTCTGCGATCAGAGTGCTAACTCCAGCTGAAGTGAATGATTACTTGGCAGAAGTGGAGTAAGCTGTTAGCTAGATTTACTATGACTACCTGCCAGCCACCATAATTTGTCCATGTCAAATATGTTGGCCTGAATTAACATGGTCTGGTAAATTCCATGGAAAGCTGAACAAATGGCACAATTCGTGTAGGAAGCATTCTCCATGGAACGGAGCTTCGACGAGGGGTTGTGGTTCGGGCAGCACAACCCGCCTACGATGTGTAGATTTGATTGTGGGGTTATTTCATGACATGCTGTTGTGGTTTTGTCCCCAAGAGGAGCCTCCGCATGCCATGTTCGAGTGTAACAAACATTGTCAAGCGCCGCAGTCTATATCGGGTACAGCGCCACCAACTGCACGTCTGACACTAGTGCCTGTCGTTGACTCTCGCGACTCCATTTGGGAAAACCTCTCAACTCAAGCCGAGCTCGCTCCCTCAAACCCGAAGGGTGAAATGTTTATCAGAACCTTCTGCAGATTAGTAGGGGAAAGTCTGTGTACAGTACCAGCTTAGGTATCTGGTATTCTTAGGTTCAGCGTATTCCCGTCGAATGTAGGCTCCGCGTCGTACGGGAGACGATAGTGATCGTCAGCGATGACTGGCGTAAACTGTTATTCCTTATTGTCTGCCGTCGCATTGCTGAGAGCTGCGCTCTGAAGGACCTTTTCCGGTCTGTTGCACTCGTTCGGCAGAATCTAGGTTGAGATAGCGCTTGCTGCTAGGCTATCCACGGTAGAGCGTTGTTGACCTCGATAAGAGCTCCCCCATTGTAAGCTTTCCATGTTCTAAAGCTTCGAGAAGGAAGATCGTCGCAATGGTTCTCGCTGCTGTTGTTTCCGTGCTGCTGTTTCTCCCCGTCGCATTATCCTTAGCATCGAATCACTCCCTCTTGGCCATGCATCATGGCGACGCAGCTAGTAACGAGTACTCCGCAAAACAGCACGGGGGTCACCGCCATGACCTCCTCGAGTTATCCTTCGCCGTTTCTCGCAAATCCGTTACTCGCGAATCCGTTTCTCGCGAATTCGTTCCTCGCGGAGCGACCCCCCTCGCTGCCTCTCAACGTGAGTCCTCTTCCTGATTGTCCGCTTTAAGTTCGTTCTAGATCCAGGGCTGGGCTTTCGTCGGTAAGAGTGACTAGACACGTATAGAAGCTCGCAAGGTCCGGCCTCGCCTGAGTCAGGCGTCTGACTAAACTCGGTGACAATACTGTGGAGGGCTCTGACGTCATCACATCCTGACTCCATCACATGCTGACGTAATCATATTCTGATGTCATCACATTCTGACTGCATCACATTCTGACTGCATCACATTCTGACGTCATCAGATTCTGACTGCATCGCATGCTGGTGTCATCACGTTCTGACTACATCTCATTCTGACGTCATCTCATTCTGATGCCATCTCATTCTGACGTCATCACACTCTGACTGCATCGCATTCTCACGTCATCAAATTCTGGCCTGTGGCATGTGTGGGTCTGTGCCATGTGTGGGCCTGTGCCATGTGTGGGCCTGTGCCATGTGTGGGCCTGAGCCATGTGTGGGCCTGTGCCATGTGTGGGCCTGTAATCTCACTCTGACGCCATCACACTCTGTCTGCATCGCATTCTGACGTCATAAAATTCTGACTGCATTGCATTCTGATGTCATCTCATTCTGACGCCATCACATTCTGACTGCATCTCATTCTGACGTCATCACTCTCTGACTGCATCAAGCCCTCTTGACGAAGGGGACCCTCCGCACATGCATTGCATTCCACACACTCCCAGGGGTCTCCCCTTTCACATTTCACCCCATGCCCCGTTTCGGTTCTCTGCTGCCGTCCGTCCCTCTCCTGGGCATGTGTGTGTCAACGAGCTCCATATCACGTCAACCCTGCTGCACCCTGCTGCACCGCATTCCACCTCCCTCCACTCCAGTGCGTGCATTGCTCGACATCAATCGTGCTGTGAGGGCATGGCCGCGCAGCAGCAACCACTCACTCTCCTGCAACCTCTGGACTGGTGTCACCTGCGACGCTTCCGGCTTTATCACCCGCCTGTGAGTTGCTAGCCTGGTGTTTACCACTCTCTCTCCTGCCATCATTGGACTGGCGTCACCTGCGACGCTTCCGGCTTTATCACCCGCCTGTGAGTTGCTACCCTGGTGTTTACCACTCTCTCTCCTGCCATCATTGGACTGGCGTCACCTGCAACCCTCACGGCTTCATCACCCGCCTGTGAGTCACTGGCACTGGCTGGAGACACCTCCCTCAGAAGGACTTAAACCCGTCCACAGGACCTGGTCCACCCCCTGTGGGTGAGTCTCCTGTGATCCCTGCACCAGCAGTTCCAAGCGCATCAGGTCAGCAGGCGACGTGGATCTGATGTAGGTTTCCCTCGGTTCCCGTGCCTACTGCTGCTGGATGCCCCCTTCCACCCCCCTCCCCGCATTGGCTGAACCTATTCTTTGCCACCCCCATTTCCTCAGGGACCTCTCACAAGTGGGGACGCTCTCAGGCGCCCTGCCTCCTTATGCACTTGGGCGGCTCTGGCGACTGACATACCTGTAGGTACCACCTGTGCTTTAAGTCGGCTGAAATGCACGTGTTACATGTCGTCAGGCTCCCTGCCTCGTCATGCACTTGGGCAGCTGTGGCGGCTGACATACCTGTAGGTAGTGGGGAGGAACCACATGCAGGCACGGCGCACACTGTGTTTGTATGTTTAATGAAGTCACTGACGCATTTGCATGTTTGCTTTGCTCTCGCGTCCAAATGCCTTGCCTGCCTCCATTGCTTTCACGAATGTATCTGCTGACTTGCCCCTGTGCCCTGCATGCCCCTCTGGTCGCAATGCCATCCCCTCAGGAGCATGGCCAACAGCCGCCAACTCAAGGGTACACTCCATGCTCTCGCCCTGCCACCTGCCCTTGCCTTCTTGTAAGAGACCCCGCTGTAAGAGCCCCCCTGTAAGAGCCCCCGCTGTAAGAGCCCCCCTGTAAGAGCCCCCGCTGTAAGAGCCCCCCTGTAAGAGCCCCCGGTGTAAGAGCCCCCGGTGTAAGAGCCCCCCTGTAAGAGCCCCCGGTGTAAGAGCCCCTGCCCCTTCATCTGCAACCTCCCTTCCCCGTGGATGATCCCGTGCTCACCATACCCTCAACCATCGTCCCCCCCCTGCAAACTCTCCTCCCCTCACAGGGACCTCTCATACACGGCTGTGTCTGGCGCTCTCCCTCATGCCTTTTCCAATCTCACCAGCCTGGCGTATCTGTGAGCCACCTCTGCCCCCCACTCCTCGTGCAATCCCAGCGTCTTGCCAGTCCTTCCCCCCCATGCTCGTCACGCCCTTGTGCCACAGTCTGAAGCTTCTGCAAGCTCTTCCCTTTTTCTCTTCCCTTCCTGGTCCAAACGTTCGGTGCTATGGTGTGGTGCGGTGTGGCATGGTGCTATGGTGTCGCGCGGTGTGGCATGGTGTGGCGTAATGTGCCATGGTTCGGCAGTGACCTCACGGGCACGCCAGTATCTGGGCCCATTCCCTCCACTGTCTCCCGAATCACCAAGCTCGCACACCTGTGAGTAACAAAACACTCTTGCATGCTCCAGTATCCACTGTATCTCTCATCCACTGTCTCTCGCATCCACGGTATTAGCATGGAAAAGCATGCCCCAGCATATGGCAGCATGCCAGCCACCACTCTGTCACCGCCAGCCTTGCTGTCATCCCTTTATCTCCGCCTCTCTCCACCACCTCGTACCCCTCTCTATACACCACTCGTTTTTCCCCTCCTTCCCCCCCACAGAGACCTCTCTTTCACGTCCATATCTGGCGAGCTGCCGTCTACACTAAGTGCTCTCTCAAGACTCTCCTATCTGTAAGACACGTATTAAACTTCGAGTTTTTGGTCATCTCCCCGCTTTCTCCTTCCTGTCGCCTCTCTCTAAAGCAAATCCAACCAACCTCCATTCAATTTCCTCAATCACTCCCGTGCCTCTCGGCCTTCATCCCCGCTCCGCCTTCTCCCACCTCCTGCCCACGCCCATTATTTTCCTCTCTCTCCCTTAGTGGCATGTGCCACGACCCACACCCCTCCCATCACCCAGCATCCTTCGCCTGCAGGGCTCCCAAGTGGGTGGCTCCATCACCACTCTCGCCTTCTCGGTCTTTTCTCCCCACTGCCTTATTTGGACCATGCCCATGCCATACCTGCACCACTGTACCCTCCCACCTCCCAGCAACCTTTATCTGCTGGGCTCCCAAGTGGGCGGCTCCATCACCACACTCACCTTCGTCTCTCTCCTCACCAACCTCCGCTCCTTGGAGCTCTTTGGCTTCAAGGCCATGAGGGCGGGCGACATGAGCGCTCTCAGCGGCCTCTCCACACTCACTCGCCTTCAGAAGCTGTGAGTTTCCCCACGTCTGGGGCTGCCTGGCTCACGTCCGCGCCCCCGGCGTGGACAAGCTCCCAGCCCACACTTCCCCCCGTGTCTTCCTTGGTTTCCCGCTCAATGAACCTGACTGGCAGTTCGACCACCCTTGACAGCACCGCTTCTTTCGCTCTCGTGTCGGTGAGACAGCTCCAGACACGAGAGCGAAAGTAGTGTCGTCTCGTGTCTGGACTTATTCAATTGGTTTCTTGATGCGCTTGGATCCAGACACTACTTTTTGTTATCTCTGACTTCCTGCCTCCCACTTTATCCCTGCTTTTAATCTGCTATGCTTCCCTCTGGCTGAAATGCCCGTTCTTGTGTCTGCAACACACCAAATTCTCCCCCCCCAGTGTGGTTGGGGACCTGGGCAGCGTGGTGGGCGAGCTGCCCTATCAACTGGGCTTCCTCACTCAGCTCACCCACCTGTCAGTACCGCTCTGAACCCTTCTGCACCTTTCAATGTGCATTCTACCCGCCTTCTGTGCTGCTGTGCTGCACCTGATGCAAAGGGTCTCTAACCCTTTTCCACCGCTTCCAACCACCTTGCACTGCTCTGAAAGGCTCCTCACCAACGCATTCCAAGAACCTTTCTGTCCTACAACTACGTCTGCTCCCGTTCAATGCATGTCATCGCTCTTCCCACTGACTCCAACCACCTGGCACCGCTCTAAACCCTTCTCCACCTTCAGGGACCTGTCTTACAACTACTTCTCCAATTTCCCCACCTGGGTTGTTGACCTCACCCGGCTGCAGTACATGTGAGGGCAAGCAAGCAGGCTGCATATGAAAACAGCAATCCCTTGCCTCTCCACTTTTTCACAAATCTCGTCTGTTTTCCATGTTAATGATCCTTTCATAGTTTGGAAACCGCTTCAAAGCCGTCAATGATTCTTGTCTGTGCAATTATCGCCAGAGACCTGCTGCATTAGCATGGCCTGCTGCATCAGCATGGGCAATGCAGGAGCGGTTCAACTTTCTCTCTCAGCTCCCCCTCTTCCTCCCCTTCCCCTCTCTGTCAGCGACCTGCTGCATCAGTACGACCAGCGCAAGGGCTACATTCCCCGTGACCTCAACAGACTCCCCAACCTCCGCACCTTGTCAGTTCAAGCTGCTGTCTGCTGTGCTGTGCTTTGCGGTGTTTTGTGGTCTAGCAGTCCAGTGGTGGTGGTTTACTGGTGGTCCAGTGTTCCAGTCGTCCAGTGGTCCAGTGGTGGTCCAGTGTTCCAGTCGTCCAGTGGTCCAGTGGTGGTCCAGTGGTCCAGTGTGGTCCAATGTGGTCCAGTGTGGTCCAGTAGTGGACCAGTGGACCAGTGGTCCAGTGGTCCAGTGTTCCAGTCGTCCAGTGGTCCAGTGGTGGTCCAGTGGTCCAGTGTGATCCAGTAGTGGACCAGTGGACCAGTGGACCAGTGGTCCAGAGGTCCAGTGTTCCTGTGATCCAATGGGCCAGAGGCACTGGAGCAGTGTTGCACTGCTACACTGGAGTACTTTGCCGCGGGGGTACCTGGGCACTTGGGCTCTCAGGCACTGGTGCACCGGCAGGGGCACTGGAGCACAGGTGCACTGGGGCACTGGGGCACCAGACATTGTATGCCAAACGGTGTTGCGACCTGCGTTGCCTCTTATTGTGCGACCTGCCTCGCCTCTCATTGTGCAGTCTAGCTGCTGGCAACGGCTTGGCTGGCTTCCTGCCCGAGACGTGGAGCGGCCTCACTGCACTGGAGCGGCTGTGAGTCACCAGTCACCTCTCCCCCTGCTGTTCAATGAGGTGACTTTCCGGTCGACTTACAAGTCACCATGGCTGCCTTCCTGCCAGAGACATGGAGCGACCTCACCTTGTTGGAATGGCTGTGAGTCTCCAGTCATCGCCCCCCCTGCTGTTTAATGAGGTGCCTTTCCAGTCGACTTGCCAGTCACCGTGGCTGGCTTCCTGCCAGAGACATGGAGCGACCTCACTGCGCTGGAGCGGCTGTGAGTCCCTCCAGTCATCACCCCCCCTTCTGTTTAATGCGGTGACTCTCCAGTCGACTTGCCAGTCACCATGGCTGGCTTCCTGCCAGAGACATGGAGCGACCTCACTGCGCTGGAACGACTGTGAGTCTCCTCCCCCCCTGCTCTTGGAGAGGTGCCTTCTGAGTCGACTCCAAACTCGACCCAATAGTCCCGTTGGCTGGCGTCCTGCCAGAAACATGGAGCGGCCTTGCTACACTGGAGCGGCTGATGGTCTCCAGTCATCTCTCCTCTCCTCCTGCTGTCAACACGCTGATTGACTTCCGTAGTAGAGTACGACCCATGGATCCCTGGTAGATTCGATGGTACATCCATGTACTCCCATGGCAAGAGAATCTGTCAGGCCATTCCTGTACTCCGCCCTGGCCTTCTCTCCCCTTCTCACTCTCACCTTCCCAGGAATCTGCAAGAGAACTACCTGGAGGGCTCCATCCCAGGGAGCTACTCCACTCTCAAGGCGCTCACCCACCTGTGAGTGCCGCTGCCCACCCATTAGCACGAACCCAGGGTTTTTTGTGTATGATTTTCAGTAAGACCCTTTTCTTAGAGATCTGCAAGGTAACACCCTCAAGGGATCCCTCCCAGGGAGCTGCTCTGCTCTCAGGGCTCTCACCCACCAGTGAGTGCTGCTGCCCAGTGCCCGCCCACTAGCACGAGCCCAGCCTCATCAAGTGGCAGAGACCGCAAGCACAAAAACGCCTATCAGTTTATTTGGCCGGCGCTGCATCAGCGCCATGCATTGATTCTCCGCCCGTCTTCCCTTCTCTTTGCCACGCCGTTTATCCACCTGCCTTCCCTTCTCTTTGCCACGCCGTTTATCCACCAGTCTTCCCTTCTCTTTGCCACGCCGTTTATCCACCTGTCTTCCCTTCTCTTTGCCACGCCGTTTATCCACCTGTCTTCCCTTCTCTTTGCCACGCCGTTTATCCACCTGCCTTCCCTTCTCTTTGCCACGCCGTTTATCCACCAGTCTTCCCTTCTCCTTGCCACGCCGTTTATCCACCTGTCTTCCCTTCTCTTTGCCATGCCGTTTATCCACCTGTCTTCCCTTCTCTTTGCCATGCCGTTTATCCACCTGTCTTCCCTTCTCTTTGCCATGCCGTTTATCCACCTTGTCTTCCCTTCTCTTTGCCATGCCGTTTATCCACCCTTCATACCCTCTGTTGTGCCTTTCCATGCTGCGCCCCCAGGAACCTGAACACCAATCGGCTGTCAGGGACACTTCCTCCAGTCTTCTCGTCCGATCTCGATACTTTGTAAGGCCACCCAATCGCTTAAGGTTTCCTCTGCTGTCCTGTCCATCTGTGCTAGCAGCTACCTATTTCCATCTGTGCTCACTCCTTTCGTCGTGAAGTGATTTTCATGTACCTGCTCTGCTCATGACAAAACGCATCATCCTCATGGGTTTTGCTCTCTCATCTGGTCAGGAACCTTGGAAACAACGACTTCGGGGGGTCCATTCCGGAATTCCTGGGAAGGCTGCCCTACCTTACGGATCTGTAAGTCTGGTGGCTGGCTGAAACACTGGAAGCTGCCATAAGAAGGTGTCGATATGAGTCGCCAATTTAAGTTAATGGATTTGTCCCATGGGTGGATATGTAACATGGTTTCAATAATGAGTCGCTGCCGCTGTTCCATGGGCCCCCCACCCACCCACCCACCCACACCCCCCCCCCCATGTGTTCTCCATGCCTCCCTTCAGGAACTTGAGGAACAACCGGTTCGTTGGAGCCATCCCCGCCACCTTCACTGCGCTCGAGTACATGCGAGAACTGTGCGTGAGCTGACGTGTGTGTGTGCCGTGGTGGCATCGTGGTGGCATCGTCAGTCATGCTGCTACGGCATTTATGCTGTCCGGAAAAGCATGTGCTGTACTGCACCGCATCTGGTGCTGGATTGGTTACTTGTGTGCTGTTGCCTGCCACCATGCATGCGCGGCAGAGTGCTTTCGAGAATTCTAAAACACCCAGCCAAACCATGCGTCTCATGCAGGTCGGTGGGTGGAAACCAGCTCAGCAGAGGTCTCGATGTCGTTTCTGACATGCCATGGCTCGCCATCCTGTAAGCACATGCCATAAGCAAGGTGTGGGCAAGCAAGGCGTGGGGAAGCAATGTGTGGGCAAGCAAGGTGTGGGCAAGCAAGGTGCGGGCAAGGTAGGTGTCTTGTAAGCACATGCCATGGCTCGTCATGCTGTAAGCACACCTAAACCTTGCTAACACCTCCGAATCTGGCCTGCTAACCTTGCCATCTTGTTCCGAAGCTTTTGAGTCGACTCAAAAACCTTGCTAACACCTCCAAATCTGGCTTGCTAACCTTGCCATCTTGTTCCGAAGCTTTTGAGTCGACTCAAAAGTGTTCCGAAGCTCTCCACCACCGGAAAAGTACCGCTGCTTCTCCACCCTCCTTCGCTCACCTCACCTCTCCGTCGTTGGTGGAAGCTTGGTGGCAAGCCCTCACCCAGCCTTGCTCCACGCGGTACTGCAGGTCTGTGAAGAGCAACAACTTCTCTGGGGAGGTGCCGTCCTCCCTCTTATCGCTCACTGACCTCCATTTGCTGTGAGTACTGCTCCTCAAGTTCATTATTAAGGCACCTCAGTTTGTGTGAGTTTGGCCCCTCAAGTTCGTCACTGCCTTCCTGCCATTCCCCGTTCCATTTTGGCAAACCCCCCCCCCCGTCCCCCGTTCCCCGTCCCCCGTCCCCAATCCCCTTGTGCCGTTCCCAATCCCCTTGTGCCGTTCCCAATCCCCTTGTGCCGTTCCCAATCCCCTTGTGCCGTTCCCAATCCACTTGTGCCGTTCCCAATCCCCTTGTGCCGTTTCCCCCCTCCCCATGAGCTCGCCCCCTGCTCCCATCGCGCCATTCCCCCGTCCCCTAGCGTCGCCCTCCAATGCTGAGATTTTCCACTCCCCCAGGTCCTGTCATTGCCCCTTTCCCCCAAGCCCCTTCACCGCTCCTCCCCTATATCCCACGCCCCCTAATCGCCTGGATCTCTCAAGCGTGCCCCTTGTGTGTATTGCTCCCTTCAATCTCCCCCTACAGAGACCTGGCTTCACAGGCACCATTCCCTGTGTTGTCCTCCTTGGCATTTGACGTCCCAAGCGCGCCCCTTGTGTGTGTGTGTTCTCCCCCTTCATTCCCTTCATTCCCTTCATTCCCTTCGTTCCCTTCATCCATTCCCGCCCTTGTGTTTGTACGTTTCTCTCTCCTACAGCGAGTTGGGCTTGAACCAGTTCACAGGGACCTTCCCCTCTGTTGTCCTCACCCTCACCAACCTCAAGGCTCTGTACGTCATCCTTTGCTGACGTGTACAGGCTGATATGCCCATCCTATTATGTCCACGCTGACATGCCCATGCGGACATGTCCATGCTGACATGTCCATGCTGCCATGCTGACATGTCCATGCTAACATGTCCATGCTGCCATGCTGACATGTCAATGCTAACATGTCCATGCTGCCATGCTGACATGCTGACATGTCAATGCTAACATGTCCATGCTGCCATGCTGACATGTCAATGCTAACATGTCCATGCTGCCATGCTGACATGTCAATGGTAACATGTCCATGCTGCAATGCTAACATGTCCATGCTGCAATGCTAACATGTCCATGCTGCCACGCTGACATGTCCATGCTGCCATGCGAACATGTCCATGCTGCCCGTGTTGGCGGAATTGGGAAGTTGGCGGACTTGGGTAGTTGGCGGACTTGGGAAGTTGGCGGACTTGGGAAGTTGGCGGACTTGGGAAGTTGGCAGACTTGGGAAGTTGGCGGACTTGGGAAGTTGGCGGGCTTGGGTAATTGGCAGACTTTCCCGTCGTACTTTCCTGTCATACTTTCCCCGTCGTACGCTTTCACATTTTACTTTCTCCATCGCACTTTCCCCGTCGTGCTCTCCACTGCCTCCTGTCCCCCTCCCCTCCCTCAGTGGCCTGCAGGGCAACGGTTTCTCTGGCGCCATCCCACCACGTGTGTCTGCCTTGGCCAACTTGAATGACCTGTGAGGGGGACCTCAGCCCTATTGATGCATGGGACGATTCTTTGGGCGCCCCAAGAATAGTGGCTCTGGTGCCATCTCACCCACTGCTCGTGTCTGCCTTGGCCGACCTTTACGACCTGTGAGGGGGCCCAAATATGCATGGGCATGCCCTGTTTGAATACCTTCGAAGCTTATCGCGGGACAAATTAGGTCAGAACGAAGGCCCAGTGGATTCAGTGCGACGTGTCTACTTCACTTGACAAGGTCTCACTTGACAATGTCTCACTTGCCAAGGTCTCACTTGACAAGGTAACCCGCATGCTGTGCCCCACATTTCTGCTCTGCACCTCTGGCATCTCTGCCCTGCACGCACGCACACACGCACAGGGACGTGAGTGACAACCGCTTCCATGGCCGCATTCCCGAGGCCGTCTTCTCGCTCACTGCGCTCGAGAACCTGTGAGCCGGAAACCTAGAATCAGGATTTTATATGAACAGGGTTGGCTCTTTTCTTCTCGCACTCGGACGATGTTTCTGTGAAGATGCATTTTCCTACAATTTCTTGCTGAAATCACCATCTCTTGATGCCTTGAAGCTGCTAAACAGCCCCCTTTCAACCTTCTCGCATTTGTTGCAATGCAGTCTAGCATCTCGCAACCTCCTCTCTGGCGGCCTTCCCTCCGCCATCCAAGCATCTACTTCCCTGAAACAACTGTGAGCCTCATTGCAACAAGCACGAGCCTGGTTTAGGTAACAGTGAGCCCCAATGCAATGAAGTTTGAACCCCACGCCATGCCACTGACGCTGACACTCAGGGTGGGCCCCATGCACTGAAGGCAGCTGAAAGCACTGACACGCACAGTCAATGCAGACCACACCACCCTGCACTGTCGCCTCTCCCTATGCACCCATCACTGCGTTTCCCGACCTCCTTTGTGCCCTTCCCTCCGCTCCATCCCTTCCTTTCTCTTCACTCCTTTTGAGTCGACTCAAAAGCATTCTCTTCACTCCGCTCCTACTCCCCAACCCCTGCCCTGCTTCTGTGGTGATCTAAACCCAACTCCTGCCATGCGCGGGGCAACCCCCCCATTGTGCTGCCACCGGTGGGGCGCACCTGTAGGCATCTGGAGGGCAACGGGCTCACAGGGTCGCTGCCAGACTTCTCTCGCTGGAACACTTCACTCTTCGCTCTGTACGGTCACTGTTGTGCGTGTAGGGCTACTTATGTGCATGTAGGGTAAATTTTGTGCGTGTAGGGGTACTTATTTGCATGTAGGGTAATTTTTGTGCTTGTAGGGTTACTTATGTGCATGTAGGGTAATTTGTGCTTGTAGGGTTACTTATGTGCATGTAGGGTAATTTTGTGCTTGTAGGGTTACTTATGTGCATGTAGGGTAATTTTTGTGCTTGTAGGGTTACTTATGTGCATCGAGGGTAATTTTTGTGCTTGTAGGGTTACTTATGTGCATCGAGGGTAATTTTTGTGCTTGTAGGGTTACTTATGTGCATCTAGGGTAATTTTTGTGCTAGTAGGGTTACTTATGTGCATCGAGTGTAATTCTTGTGCTAGTAGGGTTACTTATGTGCATCGAGTGTAATTTCTGTGCTTGTAGGGTTACTTATGTGCATCTAGGGTAATTTTTGTGCTTGTAGGGTTACTTATGTGCATGTAGGGTAACTGTTGTGCGTGTGCAGTGCAATAACCGTCTTGCGTGCAGGGTAACTCTTGCTTTGATAGGCAACAATCATGCTTGGCTGCACCAGTTTGCTAGCTGGTTGATTCATCGCTTTGCGCTTCATCTCTGCTTTTGTCTGCTGAATGGGATTCTCCCGGCAAAATTCCTTCCACATGTACCTGCTTGACTTGTGCATGCAACGTGGGTGCTCTGGCACTGGCATCACCATCCCAGGTTCCGTATCCGTCAATGCAACGTGACTTCCACAGGTTTCTCGCGAGCAACAACCTCACAGGCTCCATCCCAGCCTCCGTATCCGCCTTGACTTCTCTCCGCATACTGTCAGTCAGTTGCTGCTTCTAAGTCAAGCAGCAGCATACTGTCAGTCAGTTGCTGCTTCTAAGGCGCCTCAGAATGCATGTCGCCCGTCTGTTCCTCCGTGAGCACATTTAAAAAATCGCATGTGGACGAACACTGCAGATACATTGTTCACGATTTTAAAACCGATCTGCTGTGTTTGTCCACATGCGTGTCATTCTGCCATTTCAACACTAGCACGTACACTTTGTTGGGCAAAGACAGTTTAGATTTATCCCTGTTGCGCATGTGACATATTCCGCTCTTCGTGCCTCCCTGATTCACCTTGCTTCACGTCATTCAGTGCCTTGCTCCCGGCTTCCCGGCTTCCCGGCTTCCTGATTTGTACCACGTGACATGTATAGCGAGCATGTGATGCTTGCTGCTTCACCTGGTGCGGCATGTGCAGTAGCCTGCACAGCAACCAGTTGGATGGAGCCTTCCCCACCAGCCTCCTCTCCATCAAATCCCTCGAGTCACTGTGAGCCAATCACATCCCTCGAGTCACTGTGAGCCAATCACATCCCTCGAGTCACTGTGAGCCAATCACATCCCTCGAGTCACCGTGAGCCAATCACATCCCTCGAGTCACTGTGAGCCAATCACATCCCTCGAGTCCCTGTGAGCCAATCACAGAGTCCCTGTGAGCCAATCACATCCCTCGAGTCCCTGTGAGCCAATCACATCCCTCGAGTCCCTGTGAGCCCGCCAGCCTGGGGCGTGTCAAAGCCATGAAAGCATGCATTGGTATGGCAGCACAATTCGCATGAGATCCACACTTGTTCCATTCAATCGCCACAGGCCCGTCCAGCGTCAACCATTGTGCCACTTAATCACTGCACGGTGGGTCTCTCCACGCAGCATGCATCACACGTGCCAATCGGCCCCTGTGCAACAGGCTGCTAGCACGCAACAGCATTCAGGGATCGCTTCCAGACAACCTGGCGCAGCTCTCAGCCCTGCGCCACCTGTGAGATCTCTCTTTTCCCTTCTCGCTTGCCCTCTATAAAACCTCCACACGCAAGGAGTCTATTTTTGAGGCGTCTAAAAAATGAGATCTGACCGCGTTCCCCCCTGCTTATGCTGCTTACACGTCATTGGCTGCAGCTGGTTGAGCCATAACAGCTTCACAGGGAAGCTTCCAGCCTCCTTCTGTGAACTCTCCAACCTGGAAATTCTGTAAGACCTAAAGATCGTTATACCACTCAATCGCCATTGCTCATCATCTGCCCTCAGTTACACCGTTCTTCCCATGAGCTATCGCCAGAGCTGAAGTGAGTGAGATCCCAAGTGAGTGACGATCCTTGGGATCTCACTTACGTGCTCATCATCTGCCCTCAGTTACACCGTTCTTCCCATGAGCTATCGCCAGAGCTGAAGTGAGTGAGATCCCAAGTGAGTGACGATCCTTGGGATCTCACTTACGTGCTCATCATCTGCCCTCAGTTACACCGTTCTTCCCATGAGCTATTGCCAGAGTTAAAACAGTTGTGTACCCTGTTTCGTTTTCCATGCCTCGTACCGCCCATGTGGCCGTGTGGCAGGTACCTGAGGAACAACTCCTTCTATGGCCCCATCCCCGACTGCCTCTTCAACGGATTCCATTGCCTCAACAGGCTGTCAGTAGCCTCCCTCATCCCTCACCTTCGCCCCTGGGCCGAAAAATCAAACCCGTCTTCCAGAAAATTTCACCAAATATACTTCTTTTATGCCACCCCCACTGCCTACGTCTCTTTATCAATGCTTTCCCGCTGCATCAGCGCCCCTTTTTTCTCATTGCTCTTTCTCCTCTACAAACCCCCCCCCCCCCCCTTCTCTCTCCCATGATCTCATCTCTTCACCCTTACAGGGATCTGAGCCAGAACAGCTTTTACGGACGCATAAACCGCAACTTTGAGGGCATAGTGCCCGCCGCCGGCGCTTTGTTGAACATCGCGGACAACTTCTTCTACGGCGAGCCGGTGCTTTTTGCCAGCGGGTGCCAGTTCTGCCCGTCGGAGATCGCTGATGAGAGCACAGTGGATCCGGGGGATCTGAGCTTCCAGGCAGGCGGGAACTGCGTTGTGAAGTCTCTTGCTGGCAGGTGGGTGTGCCTCAGGTCCCGAGCCCGATGTGCTCCTGCTAAGGTGCTGTCAATTCAACCTGTGGGAGTTCTTGGGCATCGCAGACATCCTCTTCTGCGCCGCGCCGGTGCTGTTCGCCAGCGGGTGCCAGTTCTGCCCGTCGGAGGTCACTGATGGGGGATTTGAGCATCCAGGTTGGGCCAACTGCGTTGGTCAGTCACTGGCAGGCAGGTTCAGGGTTTATGGTCGAGGGTGCCACTATGCTTCCCTGGGACACTATGCTTCCCCGGGACACTATGCTTCCCCAGGACACTATGCTTCCTCGGGACACTATGCTTCCTCGGGACACTATGCCTGGTCGGTGCTGGCAGCTGCTGGCAGGTGCTGGCCGGTGCTGGAAGGTGCTGGCAGGTGCTGGCAGGAGCAGGCAGGTGCTGGCCGGTGCTGGCCGGTGCTGGCCGGTGCCGGCAGGCGCTGGCAGGTGCTGGCAGGTGCTGGCAGGTGCTGGCAGGTGCTGGCCGGTGCTGGAAGGTGCTGGCAGGTGCTGGCAGGAGCAGGCAGGTGCTGGCCGGTGCTGGCCGGTGCTGGCCGGTGCTGGCCGGTGCTGGCCGGTGCTGGCAGGCGCTGGCAGGTGCTGGCCGGTGCTGGCAGGTGCTGGCAGGTGCTGGCAGGCGCTGGCAGGTGCTGGCAGGTGCTGGCCGTGCTGGCAGGTGCCGGCAGGTGCTCGCTGATGCTGGCAGCTGCTGGCCGATGCTGGCAGGTGCTGGTTGGTGCTGGCCCGTGCTGGCAGGTGCTGGCCGCTGCTGGCAGCTGCTGGCAGGTATTGGCAGGTCCTGGCAGGTGCTGCTGCTGGTAGATGCTGGCAGGTGCTGGCCGGTGCTGGCAGGTACTGGCTGTTGCTGGCAGGTGCACTACCCTTCCCCGGGACACTACCCTTCCCTGGGACACTACCCTTCCTCGGGACACTACCCTTCCTCGGGACACTACCCTTCCTCGGGACACTACCCTTCCTCGGGACACTACCCTTCCTCGGGACACTACCCTTCCTCGGGACACTACCCTTTTCCGGGACACTGCCCTTCTCCGGGATACTACCCTTCCCCCGGACACGACCCTTCCCCGGTACACTACTCTTCTCCGGGACACTACCCTTCCCCGGGACACTACCCTTCCCGGACAGTACCCTTCCTCGGGACACTACCCTTCCCCGGAACAGTACCCTTCCCCGGGACACTACCCTCCCCCGGGACACTACCCTCCCCTGGGACACTACCCTTCGCCGGGACAGTTCCCTTCCTTGGGACACGACACTACCCTTCCCCGGGACACTTCCCTTCCCGGGGACACTGCCCTTCCCCGGGACAGTACCCTTCCTCGGGACACTACCCTTCCTCGGGACACTACCCTTCCTCGGGACACTACCCTTCCTCGGGACACTACCCTTCCCCGGTACACTACTCTTCTCCGGGACACTTCCCTTCCCGGGGACACTGCCCTTCCCCCGGACAGTACCCTTCCTCGGGACACTACCCTTCCCCGGGACACTATCCTTCCCCGGGACACTACCCTTCCCTGGGACACTAGTTTGCGCGTCGGTTATCGAACAGGTGTTTCCTGAGGTGTTGTGGGATTGAGGTGTCTCGAAGTCTTGGATCTCCCTCCCCTCCCCTCCTCTCGTCCTCTGGGATTTCCCTCCGCTCCCCTCCTCTCCTCCTCTCCTCCTCCCCTGCCCCCTTCCCCCCCCTCAACCCATGGAGTACACGCCACCCACTCTCCCACTTGGCTTCCTCCCCTGTTTTCCAGAGCGACTCGGGTGCTGACTCATGTGCTGACTCGGAAGTACCAGCTGGGCACCATTCTCCTCACATGCACCCTACCCGCTACTCCGGCCCTCCCACAGCGTGGCTCTCTCCCTCCCACAGGGCGGCTCTGCGCAGTACCAGCTGGGCAAGGCCAGCCTCGCCAGCAACTGCTTCCAGGTTCCAACCCACCACCGCCCTCACATGCACCCTCCCTGCCTGCGAATCCTCCCCACAGGGTTGCTCTGGTAGTGTCGAAGCAGTACCAGCTTGGCAAGGCCAGCCTCGCCAACAACTGCTTCCAGCCCAGCGCCGCCCTCACCTGCTCCGCTCTATCCAACTCCAACTCTTCAAACCTCAACTCCCCCTCGGCCTCCTCGGCCTCCTCCTCTTCTTCCTCTCAGCGCACAGCAGCAGAGTGCAGGGCATTTTGCAGCATCACCGACAACGGCCCCTGTGACGGCCACGGCGCCTGCGTGCCGCCCTCCCAGAGCTCCCGGTCCAACTTCACGTGCGAGTGCGATGCTGGCTACAGTGCGTTCGACAGTGGGAATGGCTCTACATGCGTCATTCTCACCACCACCACAGTCCCGGCATCAGGTGGGTGTGTGTGTGGTGGCCACTGTGCCTCCCTGCCTGGCAATGAGCATGGTGCATGTGCCTTTATCCCAGAGTCCTCGCTCACGTTCCAGGCAATGGGCTTCGCGTTTCAGTGCGATGCCGACTACCGTGCTTTCGACAGCGGCAACGGGTCGATGTGAGTCATTGCTACCACCACCACGGTCCCAACACCAGGGGAGTGGGGGATTTATCCATGCAGTGACCGCGCTGCCGTGGGCTGCCTGTTCTGCCACATGCTGTGTTTGGTGAGAGCAGTCGCTGTCCCTTTATTCCTCTCCCCTCGTCCTCTCCCCCTCGTCCTCTTCCCCTCGTCCTCTCCCCCTAGTCCTCTCCCCCTTGTCCTCTCCCCCTCGTCCTCTCCCCTCGTCCTCTCCCCCTCGTCCTCTCCCCTCGTCCTCTCCCCCTCGTCCTCTCCCCCTCGTCCTCTCCCCCTCGTCCTCTCCCCCTCGTCCTCTCCCCTCGTCCTATCCCCCTCCACCAGGCCTCTCACCGGGAGCAATAGCGGGCATCGCTGTCGGCTGCTTCCTCGGCTTCGCCCTCCTCTCCACGACCCTCGCTTGCATACTCTTGCCCAAGCGACGCCGTGAGTAACCCTGAACCCTGGTCAACTGCACATCTTCAACCTTAGACCTTGTGAGGCGGCCATGCCCCCTTAGTGTGCAATCACGCCCCCCTTGTATGCAACCACGCTCCTACCCCCTAGTCTACAAACACGCCCCCCTACTTTGCAACCTCGCCCCCCTAAGATGCAACCATGTTCCCCTGTGATGCAACCATGCCCCCCTAGCTCGGTATGCATGCAGCCAGGCTAGACCACTCAACCTGCAAAAAGCCCCTGGTCTTGCCATCAAGCTAGTGGGGCGACCTGCACGTATGCCAAGAGTTCTCCCTGCAGCACCTGCTGCGAGCCACAGACAACTGGGCGGAAGAGGGTTAGACATGGTGGGAAGGGAATGGTCTTGAAGTGACCTTGTAGCATTCACACATCCTCTATTCCCACCAGTTACCCCCCCTCACTCACGCCCGGCCAGGCAAATGGGGCGACCTGGACGTGTGCCACGAGTTCTCCCTGCAGCAGCTGCTGCAGGCCACCGACAACTGGGCGGGTCAGGGGTAGATGGGGAAGCACCAGCGTTCTGAATCTCCCTCGATCCCTGACCCCCACGTCTTGCATTCCCCCACTCCAGGCAAGTGGGGCGACCTGGACGTGTGCCACGAGTTCTCCCTGCAGCAGCTGCTACAAGCCACTGACAACTGGGCGGATGGGAACCGGCTGGGGCGGGGCGGGTTTGCGACGGTGTACCTGGGGGTGTCGCCCAAGGGGGAGATGTGGGCGGTGAAGCGGTGCAAGATCATGACCAACGACTTTGAGAAAGAGGTACGAGGGTGTGTGCATGGGTGGGGATGGGTGGGTAGCTTTTGAGTTACTTGATACGAGCCACTACAACGTCATGGGTGGTCTTTTTGGAGATTGAAGGGTTGTTGCGGCAATAGGGAGACATGTGTGTTGCGAAACGTCACATGGTGACATAAACATGAATAGTCACGTGCCCTCCTCGGTTGTCCCCCCTCTCCCCCCCTCCACACCCACCAGGTGCGAGCCATGGCGACGTTATGCCATGAGAACCTGGTGCGGCTGTTGGGGTTCTCTGTGGACATGAACGTGGAGAGCAGCGGGCAGGAGGTTATTTCAATCCGCCGTCTCTCCCTCTCCTCCCTCTTTGTCCCCCTAGGTCCGAGCCATGGCGACGCTACGGCACGAAAACTTAGTGCGGCTGCTGGGGTTCTGTGTGGACATGAACGTGGAGAGCGGCAGGCAGGAGCAGGTGCTGGTGTATGAGTACGTGGACAATGGCGACCTCAAGCACCACATTCACAACGCCAAGTGTAAGATGCGCTCTTGCTAGTGCCCCTATTACCTTAGAACATGGGCTGTGGATGGGGAGCATGTCCTGTCAAGCATGACCTATGCTATGCACTGAGAGCAGCAGGTAGGAGCAGATGCTGCTCTCGGGTGGCACTGGGGAGTAGCAGAAGGTTCATCTTGCATACCAGCCCAGCATCAGCACACCGATCATTCTGCAAGGTGTTTTTGAAATTTCTCAAAAACACCTTCCAGCTTCAGCACGCCCATCGTGCTCGATCTTCAAAATTTCAATGAAAAGAAAAGGCCTAAGTGCAGCGCGATAGAAATGGCCCCTGACCCGCCCCTTACAAGCCAACCAACATGCTGATTCTCCCCTTCCACACACCCGCATCCCACCCCTGCAGCCCCCCTCACCTTCCACCAGCGCCTCAGGCTAGCCCAGGGAGCCGCGGAGGGCTTGGCCTACCTGCACAGCTTCAGCACGCCCATCGTGCACCGCGACGTGAAGCCCGCCAACATCCTCGTGGGGGAGCGGCCGGGTGGCGGACTGGAGGCAAAAGTGGCGGACTTTGGGCTGCTGAAGCAGCTGACTGAGGGGGGCGGAGAGGGGGATGCCACTAGGATAGCAGGCACCCCGGGGTACGTGGACCCGGACTACAACCGCACACGAGTGGTGTCTCCCAAGACTGACGTGTACAGGTGCGCGTTTCTAAGGTTGTGAGATGACACCGAGGTATGTGTCTCAAAGTTAACAAGTGACTAGAAAGATGGGGTACAAGGGATATAAGCTAAAGTATTGCACCCTCTATGAGCATGCACCTATCTAGCCTATAACATATACAAAATATATGTTGACACACACCCTAGGCTAGACAAAGGGCAACGACTAGCAAGACACACGCAGCTCAGGGTGGCACTACTAGTCCAACCTCTGAGGCAAGGGTCCAAAAACCAGTCAGCAAGAGTACAAAGGAAACAAGACTAACCCTGGGCGGCACTACGAGTCCAGCCATTGGAACAGGAGCCACAAGGCCAGTCAAGGTAATATTAGATAAAGTACACAATCAAGGTCTTAACAAGTGAGAAGCTACAGGCACTAGACCAAGGTGTACACAGTGCTGCTGATGATCTTTAGGCGCGAGCGAATAGTAAAGATATCAGTTGTGTTGGCACCGGAGACCAAGTGTACTACGCGGGCCTGGCGGCGCTGCTATAGCTCGCGCAGGAGGAAGTACCGCAGCTGGAAGTGCTTCGCTCTGTCTCTAGTTGAGGCTCCTGACACAGGAGGATCATGACCCTGTTGCCAGCGTACAGGACCGGGGCAGAACTAGGCCACTCACCTAAGTCTGTGAGCAAGAAAGTCGGCCAGCGGAGCTCCTGTGCCGCCATGGCACCAGCGTAGATGCCAGTCTCACAGCTAGACTGGGCAGCATACAACAAACAGGTGGACCGCCACGAGACGGCGCCTGCACCAAGGCTAAATTAGTAGCCCTGGGAGGACCTGGGTGTTTCAGCGTCGTCTGCCCACGAAGCGTGTGTGTGCCCTGTAAGGACCACTGGCCTGTGTCCTCCTAGTATTAGCCCCATGCCCGATGTATTTGCTAGATAACGCAAAACCGTCTTAACGGCCGACCAATGCTGTGGTCGGTGTCTGCTTGTGGCCACAAAGCGAGACAGGATGCTGAGAGGGTATGCAAGATCTGGACGAGTGCAAGTCTTTAGGTACATGAGGCAACCCACGAGCTCAGCGTAAGGACCACTGGGCTCTACAGACTCCTCAGAGACTGGAGCCGAGAGTCTGTGATCTACTGGCAGAGGTGTGGGCTGTGCGGAGGACAAACCGAAGACCGAACCTCTAAAAGACCTGGGGCACCAAGTGTGACTGTGTAAGAGTGATGGTGTGCGCTGCTCTGTCCCTGGAGATCTTAAGGCCAAGGTAGTGGCGCAGCTCACCTAGGTCAGTGCAGATGTGTCTCCTCAGCAGCTCAGCGTTCACGGAGGTCAGTGCTTCTCTGTCTACATTAGCGAAGACCAAGTGGTCTACGTAGACAAGGATGGAACGAGGTCTGACCAGCACGAACGAAGAGCGAGGGGTCTGCAGAGGCCTGGAAGAAGTGCAGGTCAGACTAACGTAGCACGTTGCGTGTCGTGCCACTCATTGGGCGCTTGCCGCAGGCCGTAAACCGTGCGCCGGAAGAGCCACTCGGTACCAGGGGCGAAGGTGCCGGTGAAGCCGGGAGGACGACGTAGGTAGACCTGCTCGTGCAGACTACCCTGGAGAAACGCTGTGGAGAAGTCGAGGGAGTGCAGCTCGCAGTCACGCTGTGCTGCTACCTATAGCAGTTCTCGAAGACTGGTCATCATCGGAGCCGGAGTGAATGTCTGAAAGAAGTCAACACGCTCGCGCTGACTGAATCCTCTAGCAACGTAGCGCGCCTTGTACACCGGCGGCTCTCCAGGAGGGTGCTTCACCTTGAAGAGTCATCAGTCATCGACTACGTTCACCCTATGTGCGGAAACTGCGTCGACATAGGTGCCGGTGGATCTCTAAGATACCATCTCCGCGTCCATGGCAGCTATCCGCTGAGAGGCCCAGAGTCCCGAGGTCGCCTCAGCGTAAGTGCAAGGGGTCGGGATGTCAAGGGCGTCTGGGTCACCCTCAGGGACTAGCAGTATGGACCAGAGATGAGGAGCGGCCTCGGACAAGAAAGCACGCTCTTAATGCCGATCCTCAAGGACGTCACTGCCGAAGGCAGGAGCATCGCCAACGGACGGAGGACGGGCAGGGTTAAAGACAAGAGCGGTGGCGTAGTCAAGGCGGCGGGGAGAGGCAAAGGCAGCTACGGCAGCGACAAGAGCGTCAAGACTCGAGACAAGAACAGACGGGTCGGTAACGAGGGAGGCAAGGACCCGGGGAACAAGAGGACTAGCGGCACGAAGGAAGTCAGACAGAGGAGGTGAAGCGACATCAAGCGATGACGGAGGAGGCGACGGGAGGAGGGGAGGACGAGACGCGTGGGAACGAAGCAATATTGGGTGAGAGCGCTAGGCAGGAGAGACATGATGAGCACGAGAGGCACGGTAAGACCACTAGCGAGATTGTGGGCTCGGGGAAGGAGACAATGGAGGAGACACAGCAAGAAAAACAGGGGGGGAGACGAGCCGAAGACGAGTCCGGCGGAGGAAATACAGGGCCGTAGACAGGCAGGGGAGGCGGCGGCGGGGGAGGCGGCGGCGGGGGAGGCGTAGTTGAGCGGTTAGGGGAGGGAAGACCGAGGAGGTGAAGGGCGAAAACCGGTATCAACTGCTGCTGCTCCACGCCGACACCAGAAATTCCAGCTGCACCACGGCTACCTGCGGGACACTCCACGCCAACACACCCAAAGCAAGAACCCTCTCCAACACCGGTCCCACCCCCAGAACCACCGGGACGAGCCACAACAGTAACCCTAGGACTGGCACCCCCAGAACCTGCACCTCCAAAACATGCGCCCCTATAACGAGATTCCTCTCCAGCACTGGTGCCACCCCAGGACCACTGGGACAAACCACGACAGGAACTTCTGGACGAGCACCCTCCTCAACACCCGCACCCCTAGAGCTCGGGGACCCCAGCGGCACCGACTTCTTCTGCGGCGACGGCGTCTGCGGCTGCTGCGGCCGCGACGACGACGACGGCTGCTGCGACGGCAGAGGAGGAGACGCAGGGGCGGAGACAGGCGGCGAGATCGGTGCCACAAGGCCACCAGAGTCAGCCGACTCCTCGACCGGGACAGCTGACAGGAGGGAAGTGGCGTGAAACACACCAGACGGGGCAAGACAGGGAGGGAGAGGAGCAGGGGCTACTGTGAGAGTGGGAACCAGGAACAGGTGCGGGGAAATCGGGAGACCTCGGTGGGGAAAGCGGTGGTAGAAGGAGACAGACTCGTTAAAAATGACGTCACGCGAGTGAACGAAGCAGTGAGACGGCGGGTGGTAAAGGTGCCAGTCAGACGCTTCGAGGGGAAAGCTAAGAAAGACACAGGGGAAAGTGCGGGCAGTCAGCTTGTCTGTGTCAGAGGCACGAACGCGAGCAAGACAGCCCCAGACGTGGAACGCAGACGCGTCACCAGGGAACCCGATCCAGAGGAGGGTCGGTGAAACCTGCGGCCGCTGGGAGTGTGGCCACACGTTAAGCGGGTGAGCGGCGTAGCGAACAGCGAAGGGCCACTGAAAGTGAGGTGCACCGGCATGGATCATGGAGGTACAAGTCACCTCCACGACCAAACCGATGCGTTGCTCAGCGACCCCATTCTGCTGCGGGGAGTCAGGCAAGGAGTACAACTGAGTTATGCTTTCCGCACGATAGAACTGGCCAAGCGGACCGGAGGCGAACTCCCCGCTACGGTCAGAGTGTAGACGCAGCAGAGGGAGGTCGCGGTAGACTCGCGCAGCTACGACCCACGGGATAAGAACGTCAGGCACGTTGGCCTTCTGCTCTAAGGGAAACACCGTGGTGTAGCGCGTGTAGTAGTCGACAAGCACTACAAAGTAGCGCTCGCGACGCGGCTCAGGGACGGGGGATGGACCCCAGGCATCCAGGTGCAGGGTCTGGAGTGGCGGAGAGGTAGGGGGAAGCGAGGAGGAGTGAGGAGCACGGCGCAGCCGGCGGGCCGGAGGAGGGGTCAGCAAGCGCGACAGCAGCTGGGGCGGCAGGCGACGCTAGAGCAGTGTGGTCGCGGAAGAAGCAGGCATACGCTCCAGAGTCGAGCGTGAAAGAGAGCGAAGCAGTAGCGTCAGCCAGCGGAGGGGCTAGTGTGTAGCCTAGGTTAAACAAGGCAGGGGGTCCTACACCTTTCGCAGCAAGGGAACCTAGACTACACACAAGGGACACATCTACGCTAGGCAACACTGGGTAATATGGTCTAATCACACTAGAGTTATCAGCATACATGGCATACATAGCAGATCTAATCTGATCCATGTCCATCTCAAAGACAGGCACACGACGACGCACCAGGGTGTACCAGTCGGGGGGTCCGCCGTAGGGCCGAAGCAGAGACGGAAGAGTTCGTCGAGGCAGCGGTAGCAGCGCGCGGCGGTGTGACCGGGACGGTCGCAGACGGTGCCCCGGCAGGGCCCGGACTGAAGCTGGTACTGGCAGGTGACCACACTGGGTCTGCCACCCGACACTGAGCTGCGTGGCCCACCACCACGACCACCACCACCATCGCTGCCAGGCCACCACGGCTGCTGCTGCTGCTGAGGCGGCTGCTGCTTGTGTTGCTGCTCCACTGTCCCCTCGTCTGCACTACCGTCCCCGGCATCACCTCCGCCACCTCCACCACCCCCACTGAGCTGCTGGCGGCTACGGTCGGCTGGTGGCTATAGGCGGCCTGCGGCTACAGGCAATTGGCTGCTACGGGCGGCACGAGGCGACGGGCGGCCAGCAGCGACTAGCGACGGGCGGCTAGGAACGGGCGGCTAGAAACGGGGCGGGTAGCGACGGGCGAGTAGAAACGGGCGGCTAGCGAAAGGCGGCTAGGGCTAGGACTAAAGCAGAAGCGCGGGTGGGTGTGGAGGACCTAACCTAGCGCATGATACCATCTCAGAGTTAACAAGTGAATAGTAAGATGGGGTACAAAGAATATAAGCTAAGGTGTTGTACCCTCTATGAGCATGCACCTATCCAGCCTATAACATATACAAAATATACGTTGACGATGTGGACCGGATTAGAACCAGACGCAAGTGGTTTCGCCCAAGACAGACATGCAGAGGTGAGGATGTGGGTTTGTGTGAACGCGTGCGGATGTGGGGAATCAGCGTACCTGTGTGAGTGGTTCTATCTGCCTCTAATGATGCCGGGGTATGTGGACCCGGACTATGATCGGACAGGAGTGGTGTTCCCCAAGACTGGCGTGCACAAGTGAGGTTATGTGGGGGTTCACTGACCACGTGTTGAATTGTGCTGGCAAGTCCCGTGCATGTCCCGTGCTCCCTGCAGCCGTATCTCCCCTGCAGCTTTGGAGTGGTGCTGCTGGAGATGCTGATTGGCAGGGGAATGGGGAAGACATGGGCGCAAGGAGAGAAGCTGCTTATTTTGTGCCCCCTGTATGGCTTGTGCTCCCTGTGACCTTGCACTGCGCTTTCCCTGCAGCTTTGGAGTGGTGCTTCTGGAGATTCTGACAGGCCGGCCAGCAGTGATGCGTGAAGAGGATTACCACATTGCCACGTGGGTAAGTAAGAACCACATTGCCACGTGGGTAAGTAAGCACTACATTGCCACGTGGGTAAGGACCACATTGCCTCGTGGGTAAGGACCACACTGCCATGTGGGTGAGGACCACATTGCCACATGGGTGAGTGGGCTCTTGCCATAAGTGCTCCCCTTACACGCTTCTCACCCGGTGCTGTCGTATGTGCTGTTTCCTTATATACATCAAACACCCTATAAATATTATCGTAACTCCTTCTGGCGCCCTTATCCCAACCCTCCCCAGGCAGCCCAGAGGGTGGCAGAATATGAGCTGGACCTCCTTAAAGACCCTTCTATTGATGCCCCTGATGATGCAATAGTGGAGTTTGCTGACATCGCGCTGGACTGCCTAAAAATGCCGTGCACGCGCCGCCCGGATATGAAGGACGTGGCACACAGAATTGACTCCATGATTCACAAGTACTGTCTTGGTAAGGGCGAGAAAGAGGTCGCTCCTGGCGAGCCTGTAATGAGGCCACTCATTAGCGAGGATGAGGATGGTATTAACGATTTGGAAGTTGTGGCTAGTGGTAGTGGGCTAACACTGACAGGCACAGATGTGAGCAGAATTAACAGTAGCCTTGCGAGTAGCAGTCCCTTGCCTAGGCGGGTGGGTGGGGATGGAGCAGAGGTAGTAGCTTTCGGGAGTGCCAGTTCAGATAGCATAATGTCTAAAGGCTCGCATGCTGACCACAGTATTATTGAGAAAAGGGTTCACCCCCGCTGATTTTAGGTGCTACATTTCAACATTTTTTGTGCCCTTTCGTCGAATACCTGCCTTGAAAATCGATGTGCTTCAATGTTTTATTTAAAGGGAAAGTTGTTCCCTTGAACCATTGCATTCTATTCTTAGCGACTTGATTAAAAGACGTTTGAACTTTATAGACTTTTTTCTGTAACAAGAGGCGATCCCCGTGATACAACCTGCTCGCTCGCTGCCATTTCGCTTTCGCACAACCCACGCTTCAAGATTTCGAATCGAATGCTTGAGAACTCGCCTGCACTCAGTGTTTTATCCTGAGCCTCCTATAACCACACCATCCATACTTACTAATTCCTGAGCCTCCTATGAGCCCTCGTGTTACTTCCATAGCGGTTCTTCCAACCTAGCGAGCCTTCTCCCGCCACGATTCGCGCTACTTTCCGCCAGGGACGCAGAAAGCGTAGACGCGCTGAGGCCCGCCCCCAGTCGCATAGGGAACAAGGACGCTGCGATAACCCTTCCCGAAGAAGATACACCCACGGTCAATAGACACGCCGCTGTGCACAGAGGCGCCAGGAGAGAAGGACCATAGAATGTTACCCGAGGCAGCGTCAAACGCGTACACGTGTCCCGCGGCGTCCATAGACGTACCGAACATCACGCCGTTAGCGACGGAAGGCAGCATCGCGAGCGCGGGGAAGTTCGGGTTCTCCTGCGACCAGAGCACCTGACCCGTCGCAGGATCCAGAGCCACCCATGCGCTGTGCGTGGTAGTGTTACCGGACGGCAGCAAAGTGAAATTCGTAAACTCGCTATTCTCGTTGCTGATGTAAACGCGCTGGAGGTCGGTAGCGATACCCCAGGCAGAGCCGCCCAGAGCGCCTCCTGGCCCAGCTGCTGTGGACCACACGATCTGTCCGTCGGCGCGATCAAGGGCCCAGATGACTCCCGACTTCTGCCCAATCACGGCGAGATCGCGCTTGCTCTTGCAGCCAGCGCCATTCGTATTGCGATTCACAGACAAGAGCAGCGGCGCCATGCCGAAATCGTAGTCTTCTCCGGGGTTTGGCGGGCAGTTGGGCTGCGAAGCCCCGAACACGCAAGCGATAGTGAACGCATCTATCGGGCTGAGATTCTTCGCCCACGTAATGCTCCCCGCGGCAATATCGAGGGCGAGCACCGAGTCGAAGTAGTTTCCCGCCTCGACGCACGGATCGGGGAACACCGGCGCGCCCTCCGTCTCCAGCTGCTGCTGCTGGCACTGCGAAACGCTCGCAGGCACGCGATAGTTGTTACCCGTCGCGACGAAAACGAGCTGTCGCTTCCTGTCGATGGACGGCGAGCCGCCCCAGATCGCACCGCCGGCGTAGAGACTCGAGTTGCCGCCATTCGCGGGAAGGGTGTACGTCTGCCAAATCGTCTGCCCCGTCGCCACGTCGAGCTTTACTACACTCCCAATGAACGTGCAGCAGGGGTAATTAGGATTCACCGCGAATATCTCCTCGGCTGAAGAAACCCCGTTGATGTAACCGCCGCGGTAGACGGTGCCGGACGCAGTGATGAGCGCCGCGGGATGCGGATCGACGAGGGTCTTCCACACGAGCTCGCCGTCCGATCGTCGCACGGCCAGAACGAACGCCGGATTGAAAATGCCGATTATGAGTAGGCTGGTTTGGTTTCTGCTGCCTTTCACCACGGTTGGCGTGGACCTACAATAGGGCGCTCTGCCCTGGTAGTTGTTGGGAACGCCGTAATCCGGTCCTATGCGCTTCGTCCACAGGACCTCCCCCGAGTTGCGCTTCACGGCGAACAAGGAGCCCCCGTTGTCGCAGAAATACACTGCGTTTCCGAAGACAGCAGGCGTCGCGCTCACGTCGCCGGTGGTTTCGACCTCCCAGGCGAGTGAGAGCTGTGAGACGGTGGCTGGCGAGATGCGCTGCTCCTTGTCTGCCCACCTGCGGTTGCTCAGGTCGCCGCCATGGTTGGTCCAAGTCGCTTGGCTGATCGCGGGTAAGCCAAGCAGCAAGACGAGAGCAGCGAAGACGAACACAGCCTGCATGCTGCTAAATGGCTCAAATGTTGAATGGGAAGTAATGAGGGCTAATTGATGCTGAATATCGATAGGAGAAAGCTTTTATCATTTATACATTATTGCGGGAATTTCTGAGTGTACTACAATACGGAGGAGGGAATGCATCTCGCGCGCCGCGCATTTAGTGCCTGTTGGCTTGTTCATCCGAGCAGTCCTCCTCAGCTGCATGCCGTCTCGTGTGGGCAGCAGTGGGGGTGTGACAACTGCGAAAACAGGGGCGTGGTGGTGATGGGACACCGACGTTCGGCTGACAGCCAACGACGTTCGCCTACGTTCGCAAAACACTAACCTGACATGGTTCTCGTTCGGTCCTGGGAACGGCACATACGCTTTGAAGAGTTCTATATGACTGCTTTAACTACTACATGACGACGGAAAGCCCGCTTTATACTTTTAGTTTTAAAATACATAACTCATGTAAACACCTCATGCTTTAAACTACAGCTACGTGAATGGGATAGATCACGTACCATAAAGCAGTCATAATGGGCAAGGACGCCCAGTATGCAAGGGCAAGGGCTATCACTGCGCCTGATGCACCTGGACTGAGCAGAATCCAGTTTCCCAATTTGGCTGTGCTCTCAGTGCCATTTCCTCAATGCTAACCCAATTGATGTTAGGGGATTCAGCAAATTAGCTCTGGTGTTCCATAACATGACAGTCATACACTTCAATTTCAAAAAGGATAGCCGTGATAGCACACTTCACTCTCTAAGAGCGATTTATGGAGCAAAGGATTAGGGTGTAGTGCTACTCGTGTGTGCCTCTGGACAATGGTGGTGGTCACGATGCAAACCCGATTGATGTCTGCAAAGCAAACACGGCGTGCGGGGAAAAAAGGGACCAGGGCGGTGAGTTCAGGGCGGACATTGAACACAGTGTACGGGGAAAAGAAGGGAATGGGGCGGGAGCAAGGCGAGGAAAGGGAGGTGAGCCGTTTGCGCATATGGAGTATGGACAGACAGACCATGCCTTACAGCGGCAGCAACAAAACACACAACAGATGCATGCCTGCTGAACAAGCACTAGTGCCAGACATGCCAGCTCACCTCATTCGGACATGCCAGCTCACCTCATTCGGACATGCCAACTCACCTCATTCGGACATGCCAGCTCACCTCATTCGGACATGCCAGCTCACCTCATTCAGCTCTGCCAGGTGTCGCACTCTGAAGTCATCCAGTGTGGCAGCAATCTCAGCTGGCGGCAGCTTGGCCTGCCACACAAACGCGTCAGCAGGGGGATAGAGGGGAGAGTGGACGGTCAATTGAACAGCAAATAAATATATCAACCTCGCACAATAAGACGTAAGAATCTCTATTACTGTACTAACATCTTCCGCAGTGTACAGCAATCCCAGCCATTCCCTCCTCCCCCCCCACCCCCCCCCCCCCTTCCCCACCATATGCTCCTGAGCGAGCACCGCAGCCACTAACTGCAGGCTGGACTCTTTTCTTTAGGCGCCTGACAAAACCATCCCTCCCTCCCTCTCCCCGCCCCACTCCACCCTACGCACCTGCGCGAGCACAGCAGCCGCTAGCTGCAGACTGGGCTCTAGAGTCTCCGGAACCACCTGAGCCACACACAGCCAGGCGGGAGGGGGAGAAAGACAGAGGGGCAGGAAGAACAAGTTTCATCAGCCAGATTGGGGTTGGAGGAGTGGTGGTGGTGGGGAAGGGGAGGGGGGGGGCGGGGGAGAAGGGACCGGGATAGCAGTGGTTTAATCCACTGATGTGCTCCCATACATGCCCTACCCCTCACAGAGAATTCTAAAAACCTATCACTACCCCTCCACAAAAAATTCTAAAGAGCATATCACTATTTCGCCACAGGGCCTACAGTACATGCTTGTAACCCCGGCTTACAGCAGTGGCGCCAGCTTTGACTAGGTTGGTCCCATTGTCAATGTCATGAGCACCCACAAATGTCTTGATGTGCGGAAAGTTACAGGTAACCGCCCAACGTACATAGTTTGCCCCCCACAAACCGCAGTGGCACCAGCTTTCTCCATGTCCCATTGACGATGCCATGCCCATGCACAAACGTCTTGACCGCACCGTTTAATAGAAAGTTCCTCATCAGACCCCACACCGTTTAATGCTGCCCCCCCCTTCTCCCCCTCCCCTCCCCCCCCTTCACCTTCTCTCCCCAACTCACTGCAGCGGCCCCAGAATTCTCCAGGTTGATCCCAAGGTCAACGTGGATATGCGCATGCACCTTGATGTGGAGAAACATCCGTGTTAAAGCCAAAAGTACATATCTTGATCCCTGAACTCACCGCGGTGGCCCCGGCTTTCTCCAGGTTAATCCCATGGTCGATGTCATGCGCGCGCACAAACGTCTTGATATGAGGAAAGTTCCTCATCAGAGTCCACACCGTATAATGCTGCCCCCCCCTTCTCCCCCTCCCTCCCCCCCTTCCCCCCTCCCCTCCCCCCCCCCCCTCACCTTCTCTCCCCAACTCACCGCGGTGGCGCCAGCTTTCTCCAGGTTGATCCCGTGGTCGATGTCATGCGCACGCACAAACGTCTTGATGTGGGGAAAGTTCCTGGTAAGCGCCCACACCGCCCGGTAGTTGGCCCCCGGCGTGTCGAGAGTAATGACGGCCGCCGCCGCCCGCTCCGCGCCGACCTTGTGCAGCACGTCCCTGCTGCCCGCGTCGCCGAAATACACCGGCAGGTCGAGAGTCTGGCCTGCACTCACCCTCTCACTGGCAGGTGAAAGGGCATGGGAGGGGAACGGGATGACGTGGGGGTTGACGAGCCTGGTAGAGACAACACCAGGATTACGCGAACGCACTGAGAGAGCCTCACAGCATGAGAGCTTACGTGCGGACGTCGAGGGCAACGAAGGGGATGAGGCTCTCCGACAGCAGCTGGCCGATGATCTGCCCCACGCGTTGAGGGTGACTCACCAGGAGCCGCAAGGGAGGCATGTCAAAGTGGGTAGTTCACACAATGCTTACGTGCGGACGTCGAGGGCAACGAAGGGGATGAGGCGCTCAGACAGCAGCTGGCCGATGATCTGCCCCACGCGGCCAAAGCCGCAGATGATGATGTGGCCCTGCAGGTCGTCCGTCTGGGGTGGGGGGGGGGGTGTGAGAGAAGGGTATGAAGCAACACGCACGTGAGTGCATGTCCGTTTCAAGCGCAGCTGAGTGATGATTTGCCCCACCCTGCCACATGCATTCCTGCCATTACACAAAGCATGCACACAAAATGCACACCCTCATGACCTGCAGCACACCCCTCGCTTTATAATCCCCCACCACTACCCAGTCCCTGCCAACCTCCGTCTCCTGGGGCTCAAGGCTCCGCACATCCTGCTGGTCCAAGTGAGCACCACGCACACATAGCCCGGCACACGTAGCCCGGCACACATAGCCCCAACTCACCTCCGTCTCCTGGGGCTCCAGGCTCCGCACATCCTGCTGGTCGAAGCGAGCCGCCAGCAGCTGGCCAAAGCCAGCGAGCCAGGGGGTGATGGCCATGCTGATGCCGACTATGAGGAAGAGCAGGGAGGAGAGCTGTGCTGGCATGATGCCCTGGTAGGGATAGGGGTGTGATAAAGGATAGGGCGCAGGACCATGTGAGTGGTAGAGTTTTGAGGCGCCTCAAAAGTCAGGACCATGTGAGTGGCAGAGTGTGGTGCGATTTGGATCAAAGCCGGCGAGCCAGGGGGTGATGGCCATGCTGATGCCGGCTATGAGGCAGAGGAGGGAGGAGAACCCTGGCCCTGGTGATGAGGCATGATCCCCTGGTGTGTGTACAGGGGTGTAGGTAGGGCGACAGAGAGGAACAAGGACGTGCAGCCAGGGGGTGATGGTCCTTGTTGGGGTGCAGATAGAAAACGGTAGGCAGGAGGGCTGGGGTGTGGAGTGTGAATGCCCCATCCCACACACCCCAGCCTTACTTTCTGAACAGCCCCCCCGAACGCCACAGACGTGAGGCTTTAGAGTCGACTCAGCAGTCAGCTCCTTACCTTCTGAACGGCCTTGCTGACCGCCACAAAGGCGAAATCACCAGCAGGCGCCAGTAGAGTAGCAGCCCTGTGCAGCGTTGGTGGAGAGGCCAAAGGGGCGCCCAGGGCGGTCTTGCCAACCAACCATGGTTACTGGCAACTGGCACAAATCTCGCCTTATGAACGGCTTCCTTTGAGGCGCCTCAAAAGGTGGTCTTGCCAACCAACCAGCATTACCGGCACAAACCTCACCTTCTGCACGGCTTCCCCAAAGGCAACGAAGGCGAACTCCCCTCCGGGCGCCAGCAGCAGCCCGGTGCGCATGGCAGCGATGGTGGAGAGGCCAAAAGAGCGGCCGATTGCGGTGATGAGGGCGGTCTTGCCGATGATGAGTGCTGCTATTGACGCCACGATGAGGGGGAAACGCGCCACCAGGAGCTTGGGGTCGATGGACATGCCCACCTGGAGGGGGTGAAAAGGAAGGGGAGAGACCGGGGGGAGGGTAAGGGGCCAAGAGGGCGGTCTTGCCGATGATGAGTGCTGCTATGGAGGCGAGGATGGGGGGGAAGCACGCCACTAGCAGCTTGGGGTCGATGAACATGCCCACCTGGCGAGGGGGGTTAGGGGGCTTGGGTTGAGAGAGAGGGTGGGGGGAGGGGGGAAAAGAGAAAGAAGGCAAGACCGCTTGAGGACGATAGGCAGCGGGGCGGCACAGTGGGAGAGCGTAAAGCAGGTTCTCTGGGGCTCGTACACCTATGATGGCTTTTGAGTCGACTCAAAATTCAGCTCGTTTTGAGTCGACTCAAAAGTCAGCTCGTTTTGAGTCGACTCAAAAGTCAGTGGGGAGAGCGTAAAGCAGGTTCTCTAGGTCTCGTACACCTATAATGGCTTTCGAGTCGACTCAGAAGTCAGTGGGGAGAGTGTAAAGCAGGTTCTCTAGGGCTCGTACACCTATAATGGCTTTTGAGTCGACTCAAAAGTCAGCTCGTTCTGAGTCGACTCAAAAGTCAGTGGGGAGAGCGTAAAGCAGGTTCTCTAGGTCTCGTACACCTATAATGGCTTTCGAGTCGACTCAGAAGTCAGTGGGGAGAGCGTAAAGCAGGTTCTCTAGGGCTCGTACACCTATAATGGCTTTTGAGTCAACTCAAAAGTCAGTGGGGAGAGCGAAAAGAAGGTTCTCTAGGGCTCGTACACCTATATGGGCTTTTGAGTCGACTCAAAAGTCAGTGGGGAGAGCGTAAAGCAGGCTCTCTAGGGCTCGTACACCTATATGGGCTTTTGAGTCGACTCAAAAGTCAGTGGGGAGAGCGTAAAGCAGGCTCTCTAGGGCTCGTACACCTATATGGGCTTTTGAGTCGACTCAAAAGTCAGTGGGGAGAGCGTAAAGCAGGCTCTCTAGGGCTCGTACACCTATATGGGCTTTTGAGTCGACTCAAAAGTCAGTGGGGAGAGCGTAAAGCAGGCTCTCTAGGGCTCGTACACCTATATGGGCTTTTGAGTCGACTCAAAAGTCAGTGGGGAGAGCGTAAAGCAGGCTCTCTAGGGCTCGTACACCTATATGGGCTTTTGAGTCGACTCAAAAGTCAGTGGGGAGAGCGTAAAGCAGGCTCTCTAGGGCTCGTACACCTATTTCCAGGGCGGTTGGTCTCAAAGAAAGACCATCTCATGCTCTGAGGAAAGTCAAGCTGGTACCCAGAAGAGACCCCGAGCAGGAGCCCCCCTAGAAGGAAGCCTGAATCCAGTAGCCCAGTAGCCCGGTAGCCCCGTAGCCCAATAGCCCATTAGCCCATTAGCCCATTAGCCCAGAGGCCCAGAGGCCCAGTGGCCCAGTGGCCCAGTAGCCCAGTAGCCCAGTAGCCCAGTAGCCCAGTAGCCCAGTAGCCCAATAGCCCAGTAGCCCAGTAGCCCATTAGCCCATTAGCCCATTAGCCCAGTGGCCCAGTGGCCCAGTGGCCCAGTGGCCCAGTGGCCCAGTGGCCCAGTGGCCCAGTGGCCCAGTGGCCCAGTAGCCCAGTAGCCCAGTAGCCCAGTAGCCCATTAGCCCATTGGCCCATTAGCCCAGTAGCCCAGTAGCCCAGTAGCCCAGTAGCCCAGTAGCCCATTAGCCCATTGGCCCATTAGCCCAGTAGCCCAGTAGCCCAGTGGCCCAGTGGCCCAGTGGCCCAGTAGCCCAGTAGCCCAGTAGCCCAGTAGCCCAGTAGCCCAGTAGCCCAGTAGCCCAGTAGCCCAGTAGCCCAGTAGCCCAGTAGCCCAGTAGCCCAGTAGACCAGCTTCAAGGCGAATCAGGAATCAAATGAGAAGAGCCCGAGCAGCAGGCAACCGCTGCTTCGAGTCACGGCACTCATTCACCAGACAATCCTCAAGTCAAGGTACCTCACCATTCGCACATCCATTGTGGCTCACAGTGAATGCTGCTTCGATCGACTCACAGTCATGAAGAAGAGCCCGAGCAGCAGCCCGCGGTAGGGGTTGATGTCTGACTCGACCTGCAGGGCGAACTCCGTCTCTGCCAGCAGCAGGCCCGCGAGGAAAGCACCCAGCGCCATGGAGAGACCCGCCTGAGGGGAGGGGCGTGGGAGAGAGGGCAGGGGAGGAGGCGAGGAGAGGAGGAGGCCGCGGAAGAACTTGATGTCTGACTTTTGAGAACGTGCAGGGCGAAGCAAACCCCGTCTCTGCTAGCAGCAGCCTGATCAGCAGCCTGAGCAGGCGCTAGGAAGGCGCCTGGGGCCATGGACAGTCCCGCCTGATGAGGGAGTAGTGGGGCGGAGGGGACGAGCAGGAGGTGGAGTGATAGGGTGAGGACGTGGGGGAAGGACGAATGATGGGAGCTTGGATCAGAGGAAAAGGGAAGCACACGGGGGGGGGGAACGAAAACAAGAAGAGAGGAGGAAGGAAAGAGCAGGGGGGCGAGAGGGAGGTAAACGGTGATGGTAATTGCACCTGAACTGATCCAAACTCACCTGCGTTATCCTGGCTCACCTGCGTTTCAGGGGCTTACCTGCATTTTATGGGCTCACCTGCGTTTAGGGGCTCGCCTGCGGTGTAAGAGACTCAAATTGGCGGTGAGAGACCCACCTGGGCGGTGAGCACGGAGGTGCCGAGCACAACAAGCAGTGTGTTGGCCGCAAAGATCTCCGCGTTGTGATTCTCTGCCATGCTGCGGTAGATGGGGCGCAGCAGCTGCCGAGGGGGGGCAGAAGCGAAGGGCAGAGGGCATGGAGGCAGAGCGGATTAAGAGGAGCCATAGGGGATGGGCAGTGATCTCCGCGTTGTGGTTCTCCGCCATGCTGCGGTAGATGGGGCGCAGCAGCTGGAGAGAAGGGAGGGGGGAGGGGGGGTGTGGGACGAAGCAGAGAGTGAGGGGGCATGGGGCAAATAAGAGGCGTTGTGGTTCCACGCCATGCTGCGGTAGATGGGGCGCAGCAGCTGGGGAGGAGGGAGGGGGGGAGGGGGGGGGTGGGATGAAGCAGAGAGTGAGGGGGCATGGGGCAAATAAGAGGCGTTGTGGTTCCACGCCATGCCGCGGTAGATGGGGCGCAGCAGCTGGGGAGAGGGGGGCAGGGGGGGGAGGGAAGGCAAGGGCAGAGGAGATGGAGGCAGAGGGGATGGAGGCAGAGGGGGTTAAGAGGAGCCCATAGGGGATAGGCAGTGATCTCCGCGTTGTGGTTCTCCGCCATGCTGCGGTAGACGGGGCGCAGCAGCTGGGGGGGGGGGGAAGCGAAGCCAAGGGCAGAGGGCGTGGAGGCAGAGGGTACGGTACAGCGTCCACCGGTGGACGGTGGACGGTGGACGGCGGACGGTGGACGGTGGACGGTGGACGGTGGATGGTGGACAGTGGACGGTGGACAGTGGACAGTGGACAGTGGACGGTGGGCGGCGTTCACCAGTGGACGGTGGGCGGTGGACGATAGACGGTGGACGGCGGACGGTGGACGGTGGACGGCGTCCACCGGTGGACGGTGCACGGTGGTCGGTGGACGGTGGACGGTGGACGGTGGGGGCGTCCACCGCTGGACGGTGGACAGTGGACGATGGATGGTGCACAGTGGACGGCGTCCACCGGTGGATGGTGGATGGTGGACGGTGGACGGTGGACGGTGGACGGTCTCCACCGGTGGATGGTGGACAGTGGACGGTAGACGGAAGACGGAAGACGGATGAGGGTGGACGGTAGTAGACCAAAGAGCACCCACCAGTCTGCCGTCCAAAGAGCACCCTTCAGTCTGCCGCCCAAAGAGCACCCACCAGTCTGCCGCCCAAAGATCACCCACCAGTCTGCCGCCTGCAAAGATCCCTGCAATGGCGACCACGGCCTTCATTGCTGCCAGCCCCAGCGCTTGAGCAATAGCAGTCAGACCCACGGACTGGTGGGGGGAGCGAGGGAGTGAGGGAGGAGAGGGGGGGGCGGGCGGAAGAGAAATAGAGCAGTTGAGGGGGGAGAGAAGCAATGACCTTCATTGCCGCCAGCCCCAGCGCTTGAGCAATGGCGGTAAGGTCCACGGACTGGTGGGGGGAGCAGGGGAGCGAGGGAGGAGAGGGGTTGGGCGGAAGAGCAATAGAGCAGTTGAGTTGAGAGAGAAGCAATGGCCTTCATTGGTGCAAGCCCCAGCGCTTGAGCTATGGCAGTAAGGCCCACGGACTGGTAGGGGGAGCGGGGGAGCAAGGGAGGAGAGGGGTTGGGCGGAAGAGCAATAGAGCAGTTGAGTTGAGAGAGAAGCAATGGCCTTCATTGGTGCAAGCCCCAGTGCTTGAGCAATGGCAGTAAGGCCCACGGACTTGTGGGGAGGAGCGGGAGAGTGAGGGAGGAGAGGGGTTGGGCGGAAGAGCAATAGAGCAGTTGAAGGGAGAGAGAAGCAATGGCCCTCATCGCTGCCAGCCCCAGTGCTTACGCAATGACGGTCAGACCCATGGACGGACTGCAGGGGAGAGGAAGGAGATGTGAGGGGGGGGAGGGGGGGGAAGAGGAGGGAAGAGAGCAGGGTGTGGGGGGGAAGACAGATAGAGCAGTTGAGGGGAGTGGGGAGCGGTGCCAGCCCGGCCTTTATTGCTGCCAGCCCCAGCGCCTGAGCTATGGCGGCCAGACCCACGGACTGCAGGGAAGAGGACGGGGGGGGGGGGAGAGGGGAGGGGTGCGGGTGGGGAGGAAGAGAGAAGGGTGGTGAGGGTGAAGAGATGCATCTTGCAGCAATGAATTGTTGCAATGGCACTTCAGTAAATCACAAGGGAATTGTTGTGTGGAGATTGCAGAAAAGGGTCGTTCCAATCTACGAAGAGCGACCAGAAGGCAACTGCCACAAAAAGGAAAACATCTTGCATGGTCTACAGATTGGCAGGCTGAGTCCAACACAAGGCGTACCCCATCGGCAGATGATGAGGGTGCAAGGAGAGGGATGAGGAGGGTCAATGATGGAAAGGTGCGTGCGGGAAGGAGGAAAGTGAGGCCTACCCCATCAGCCGACGAGGAGGAGGGTGCGAGGAGAGGAATGAGAATGAGCAGCACCACCACTGCCAAATCCTGATGTGTAGGGATGCAGAGAAGTGGTGGGGAGAGATGGAGCCACATGCGAGAGAGGGGAGAGAGAAGGAAGAGAGGAGAGATAGGGTGAGGAAGGAGGAAGGGGGGGGGGTGAGAATGAAAATTGCCACCAGGGCCAGGTGTGGAGGGAGGCAACAAGGAAAGAACAATAACACAAAGGGAGGGCAGAGTGACAACGAAACTGGGTAACAGTGGCACGTGGACAGAAAGAAGGACAGAGAGAGGGAGCAACAGCGATCGTGGCACCTGGACGAGCACCTGAAAGCACCTTCAGGTGAAACAGAGAGCACCTGAAAGCACCTTCAGGTGAAACAGAGAGCACCTGAAAGCTCACCTGGAAAAGGCAGCTGGGCGCACCTGGAAGAGGAGGACAGAGAAGGTGGCTCGACCGTGGCGTGAGGTGCTCTCCCCTCGCTCTTGCAGCACCTGTGCGATGGGGATGGGGAGATGGGGGTTGGGATGGGGAAAGGTGGTTGTTGTGATGATGGTCATGGGGGGGTGGTTGTGAAGGGAAGCGATGTGGGGGGGAGGGGAGGGGGGGAGGATGGTCTGTAACGGTCACAACGCGGTGATGGTGCGTGCATGCGGTGGGCGGGATAAGTGGCAAGTGGTTCTGCAAATTGATGTGTGCATGGCAAGTGAGCACAACCAAGGTAGGTTGTCGAATACAGCTCTTTCTAATCCTGTTTTCACCTGATGGGTTAAATTCACCTTACTGAAGCAGGGTTAGATTCACCTGAAGTGTTGAATTCATGAAAATGTTGTTTGCACCTGGAGCCGACAGCAGTGGAGGAGAGTGCGAGCCCGCTGCCAATAACAAGAGCAGCGGGGCCCAACACCAACGCGAGGAGATACAAGTACAACAGTTAGATTGCGGTTTAGCTCTGACATTGGACGCACCTGGAGCATTCGACTGACCTGGAGCACGACAGCAGTGGAGGAGAGCGCGAGGCCGCTGCCAATGACAAGAGCAGCGGGGCCCGACACCGACGCCAGCAGAGCCACGCTCACGCCCACCACTGCTGCCGTCACCAGCACCTGATGAGAGGCGAGGCATGGGGAGGGGGGACACGTGCATGGAGGAAAGATTAGACAATTCTTAAAAATTTGTCTACAGCAAGGGGGAGGATTTTTGAGTCGACTCATTACACACGTGTCTACAACAAGGGGGGAAACGAGCATGGATGGAGGAGACGGGTCGGGACTTGAACGAGGATGCCTTGGATTCCACCCCTACAGGTCAAACGCCTTCCCTCCTCACCCATAACCCCCTACTGTGCATGTGTTCCATCCCCCAAACCATGTGTAATGAGTCGATTTTTGACTCGACTAAAAAGCAAATCGACTCATTACACACGGCTCCCCCATTACCCCCTACTGTGCATGTGTTCCATCTTTGAGGCGCCTCAAAAACCAAACCCCCTATAGACTCCTCCCCCATTACCCCCTACTGTGCATGTGCTCCATCCCCCACACCAACCCCCCCCATCAGCTTTACCTGCACCTCAAAGGAGGGCTCTCTCACCTGGGCAGAGCCAAGGCCGAAGACGTATTTGCGCATGGAGTTGAGACGCTCGAGAGACAACTGTGCGGGTGATGGGGATAGGAGGGGGGTGATGGGGATAGGAGGGGGGTGATGGAGATAGGAGGGGCGTGATGGGGATAGGAGGGGGGTGAGGGAGGTGAGGGAATGGAGGGATCATGGATGGGAGGGACGCGAGAGGAGAGAGAGGAAGAGAGTGGCTGCACACGACCGCCCAAGCGCTCAAGACCGATCGCCCAAGCGTGCAAGATCGCCCAAGCATGCAAGATCGCCCAAGCATGCAAGATCGCCGGAGTGTGCAAATGTTGAACATGAGAGGTACTGACCTCGAGCCCGATGTTGAACATGAGAGGTACTGACCTCGAGCCCGATGTTGAACATGAGAGGTACTGACCTCGAGCCCGATGTTGAACATGAGAGGTACTGACCTCAAGCCTGATGTTGAACATGAGAGGTACTGACCTCGAGCCCGATGTTGAACATGAGAGGTACTGACCTCAAGCCCGATGTTGAACATGAGGAACACCACGCCAAACTCAGCGAGCGCCTTGGTGCCATGCACATGCTTAATGATGGAGAGGGCGTACGGGCCAATCAGCGCCCCCGCTGCCAGGTAGCCCAACACAGGGCTTCCTGTGTGTGTTGGGAAAGAGGGAGCAGGGGGGAGAGAGGACAGAGTAAAGAGGCTTGGTGCCATGCCATGCCATGCATGTGCTTATGTTGGGGAGGGCGTATCAGCACCGCTGCTGCCAGGTATCCCAAGACAGGGTTGCCTGGGGTGTGGGAATAAGGTGGCAGAACAGCCATCGGCGGCCGAGGACAGAGGGCCGTGCCATGGTGCTGTGCTGTGCCGTGCACGTGTGCCTGAGGGAGTAAGATCGTATTCTGAAGTTGGGCCGACGAGCAAAGTTTTCCCATGCGGCTCGAAATGTCTTGAAATGTCTGAAATTGGGAATGCAATGTTGGGCTGTGCGCTTCGGCTTTTGCCGAAACCAAAAGTTTCGCCCATGTGCCCTGCGACGTGGGCGCACGACCAACGCGATCAACACGTCCGGCGCAAATTGGTACTGTGGATGAATGCGCCTCGTCTGGACGTGAGACACGTTTGCAAAACAGACGGCCCAGTGGCACGGTTACCGCATCAGCTGCCCGTAACAACACACAAACAAACGAGGCACGAAACGAATAACGGGCAGAACTTCCTGGACCCCAATATCGCCTCTCAAGCCATAAAAACCTAACAGCAACATCGCAACGCGATGGGTACAGTTTAGCAGTGCAGGTTTTGGGGCTGTTGGCGGGTTTTTTTGTACCAATGTTGTTGCAAACTCGACCGTCAGGTTGCAGACGCGCAACCGGTACATTCCTCTGTTCGCCCATGGGTCGCAGCCCGTTGTGCGTGCTTCCCAGTTGGCCGCGAAATTTTGGAGGTCGCATTTTCGCGGCTTGTTTTCGGTGGCCTTTTCGCGAGCGTTTCGCAGCAAGGTTGGGTATCCACCCAGTTTCCCGAGTCGCATGGGAAAACTTGGTGCCGATGGGAAAACTTGGTCGTCGGCCCAACTTCAGAATTCGCTGTAAGATGACACAGCAGCGGTAGCGGGACGGGGGGAGAGGGGAAGGCCTCGGTGCTGCGCACGCGTTGCCTGAGGTACAGAAACGAGATGCAGAGGGCAAAGGCGACTGGTTCCCACACAGCTCACACCTCAAAGCTCACCTCCTGGCAGTTTTTGAAACGCCGGAACGAATACCACGCTAGCCAGCAGCAGCCACAGCACATCGTAAAGAGATGCTTCCTCCTCATTCGGCTCGTGCTTGGGCATCCTCTCCACCATCTCCCGCACTCTCCTCCCCGCCTTCGCCACCTCAGCCACCAGCGGCCGCACCGCCCTCTGCTCCACCTCCATAACCGCCACTGTCACGGGCGGCATGTGCTGTCCCTTCTGCGCCGCCCGGTTCTCCATGCGCGCGTTCAGCGCCACGCAGCCCATCAGGAGGACGACAAACGCGAGCACGGCCTTGGGGAGGTGCCTTCTGAGGGAGGCGAGGAGGCGGGGGAGGGAGGACTGGAGCCAGGCGAGGGGGGAGGCGGCGGTGCCGGTGTCGTCTGGGGCAGAGAAGAAGGATGCGGAGAAGAAGCGGGAGGATTTCTTGGGCTTAGAGGAGGAAGAGGGTTTGGGCAGCGGAGCAGAGGCTGCTGCTGCTGCCGTGACTGGATCCAGCTCAAGCTGCCCTTCTAACTCCACCTCTGCCCCACTCTCGCCCCTTGCTCCATCTGCCACCACCGCCCCTGCCTTGTCCAATCCCAGGCTGCCACGTGCCACCCCATTTCCCTCCCCAGGCACCTTTCCTGCAGGGGCAACAGAAGCACCGCCTGATGTTATGCCTGGTGCACTGGTAGCCGCACCCTTCACCCCCACATTGCTCGCAGCAGCAGCAGCAGCAGGAGCCGCTAACTCCCCTGCGGACCGCCCTTCCTTCCCCGTCTCCCCACCACCACTCTGCACCGCTCCCTTCCCCACCCCAACCGCGCTCTCTCCCTTCGCTGCCTTCTCCTTGCTCTTCTCCTTCTTCCTGCCCCCATCCGCGCCCACACCCACCTCAGGTGCCCCTGCTCCCGCTCCTGCCTCCACTGTACCGCCTATCTTTCCACCTGACCCACCTGCTCCCACCCCACCAGCTGTAGCAGCTGTAGTAGCAGCGGCATCAGCTGCAGCAGGAGTGCCACGTGGCAGCATCTGCTTGGCTGCTGCCTTCCCCTCTTTCACTGTAGACGCCAGCGCAGCGGATGCCCGAGCCACCTCATTGGCCAGCAGGGCCTCCTTCTCCACCGTCAGCAGCGCCGCCTTTTCCCTTGCCTACAAACAAGGGGTTTAGGGATTTAACGACAAGGAAATATGGGATGTAGTGCCAAGACGAGTATGCTGCCGCAAAAACCTGCGAATCACTCTACCTCGTCGTTTATGCCTCCCCAATTTCCGTCCGTCCTCCACATTACCCCCCCCCTAATCAAATCATACCTTGGCGATATCTTTGCTCAGTTTCTCCGCCCGGCTGACCGCCTTGCTCGCGTCCGACACACGCCTGTTCGCCCCTACGGCAAGAGTGTGCCTTAAATCTTCACCCCCTCCCTTTCCAAACTCCCTCCACCTTCCCCCCCGCCCCCCCCCTTCCCCCCAGATACGTACCTTGGCGATGTCTTTACTCAGTTTCTCCGCCCGGCTGACCGCCTTGCTCGCGTCCGACACGCGCCTGTTCGCCTCCACCTCACTCGCCACCGCCTCTTCCGCCGCCGCCATGCTCGCCGCCGCGCGCTCCTCCGCCTCCTGCGCCTTCCCCCGCGCCTCCCCCGCGCGCTCCGCCAGCTCCGCCGCCTGCCGCAGCAGCCGCTCTTTGCGCGCCAGCACCAGCGTCAGCGCGTCTCTCCGCGCGCGCAGCTCCTCTCCGCGCGCCCGCAACAGCTCCTGCGCCTCTTTCACCGCCGCCTTCAGCGCGGCTACCCTTTCTGCGGACGCGTTTTCCGCGGAAGGCTTCCCCCCGCCGCCTTCCGCCTCAGATCTCCCCTCTTCCCCCTCTCTACTAACGAATTCTAGCAGCGCAGCGCGCAACTCCGCTTCCGCCGCCGCCGCCGCCTCCTCTTGCGCAACGAACGCCGCGTCGGCGGCATTCAGCGCCTTCTGCGCCGCCACCTCGACTGCCAGCTCAGCTTCCACGTCACGCAGCACCTCATCCACCGCGTTTTCCGCCGCAACAGCCGCGTCTTTGAACTCGATCGCGCGCTCCGCGACGCGCTGCGCCTCGACCTCCGCCGCTAGAGACCGATCCCGCGCCGCGGCTAGCTCACCCTCCGCCACTTCCAGCAGATCGCGCAGCGAATTGAGAGGCGACTCCGAGTCCCGCACGCTGCTGGCAACGGCAAAGGCGGAGACGGCGGCGGCGGAGGCAGCGGCGGCGGTGGCGGCGGTGGCGGCGGCATCGAGGGTAGAGAACGGCACCTGGGGATTGCCGTCACCGGCTGTGATAGCCTCTACGCTCGCTTCCGCTGGTCCTTCCCCCGCTGCGCTTCCCGCTACAGCCTTCTCCGAAAGCCCTTCCCCGCTGGTTGTTCCGACTGCTCCCGCCAGCTCGCTTCCCTCATTATCGGACGGATCGGACGAGAAGACTTGCCATTCGCTGCCGCCACCCGCCGCCGACAGCCTATGCGTTACCGGGTTACCACACGAGCGACCGGGATAGAGGCCGTGTCTGGAATCGACAGATCTGGACGAAAAGGCTACGGTTTTCGCGATCGAGTGGCTCTGCGGGAAGCCCGAGGGGATCCTGCCGCCAATGCCGCGCCGGGATTGGCTCTTCGCGTGGCCGTCCACGCACGACGCGATCGGAGATCCTACGGTTGCTGACGTGGAATTACTAAAGGCCTTCAGTGCTGACGGTGTTACCGCACCGCTCGCCATGGCTGGGAAGCGAGTCGCGGCTTGCCGCAAGCCTCACGACGGCAGCAGCAGCTGAAGGTTGGGGTGGGAAAATTAGTCCATCTTTGGGGCCTGGGAGGGACCTAGAAAATGGAGGAATTCGGAAAATCGGAAGTGGATATTTCTGTTGCGCCTAAGCAAAATAATCCACGCTGGAGGGAGTAAAGCTGAGGTGGACGAGGATATGAGGCTGTGTTCCATTCTGGGGGTCGCGTTGTCAGATCGAGTGAAGGCGGGAGTGTGATCAGCTCTCACGTCCGCCATTGTAGCTTCCTCGAGTGGAGGGGGATACCTGAAGCAAGGCCTTGTATATGTGATGCACTTAACCTACACTCGGAAGGTGCAATATAGCAAATCACTAAAGCTCGAGCTCTCCCTCCCTCCCACAATCCTACCCCTCTTTGCTTTCCTGGCCCACCTGACCATCAGAAGCTCCAGCTTCCTCTAAGCAAATTCGCCGTCAGAGGGAAAGCTTACAGCAATGGAAGCATTTCGATCGGAGAAATTGCCATTGATCCATAAAACACGAGAGAAATCCTACTCCACTGAACATTTCAGACTACCACATCCCACTTCCCTAGTCCTCTAGGGTAACATCACTACCATATCCCCCACTTATCTCACTACCATACTCATAATCCTGGTACCCATCCACCGCCCAAGGAACCACCGCCTCTAGTAACCTATCCCCTATGCTCACATACTCCTGCACACGTGGCCGCTCCCCCCAAGCCCTAATCTGCGGCGGGGGAGCCCTCTCAATAACATCCGGAAAGTCCGTGCCGCACCGCAACCGCGTTCTCCCCCGCCCGCGGAAGAGCACAAAGGCAGCCACGCCGATTGTCGCGCCGGCGATCAGCCGCCAGAACCCCGAGACCGGCGGCGGAACGCCGCGGTGGCGCGGACACCGCTGCCGCGCGCGCGGAGACGATTGCCGCGGGCTCGGCGGACTTTGCTGATGGCAGCGGGGAAGATCGCGGAAGGGGGACTGGTCGTGAGAACCTGTTCCGGCGATGGACCGATAATCCGACGAGGGGTCCGGCAGACGCTCTAACGGAGACTCTAGCTGGTTCCTCTCAGCCTGGGGGGGTCGCAAGGATGAGGCAGGTACGGAATCGACAGGCTCGGAACTGACAGGTTCGGAACTAACTAGGTCGGGATCTAAAGGCTCAAGAGACCCCTCTAGCGGGAACTTCAGCTGGTCGCTCTCGGGGATTCGCGCGGAGGAGACAGGCTCGGAACTGACACTACTAGGATCTAACGGCGCAGCCGATTGGTTCACGCATGTGCCGTGCGCATTCCGCCTCCCCTGCTCTTCCTCAAGGCTATCTCTATGCCTAGGTTTCGCGTGGCAGTTAGTACTCTGGTCTAAGAAAACGGAAGCACAAGCTGCCGCATTAGATGCTGCAGCAGAAGGGATGGCGTGGAGGTCTCGAGCACAGCACGAGGTTGAAGGCTGCCTGTCGGTCGAAACAGGTGAATCGTAACGCATTGGGTCGAGCTCTGCGGTGGATCCGGCGGAAAGATCGCGCAGCGCGGGAGCCATGACTGACTGCTTGTCTCAAAGACTCGAAATTGCAGCTTCAGCAGAAATGCTAGGTTATTGCTAGCGGCAAGTGTGATCTGAACTAAGGGGAGTGAGTTTGATAGATGAGGGGAGAGCGGCGGGGAAAAGCTGCTTCTGCCTTCCGCCTTTCACTGTGAAGGGGGGAATGGCGCGGGTAACAAGGCTTCCAGCAAACCCCCCTGAGCGCACCCACCAGGATGCGGGATTCCCAAGGGTATTCTGTGGTTCTCATGCCGTGTGCCGCGTGTCAGGAATCAGGTTGGAGGGACATCATGTGATAGAGAAACGCTTTATATCACATTATTGTAAGTTTTTTGAACAAAAACATATATATTGTACCAATTCGCCATATTTATTAACACAAAGTATACCACACGCCTTTCCCCCAAGAGTACTGAACCAATCAAATATGTGGTGGCGCATGCTAGGGGAAAAGCAGCTAACCACGCAAGTTATACATTTGTAACAGATCCCACATCCATACGTCTCTTCATCCATCCTGCATGCGAGCATGCCCCAGGCAATGATTTCACCATGAGTGCGCCATGTTAGTTATTCAGCCAAGGATGCACATTCTGCCCCATCCAACATGGTCTCCCCCGTTCTTCCACATCCCACCCTATCTCACCCATTCTTTCCCCCCCTACCCTACCATATGTCATCTATTCTGCACTGCACCATTTCACCCACTTTTCCCAATCATACCCCATTTCAACCGTTCTTTCTCCTTCCTCCCTTATCTCGCCCTTTCTGCCTCACCCTACCCAATCTCTATCATTCTGCCCCATCCCACCCTCTCTCACCCACTTTTCACCAACATCTCTACTCTCACCGATTCCTCAAAATCCCACCCAGCATGTCCCATCTGGCCCTACCTAGCTCACCCTACCTCATCCCAACATGTCTAGCCCTTTCTGCCCCATCCCCCCTCATCTCACCAATTCTTTCCCATCCAACCCTATCTCACCCAATCTTTCGCATTCTACCCTAGTCTCATCCATTCTGCCCCATCCCACCATCTTACCCAATCTGCCCCATCCCACCATCTTTCCCACTCTGCCCGATCCCAACATCTCACCCAATCTGCCACATCCCACCATCGTACCCATTTTGCCCCATCCCACCATCTTACCCATTCTGCCCCATCCCACCATCTTACCCATTTTGCCCCATCCCACCATCTTACCCATTCTGCCCCATCCCACCATCTTACCCATTCTGCCCCATTCCACCATCTTACCCAATCTGCCCCATCCCACTAATTCTACGTTATCATACCCTATCACACCAGTTCTGCCCCATCTTACCTACCCCATCGAACCCACCCCACCTTATCATTCCCATTCTGCCCCATCCCACCATCTCACCCATTCTGCCCCATCCCGCCATCTCACCCATTCTGCCCCATCCCGCCATCTCACCCATTCTGCCCCATCCCACCATCTCACCCATTCTGCCCCATCCCACCATCTCACCCATTCTGCCCCATCCCACCATCTCACCCATTCTGCCCCATCCCACCATCTCACCCATTCTGCCCCATCCCACCATCTTACCCACTCTGCCCGATCCCAACATCTCACCCAATCTGCCACATCCCACCATCGTACCCATTTTGCCCCATCCCACCATCTTACCCATTCTGCCCCATCCCACCATCTTACCCATTTTGCCCCATCCCACCATCTTACCCATTCTGCCCCATCCCACCATCTCACCCATTCTGCCCCATCCCGCCATCTCACCCATTCTGCCCCATCCCGCCATCTCACCCATTCTGCCCCATCCCACCATCTCACCCATTCTGCCCCATACCACCATCTCACCCATGCTGCCCCATCCCACCATCTCACCCATTCTGCCCCATCCCACCATCTCACCCATTCTGCCCCATCCCACCATCTCATCCATTCTGCCCCATCCCACCATCTCACCCATTCTGCCCCATCCCACCATCTCACCCATTCTGCCCCATCCCACCATCTCACCCATTCTGCCCCATCCCACCATCTCACCCATTCTGCCCCTTCCCACCCAAATTTCCCCTCATACCCTATCTCAGCGGTTCTGCCCCATCCCACCCTGCCTCATCCACTCTTCCCCATCCTGCCCCATCGCACCCATTCAAATCCATCCCACGCTATCCCACCATTCTACCCCAACCCACCCAATCTTACACGTCCTTTCCCATCCCAGCCCATCTCCCCCAATCTTCCCCATCCCACCCTATCTCACCCTCACTGCCCCATGCCATCCTATCTCGGCCATTCTGCCCCATCCCATCCCATCTCACCCCTTTTGCCCCATCTCACCTTTCTTCCTCATCCAACCCTATCTCACCGTTTCTACCCCACCTCACCCATTTTTCACCATCCTACCCTACATCGCTCCCATACTGCCGCATCCCAACCCATCTCACCCTTCCAGCATGATCCTACCCTACATCACCCATTCTTCACCATTCTACCCTATCTCACCCCTTCTTCCCCATCCCACCCTGTCTCACCCTTTCTGACCCATCCTCCCTCATCTCACCCTATCCTCCCCTTCTTCCCCATCCCACCCTATCTCACCCACTCTTCCTAGTCCCAATTGGTCTCACCCACTTTTCACCACAATACCTTGTCTCACCCATTCCTCCCCATCCCACCCACCCCATCTCACTCAATCTTACCCATCCCAACCCACCTCACCCATTCGCGCCATCCTACCCCATCTCACCCTTTTCCCCCCATCCCAAACTCAACCCTTCTGCCTCATCCCACCCTATCTCAATCTACTCTTAGTCACCCTTACTCCCCCATTCCCACCAATATCACCTATCCTAACCTATCTTACAAAATCTCACCCATTCTTACCCATCCCACCCTATCCCACTCAGTCTTCTCCATCCCGCCCTATCTCCTCCTATCTTCCCCATCCCATGGCCAACCTTACTCCCCCATCCCAACCCATCTCACCCATTCTACCGTACCTCATCCATTCTACCCTACCTCACCCATTCTGCTCATCCCAACCCATCTCACGCATCCTCACCTATCATCCCCTATCCCACCCATCCTCACCTATCATCCCCTATCTCACCCATCCTCACCTTTCATCCCCTATCTCACCCATCCGTACCTATCATCCCCTATCTCACCCATCCTTACGCATCCTACCCAAACTGACCCACTCTTTCCATCCTACCCTATCTCACCCCGTTTGCTCCTTCCTACTTATCTCACCCATCCTTCCCTCGCCAACACCACCACCATCCCTAAACCACCTCACCAAACAACCCATTCTATCCTGTCTTCCCCGTCCCATGCCCACCCTTATTCCCCCATCCCAATCCCATCCTTCCCCATCCCACCCTATCTCACCATTCCCCAACCACCACAACCACCACATCCCACTTAACCCCCCAAACCACTTTCCCAGCGGAAGGAGCAGCACGCAGCCCACTCCCTGTCGGAAACAACACCCAGAGTGGCTCTGCCTCGCAGTGAGAGGTGTGGCAAGGGGAAAAGCACGAACTGGCCCAAGACTCAAATCCACCTCCTGGCGTAGCATGAGCTTGCCCGAATCAGAGCCGGCCGGCACGGCTCTGACAGGGCCTATTGTGCTTTAACGCGCAGGTTCGTTACTTGAGCACCGACTGCCGTCGCCGCACTAGTTCCCCAGCCACACCCCCACCAACAAGGACACAAACCACCAAGGGTGCTGCCCCTAGGGAAGTGTCCTGCATGCATGCTCCCATGCTCCCCCCCTCCCTCCTTCACCCCCCCACACATTCTTACCTATACCTACCAGAGCCGAGCGGAGCACTTTAGTGACAAAGGCTGCTGGGAAGGGAGGGGGAGTGGTTAGTGTGCGACGCCGTTCTGCTGCCAGCCCCTGCTCCGTTTCTCTGATCTCTGGGAGGGGGACAGGAAGAAGGGAAGAAGGGGGATGAGGCTGAGTGCTGCCCTTACAGCTCGCCTTCCTCTTGCTCCAAGAATCCAGCACCATAAGAAGCTGCGGACATAAGGGGGAAGAGGAGAAAGATGAGTCACCATGCACATACCGTACCGAACCTTACCAAACCTGATACTCACTGTACCACATACCTAACCTCACTCGGGCCTAGGAATCCTGCCCGTTAGCTAGCTATCCTGCCCCCGCTACAGCTGCTGGTGCAAGCTGCTGCTGTCTTGAAAGTGCGCAGCTGCTGCTGAGTGAACTGCAAGGGGGTCAAGGGGGGTTAGAGGGTGGGAGGTGGCGGGGAAAAAGTGGCTGCAGGGAAGAAAAACGGAGGGGATACAAGAAGGCAGAGAGCTCAAGTGCATAAAGCAGAGAGTTTAAAGTGAAAAAAGCGCACAAGAAACTGAGAATGCAGGGGCGAGCAAGGGAAGGGGGCAAAGGGAACTAGGAGCAGAGTAACTTAGCTGGAATCAGACGTGTGGCAGCATTGGTGAGGTGGAGCAGCAGACTCTACTATGGCCAAGTGGTGTTGACGCCAACCGAGTTGCCACGGAGCCAACCGAGTTGCCATGGAGCCAACCGAGTTGGCATGGAGCCAACCGAGTTGCCATCGAGCCAACCGCGTTGCCATGGATCCAACCGAGTTGCTATGGAGCCAACCGAGTTGCCATGGAGCCAAAACAGTTGCCATGGAGCCAACACAGTTGCCATGGAGCCAACACAGTTGCTATGGAGCCAACACAGTTGCCATGGAGCCAACACAGTTGCCATGGAGCCAACCGAGTTGCCATCGAGCCAACCGAGTTGCCATCGAGCCAACCGAGTTGCCATGGATCCAACCGAGTTGCTATGGAGCCAACCGAGTTGCCATGCAGCCAACACAGTTGCCGTGGAGCCAACACAGCTGCCATGGAGCCAACACAGCTGCCATGGAGCCAACCGAGTTGCCATGGAGCCAACACAGTTGCCATGGAGCCAACACAGTTGCCATGGAGCCAACCGAGTTGCCATGGAGGCAACCGAGTTGCCATCGAGCCAACCGAGTTGCCATGGAGCCAACCGAGCTGCCATGGAGCCAACCGAGTTGCCATGGAGCCAACACAGTTGCCATGGAGCCAACACAGTTGCCATGGAGCCAACTGAGTTGCCATGGAGCCAACCGATTTGCCATGGAGCCAACAGAATTGCCATGGATTCAACACAGTTGCCATGGAGCCAACACAGTTGCCATGGAGCCGACCGAGTTGCCATGGAGCCAACCGAGTTGCCATGGAGCCAACACAGCTGGCATGGAGCAAACACAGTTGCCATGGAGCCAACACAGCTGCCATGGAGCCAACACAGCTGCCATGGAGCCAACACAGCTGCCATGGAGCCAACACAGTTGCCATGGAGCCAACACAGTTGCCATGGAGCCAACACAGTTGCCATGGAGCCAACACAGTTGCCATGGAGCCAACACAGTTGCCATGGAGCCAACCGAGTTGCCATGGAGCCAACCGAGTTGCCATCGAGCCAACCGAGTTGCCATCGAGCCAACCGAGTTGCCATCGAGCCAACCGAGTTGCCATCGAGCGAACCGAGTTGCCATGGATCCAACCGAGTTGCTATGGAGCCAACCGAGTTGCCATAGCGCCAACACAGTTGCCATGGAGCCAACCGAGTTGCCATGGAGCCAACCGAGTTGCCATGGAGCCAACAGAATTGCCATAGAGCCAACACAGTTGCCATGGAGCCAACACAGTTGCCATGGAGCCAACAAAGTTGCCATGGAGCCAACCGAGTTGCCATGGAGCCAACACAGCTGCCATGGAGCCAACACAGTTGCCATGGAGCCAACACAGCTACCATGGAGCCAACACAGCTGCCATGGAGCCAACCGAGTTGCCATGGAGCCAACTGAGTTGCCATGGAGCCAACCGAGTTGCCATGAAGCCAACACAGCTGCCATGGAGCAAACACAGTTGCCATGGAGCCAACACAGCTGCCATGGAGCCAACACAGCTGCCTTGGAGCCAACCGAGTTGCCATGGAGCCAACTGAGTTGCCATGGAGCCAACCGAGTTGCCATGGAGCCAACCGAGTTGCCATGGAGCCAACCGAGTTGCCATGGAGCCAACAGAATTGCCATAGAGCCAACACAGTTGCCATGGAGCCAACACAGTTGCCATGGAGCCAACAAAGTTGCCATGGAGCCAACCGAGTTGCCATGGAGCCAACCGAGTTGCCATGGAGCCAACACAGCTGCCATGGAGCCAACACAGTTGCCATGGAGCCAACACAGCTACCATGGAGCCAACACAGCTGCCATGGAGCCAACCGAGTTGCCATGGAGCCAACTGAGTTGCCATGGAGCCAACCGAGTTGCCATGAAGCCAACACAGCTGCCATGGAGCAAACACAGTTGCCATGGAGCCAACACAGCTGCCATGGAGCCAACACAGCTGCCTTGGAGCCAACCGAGTTGCCATGGAGCCAACTGAGTTGCCATGGAGCCAACCGAGTTGCCATGGAGCCAACCGAGCTGCCATGGAGCCAACCGAGTTGCCATGGAGCCAACACAGTTGCCATGGAGCCAACACAGTTGCCATGGAGCCAACTGAGTTGCCATGGAGCCAACCGATTTGCCATGGAGCCAACAGAATTGCCATGGATTCAACACAGTTGCCATGGAGCCAACACAGTTGCCATGGAGCCGACCGAGTTGCCATGGAGCCAACCGAGTTGCCATGGAGCCAACACAGCTGGCATGGAGCAAACACAGTTGCCATGGAGCCAACACAGCTGCCATGGAGCCAACACAGCTGCCATGGAGCCAACACAGCTGCCATGGAGCCAACACAGTTGCCATGGAGCCAACACAGTTGCCATGGAGCCAACACAGTTGCCATGGAGCCAACACAGTTGCCATGGAGCCAACCGAGTTGCCATGGAGCCAACCGAGTTGACATCGAGCCAACCGAGTTGCCATCGAGCCAACCGAGTTGCCATGGATCCAACCGAGTTGCTATGGAGCCAACCGAGTTGCCTAGAGCCAACATAGTTGCCATGGAGCCAACCGAGTTGCCATGGAGCCAACAGAATTGCCATAGAGCCAACACAGTTGCCATGGAGCCAACACAGTTGCCATGGAGCCAACAAAGTTGCCATGGAGCCAACCGAGTTGCCATGGAGCCAACCGAGTTGCCATGAAGCCAACACAGCTGCCATGGAGCCAACACAATTGCCATGGAGCCAACACAGCTGCCATGGAGCCAACACAGCTGCCATGGAGCCAACCGAGTTGCCATGGAGCCAACTGAGTTGCCATGGAGCCAACACAGCTGCCATGGAGCCAACACAGCTGCCATGGAGCCAACCGAGTTGCCATGGAGCCAACTGAGTTGCCATGGAGCCAACACAGCTGCCATGGAGCCAACACAGCTGCCATGGAGCCAACACAGTTGCCATGGAGCCAACACAGCTGCTATGGAGCCAACACAGCTGCCATGGAGCCAACCGAGTTGCCATGGAGCCAACTGAGTTGCCATGAGGCCAACCGAGTTGCCATGGAGCCAACCGAGTTGCCATGGAGCCAACACAGTTGCCATGGAGCCAACACAGTTGCCATGGAGCCAACACAGTTGCCATGGAGCCAACACAGCTGCCATGGAGCCAACACAGCTGCCATGGAGCCAACCGAGTTGCCATGGAGCCAACCGAGTTGCCATGGAGCCAACACAGCTGCCATGGAGCCAACACAGTTGCCATGGAGCCAACACAGCTGCCATGGAGCCAACACAGCTGCCATGGAGCCAACCGAGTTGCCATGGAGCCAACAGAATTGCCATGGAGCCAACACAGTTGCCATGGAGCCAACAAAGTTGCCATGGAGCCAACCGAGTTGCCATGGAGCCAACCGAGTTGCCATGGAGCCAAAACAGCTGCCATAGAGCCAACACAGTTGCCATGGAGCCAACACAGCTGCCATGGAGCCAACCGAGTTGCCATGGAGCCAACCGAGTTGCCATGGAGCCAACCGAGTTGCCATGGAGCCAACACAGCTGCCATGGAGCCAACACAGTTGCCATGGAGCCAACACAGCTGCCATGGAGCCAACACAGCTGCCATGGAGCCAACACAGCTGCCATGGAGCCAACACAGTTGCCAAGGAGCCAACACAGCTGCCATGGAGCCAACACAGTTGCCATGGAGCCAACACAGCTGCCACGGAGCCAACACAGCTGCCATGGAGCCAACCGAGTTGCCATGGAGCCAACACAGCTGCCATGGAGCTAACGCAGTTGCCATGGAGCCAACACAGTTGCCACGGAGCCAACACAGTTGCCATGGAGCCAACAAAGTTGCCATGGAGCCAACCGAGTTGCCATGGAGCCAACCGAGTTGCCATGGAGCTAACACAGCTGCCATGGAGCCGACACAGTTGCCATGGAGCCAACACAGCTGCCATGGAGCCAACACAGCTGCCATGAATCCAACCGAGTTGCCATGGAGCCAACTGAGTTGCCATGGAGCCAACCGAGTTGCCATGGAGCCAACCAATCTGCCTTGGAGCCAACCGAGTGGCCATTGGTGCAAGCACTGCTGCCATTCGCAGCCAAGAGACCTGCAGGGAGGGAGGGGAAGGCATACAAGGACGAAGTGAGTGGAAGGGAGCAAGGTGCAAAGAAAACAGATGCAGAAGCGAAATGAGCGGAAGCGAGTGGAAGAAAGCAATAGGCTTACCTTCAGAGACCCAATACGCTTTCAATCCTCATCCACTGCAGAAGGTGGTGGTGCTCCTCTGCTCTGGCCACTTCCACAGTCTCCTATGCCTCCCGCTGCTGCCAAGTTACCTGCAGGGAGGGAAGGGTGGGGGGGAGGCAGACTAGGACGAAGTGAGTGCAGGGTAGTTGGGTACAAGGAAGACAGTTGCAGGTTCGAAATAAGCAGAAGCGAATGGAAGAAAATGGCAAAAATGGCTTACCTTCAAACAAGCTTTCAATACTGAACCACTGCAGAAGGAGGTGGTGCTCCTCTGCTGCGCCCACTGCCACAGTCCCCCATGCCCTGCTGCCAAGCAACCTGCAGGGAGGGAAGAGGGGGAGGGGCGTGGGGGGGTGGGGGGGACAAGGACGAAGTGAGTGCGAGGGAACAAGGTACAAGGAAGACAGATGCAGAGGCAAAATCAGCAGAACCGAATGGAAGAAAGTGAAGGGCTTGCCTTCCGAGACCCAAGACGCTTTCAATCCTCAACCACTGCAGATGCTGATGTTGTTCTTCCCCTGCCACAGTCCCACATTCCTCCTCGTGCTGCCAAGCAACCTGCAGGGAGGGAAGAGGTCGGAATTCGGGGGGGCAGGGGGAAGGACGAAGTGAGTGCAGGGAAGCAAGGTGCAAGGAAGACAGATGCAGAAGCGAAATTTGCAGAACCGAATGGAAGAAGGAGGCTTACCTTCTCAGACCCAACCTGCAATCAATACTCAACCACTGCTTTTGGTGCTGCAGTTCCTCTGCTTCTCCCGCTGCCGCAGCCCTCCATGCCACCCATGCTGCCAAGTGACCTGCAGGGGGGGAGGAGGGGGCAGACAAGCACGACATGAGTGCAGGGAAGCAAGGCGCATTGGAGGCACATCCAAAACCGAAATCAGCAGAGCCTGAGAAGGGAAAACAATGCTGAAGGCACGGGCTGCAATGACGTCACACCCGATGGTCTCTCCCACCTTGTACCATACCTTGGGCTGTACATACCTGGGGGGTGAATACCATACCAACGAACCTGCTACCTTAGGCTGAACCTGCTACCTGTTACCAAGGAGAGGTGATTGATCCCCTGGGTGTGTCCCCTTGCAGATAGCGCAGGGATGGGCTGATGGTGATACAAGCAGCGGGCAAAGAGCAGAACGAGAAGCAACTAGAGCAACAACTTGTGGAAAGTGGAGGGCAGGTAAGAACCTTGAGAGTGGAGTACTTAGCTTTAGAAGGGGTTGGTGCAGGGAAGGCTGCCTCTCTGCTTCACTTGCTGCCACAGTCCCCCGCTCCTCCCCATGCTGCCACGTGACCTGCAGGGAGGGCGGGGGAGGCAGAGAAGGACGAAGTGAGTCCAGGGAAGCAAGGTGCAAGGAAGTCAGATGCAGAAGCAAAGTCAGCAGGTACTGGAGAAGGGAACAAAATGCTGAAAGCACGGGCTGCAATGGCGACACACCCGAGGGTCTCTCCCACCATGTACCATACCTTGGGCTGTACATACCTGGGGGATGAATACCATACCAACAAACCTGCTACTGTAGGCTGAACCTGCCACCTGTTACCAGGGAGAGGTGGTTGATCCCCTGGGTGTGACTCCTTGCAGCAAGAAAACAGCACAGCAGGACAGAGCAGAACGAGAAGCAATCCGAGAAACCAAAGTCTTGCAAAAAGTGGGCAGGCGAGAACCTTGAGGGTAGAGTACTTAGCTTTGGAAGGGGAGTTGGTGCAGAGAGGGTTGGTGCAGAGAAGGCTCCCTTCCTGATTCACCCGATGCCACAGCCCCCCATGTCTCCCAATGCTGCCGCGTGATCTGCAGGGGGGCGATAAGCACCAAATGAGTCCAGGAAAGCAAGGTGCAAGGGAGGCAGGTGCAGGAGCGGAATCAACGGAACGTGATAAGGAAAAGGAATGCTGAAAGCACGGGCTGCAATGGCGACACACCAGAGGGTCTCTCCCACCTTGTACCATACCTCGGGGTGTACATACCTGGGGGATGAATACCATACCAACAAACCTGCTACCTTAGGCTGAACCTGCCACCTGCTACCAGGGAGAGGTGGTTGATCTCCCCTGGGTGTGTCCCCCGGAAGCTAGAGCATGGATGGGCACAAGAGAATGAAAGCAGGGAGCAAAGAGCACAGCGAGCAATGTCTTGCAGAAAGTGGAGGGAAGGTAAAGAACCTTGAGGGTGGAGCACTTAGCTGGTTGGTGCAGAGACAGTTGCTGAGATGATCCCGTTGGGTAGAGTGAGTGTAGCTCTCGCTCCTCCATTACTACAAGCATCCCACTTGCACTGCCTGATGCCGCCACTGCTGGCTGCCTCTGCTGCCACTACCCTTGCTGACTCTGCAGGGAGAGGAGGGGGGGGTTGTGGGGGTGGGGAAGGGACAGGCAGAGGCGAGGAGCAAAGTGGTGAGGGGAAAGGAATGATGGCAAGAATGAGATATTTTCAATTAAGGACAGAACTGCAGCAAAGAGAAAGGGGACAACGTAGCATGTGAATGGGGGGGTATAAGCGGAAATGGTTGGCGTGAGTGCTGGCGGGTGGGTATGGGGCCACTGCTGCAGCAGGAGTGGGCACAGGGCACAGACCAGAAGGGAGGGGGGGGGGGGGGGGGGGAGGGGAGGGGAGGGCTGTAGGGTTTCTAATAAGGGCTCTAAAGGCTTCACCTGGGGGGGGGGGGAAGGGGGGGGGGTGTGTGGGTACCTGGGGTTGTAGGGGCTGGTCTGCGCCCCATGCGCTGTGCTGCAACAAGTGGTGAGAATTGAAAGATAAGATGCAGGAAATGGGACGGGGTGCATGGTGTGACAAAGCATCTGTTATGCATGCGGGGCGAATGTGGAAGGCGCAAGGGTGAGAGGACACTTAGGCATTTGACTTTGAAGTGCAGAACCGTGTCATTTGACCGGGCTGTCACCGCTGCTACCAAGACTGCTGCTGCCACTGTTGCTTGCTGTCACGGTCATCCCACTCAGCACCGCCTGACACCGCTGCTGACGTCTCCACTGCAGCTACTGCTGCTGTAGTGTTGACCTGTGGGAGTGTGTTGCGCTCGCGGCTTGTAGGCCATGAACCCAGCACCAGCCAACACACACAAGAGCAAGTACGAGGCTGGTGGTTAGCAGGGCAGCAGGAGACACATGGACTCGATGTGCGGAATAGACAGACTCGATTAAGCCACGCGGCGCTAAGACGCTCTAGGCGTACTCTCCCCCCCCTCATACCCTTCCTCAGACGCACCTTGACGCCTTGCCATGATGTGCTGAGATAACGCTGCCCGTTGCGTGCTGCCACTAAAAACCATGCTGTCACTGTCGCCTTGCTGCCACTGCACACACAGAGTAGACCACCAGGCACGGCACGCTGGCACACCCACGCACAGCGTCGATGGCTTGGAGGCCGTGAGCGTTCAGCACACACCAGCACAAACCCACACCAAACACCACAAATATAAAAAGCGGGGGGGTTAGTAGGAGTTGGAAACGATGTAATGACTCAAAAACAAGAATTTCGACTCGAGACGCTCTGCATGGCGGCCTAAAGACATACTCGCCCCCCCAGAATGTTGTCCCTGGAACTTACCATGCAGCAGAGTTGACAGTTAAGGCAGCAGGAGTAGACATAGTTGTTGTAGCGAGGCAGAGACAGGGTTGATGAAGGAGACGCTCATGTAAATATTATTCTCGTCTCGTTGAAAGAAACTGCCCAGCAACAGCGAAATTGAGGTTAGCAAGTAAAAGTGGGACGACAATTACTGAAATTCGTCTGTAAGGAAACGTAGAGACGGTGTCAAGTTACTGACACACTCACCCATAAATTGCTGAATACGTCTGCAGCTGGATACGCCACCAAAAAAAACACTGACTGTTTGCTGTAATGAAACCGCGTAAAGAGAACCTGCACAGTGACGACGACGCAGGAGTTAGTGAGATTGACCACAAACAACGACGGACTGGAAATTCGTGGAAAAAACAACATACCCACCGAAAATCGCTGGACTGCAGAATGGCCGACGACTTGCTTGCAGCTTGGCGACGATATCAATAAAGCTAAGGTTTGTCAAAAGTTGTCAAGAGGACCACGAACGTTAAGGAGGCGACGTTTCATCGTTAAGTCATTACATCGTTTCCAACTGCAAAGGGTTAGTAGGAGTTGGAAACGATGTAATGACTCAACAACTGCACAGTAGCGAAGAAGAACACTTAGTCAACTTAGGGAAAAAAGAAGACGCCAGACGTTGACAAGATAAACGACTAACTCACCAAAATTCGGTGAACTGCGAACGATGAGATAGAGTGCAGTTTGGTGGATTTTGAATGCAGATCAGCGATGATCTCAATGCAGACCGTGCAGAATTAGCGCAGATTGAGGATAGTTTCTACGAAGAGCAGAGCGTGACGGCGAGCGAAACCAAAATTCAAGAGCTTCGCTAGCCGAAAGGAGGAGAATTATCTCTGTCGGAGAGAAACTGGGTTGAAAACGAGCAGAACGAGCCCCGGTTGGAGAGAAATTGGGTCGAAAACGGCTAAGGGAGTCTCGGGATGAGACCCACTTCCCCTTCGCAGTGCTCGTGGGTCTTCACGAACTGGATCTAACGGTTCTAAGACGATCATCTTTCCGGAGGTTGGTCGTAGATTAAATCTTAGCCATAGGTCGAAACTTCCAGCGTGTCACATGAGTTTGTGGTTCAGGAGAGATGGAATCTCCAGTCGGATGCAAACGTCACGTGTTCCCACAGCCGAAAAGCGGATAGAAAGGAATCCGACGTGTCCCAGGATTGTCCGTTCACGGAAGCGGGAACATTCGATTTGGAGGGGTACCCTGTAACTGTCAACCGTCGATCCGATGATCTTTCAGGCAAACCATCAAATCGTCAGTTCGACACGTGCCTCCCGAGACGCACCTATTCGAATTGCTAATGCTGGCCAATGTGAGCTCACCGAACCGTGGCCGCGGAAGAGAGCCGTTGTGATTGAAATTGGGTTGCCTGCCTGATGAGTCTGCTGAAGCTCTGACCTGAGCGAGCCTGTGTAGTGAAACACTGCTGCTAGGGTTCTGGACAGTTGTTCCCTGCTGACGAACTTTGGTGTAACTCTAGTGTTACTGGATCAAGTCCCAGGTATTGCAGTGTCTGATAAGTTGAGACCTGACTCACACCAATCAGTGCGCAAGAGAATCGCACGACGTGGCATTGCACCCTCCTCCCGAGAGATATTTGGTCACTGCCGAGCAGACCTCTCAATAACCTAGGGGTCACCCTGCAGAATCCGAGCTTGCCCGGGACCCAACTCGTCCAGGCTGGGTAGCCCTAAAACTTTTAACTGTTTTTGCAGGCCAGAGTTTCGACCAGCTCGGAATGTGCCACTCCGGACAATGACATGGGGAGCCATTTTTTATAGGGGTGGGAACTTTTACATTAGATTTTACAGGGTAAGTCCATCCCCTACTCAAAAATCAGCCGTGGGATGATTTCGGCTTGCCTGTCCATGGACGGGTATCGATATTCTGAATGCGTCAAAAGCAGAGCTATGTAGACAGTTTACCTTGTTTTCCTTGACAAAGCAGTATAATTACCCTGACTTCCGGAGGCCTGCTGCCGAGGTTTGGCTTTGGTCGCTTTTGGCTCTGGTCGCTTTTGCTCCTGTAGGCATCACCGTCCGTCGAGCCACCATCCCCCCTGAAATCCAAACCACACGACCAGCACATGAGCACCTGAACGGACCATCGTGCGCCGTCCGATTCCTGATTTATTAATGGCTAACTGACAGCTCAAATATGATGGGTCAGTCATTCGCAGCTGTACGCAGCTGTATCCGTGCTCTGGTCGCCCTACTTCCCATCTAGGCTCGGGACAGGCCTGATTCTTGCTTGCCGAACCCAGTGCAGGGATCATTTAGGACTAGACACGTCAGACTGGACCGTGCGTCTGTAAAACCAGGCCCCAGGTAAAACCAGTCACCGTTTCCTGTGGGTTGAATGTCATTGCATGGAATTGCAGTGTTCAGCGCGTGGTACATGGGTTGCACAACCCATCGAAGTTGCGCAACCCAGTCTGGTTACAGTAGTCACCAGAACTCGCATGGCGTGCGAAGGTTGGGTTGGGCTGAATTTGGTTGGGTTGAGTTGGGCTTCTCGCCAGTTGCGCAAACCGGGTTGCGGTTTCGAGAGAAAGCGCAACCCATGTACCACGCCCTCAGTTGAGCATTCGCACAGCCTCGAGTTCAGCTTGAAAGTGAAATAGCTCCCTCATCTTACAGATTGACGACCATCAGTCTGTTTCTTGAAGTTACAACTCTTAGTCATTCTCCCTATCCAGCTTCGTTCCTCCAAATCTAGAGCATGGATTTCTTCAACAAGGCAGCTTCCCTTGTTAGCAGTGCTACTGCTGCTGCTCCGGCTGCTGCTCCTGCTGCTGCTCCTGCTGCTGCTCCCGCTGCTGCCCCCGCTGCGGAAGTAAGAGCGTTTCTCTGGCGATCTAATTCTTGTTCTGGTTTTTGCACGCGTTCGCGTTTCTTAGAGCGCGCGGGTCGTTTAACGATAGACCCTGCTATTATTCGCAGGGCTTCAGTATCGCTGGCGTGTCGCTGCAGGATGCAGCTGGCTATGTCGAAAAGGCGAAAGCAGCGGCAGCCGTTGCACAATGTAACGAGGTCAGTACCGTTCACGTGAAATTAACCTCGCAAATCGAGTTCGCGTCCGCACCCTAAATCTCACTTGCCGTTGTCCCTGACCGTACGCAGACTGTGAAAAAGGCAGGTTTTGATGACGAAGCCAAGATGCTCGGGGATCTTCTCAGTAAAGCGGAGTCGGTAAGAAGCTCGATTCCACGTTTTGCTGGTTTAGTATCTGGATGGTAGTTCTCAGTCGGTGGCTTTCCTGGTGCAGATGCTTCCTGGCGCTACGCCTGCTCCTGCCCCTGCTGCTTCTCCTGCTGCTACTGCGCTTTCAGCTGTTACTGCTGCGGTTGCAGCTGTTGCGCCTGCAGCCGTTGCTGCTGCGGCGCCTGCAGCCACTGCTCCTGCTGCTGCTGCCCCTGAAGCTGCTGCTGCTCCTGCAGCCGCTGCTGCTCCCGCGGCTGCACCTGCAGCCGCCGCTGCCCCTGCTGCTGCCCCTGCTGCTGCTGCGCCCGCTGCTGCTGCGCCTGCAGCCGCTGCTCCCACTGCCCCTGCTTAATCTGAAGTGAGGTTCTAGAGGAATACCGGTACAAAGGGAGAACGAGTCAATCTATTCTTACTCCCCAGATCGTCAGCGAACTCATTCGAAATGTCATGTGATAGAGGCGGAAGTGTAGAGAAATGAGGGAATGAATCTTTACAAAAATTCAGCAGTCATTCCTGCAGGAAAGGGTGAGGTGTGCACACATGCTAATAATTGTTCCAGACGCAGCAGCCAGTGTTACATCAATTGCCAACTCCAGTGTTCACAGCTGAGTTTGACAGCGCCTAAAGCCAGCCAACTACAAAACAATTGCCCCCTATTCTAGATATGTAAAACTCTGATACTAAACAACTTCCGTCATTGCTGTTGTGATAAAATCGTACTTGAACATTTCAGTAAGTAGCACCAATAGATATTGTCGAGTTACATTTGTTAAAAACCTAGTCTAGGCTAGGAGCTAGTGAAGACCGCCATGAATGTGGCGGCGGGGTTTAGCTAGGAGAGTAGGCGAGAGTGTCGAGAGAAAAGAGAGATTGACTCGGAAGAGAGAGGAGTACAAGGAGGGGTTTGTACACTCTACAGAAAGGTTTAGTAACAACCTACCAAGCCTATATTAAAGTATAACGCATATAATTTTAACACACCCCCTAGGCTTGGTAGTGTCAAGCCCACTCACACCCCCACACCCACACACACCCACACCCCCTAACCTAGCACCCCCATTCCCTGCAGCAGCAGTGGCGGTTGACAGCGCGGTCGACCTCTCCACGGGCGGGGCGGCAACGTCAACGACGAGGGTGCGGTGGCGACGACGGCGGCGGCATCAATGACGATAGCAGCGGCGGCGGCGGCGTGCGGCGGCAAGTAAAGCCAGCGGCAACAGCGGCGGCGGCAGGGGCTTCGACAACAGCGGCGGCGGCGGCGGCGCTCGCCCCACTCGGCGACGTGACCAAACGCCGCGACGGTTGGACGGTCGGTGGGAGTCAGCCGTCGGCTGCGGCGAGGAACAGGACACAAGGGAAGAGGGGCGGGGCGTGGTCCAGCCTCACGCTGGAGGCTGGTGTGCGGGCGGCAGGTGTGGTGGCTGTTGGAAATATCTCAGAGGACTTAAGCGTTTCTGAAGTGTAACACTACACTCTAGGAAGATCACAACGGGTACGCGAGTCAACGGAGGTTACACGAGGGGGCGGACAAAGAACGCAAAGGGACTCGAAGGGTCGCAACTGGAGGTTGCGACTGACCGTTACAACAGCGCGGATGGTAACCGAAGCGACAATCGATAACCGCTCCTGCAACTGTATTCTACAACTGCTTTCTTATTTTCTATATATTGCTGTATGCTTGTTTCTTTAATCAATCACTTGTTCTCATATACTAGTACAAGGGTTCAACTACTCAACTTCCGCTGCACTACTCAAGTCTCAATCCTCAACTGGGACTTAGTCTCTGGAAAGATCCTAAGGGCTTTTCTCAGCCCAACATGGTATGAGAGCTGGTCAGAAACCAAACTCCCAGCAACTACGCTCTATCTACAATCAGCAATTCAACGACTTCATTGATTACAAGTCATGGACAGCAAGGGCAAGAAAATCTCTACGGGCTCACCCAGCACCCAAGACACTCAACCCGGCAACTCTGGATTGCACACTTCAAGACTGCAAACCGAGACCGGCGCTGCTCAAGAAACAACAGGAAGAGCACCGGAAATGGTGACCCCATCACCCTCTTCAAGCGTGGATCCGAACCTTATGGAAAGATTGTGACACGACCTCAGAGGAGTGTGCAGTGCAGTCGTCATAGCATATCATAGCTCCATAGTACAGCACACTAGATAGGGCAAATACATGGCAAGGGAACAAGGGTGAGCAGGCCATGCTAGTTATCAAAGCATGGGAGGGAAGGGTGGGCAAGTTGGAACAGAAAAATGCAAATGAGACTAGGTGGCAGGTCTGAAAGACCTGCCGATAGATGAAGGAGTTTGTCTCCTTTACAGCAAACTCCTCTTCTAGTCGAATCACAATCTGTAAATTTTTTACTACAAAAAAATTTCTCATATTGTGACACGACCTCAGAGGAGTGTGCAGTGCAGTCGTCATAGGTCAAACGAGACATCAAGTGGTAGGTCGTCGGCGGTGGCGCTCGAGGGTGGCCTGGTATTGATCGGTCGCGCTCGAGCGAGTAGGATCTTGTAGCGCGCGAGAAGCAGCCACTAGCTCGCGGTCAAGCTGAGTAATGTAAAGCTCCTTGGCTGTATCACTTCGCCAGCGACCTAGGGCCTTGAAAAGCCGGTCGGGGACTCCAATATCAACGGCGACCGTCGCAGCCGCCTTGCGGAAAGAATGGGTGCCCAGGAGGGCCGGGTTAAGGCCTACACGGGAGAAAGCATCTCGACACCAACCCCGAATGGCGGCGTACGAGGGAGAGCGATCTGAGGGGGAAGCTCGGGCACCCGGCTGAAATATACGAATAAGGGGGCCAAGGGTCCGCGGAGAATAGCCAGCCAGGAAGAGGAATTGTTGGACACGCGACACCGGACAGTGGCGGGCAGAAGAAGCAGCCACTGGGACCCAAACACCGGTGCCAGCTTGGTCGGTCTTCGAACGAGGGATGAACAACCACATGCAGTCCCGATCGAACTCGATCTGGTGCCACTGGAGGGAGACGAGATCAGAGAAACGAAGGAAGGCTGCGAACATGAGGAGGGGAATAAGGCCCCGCTGGAAGGTGGCCGGATCATGCGATGAGAAGTAGATGTCACAGATATCGTAAATCTTGGCTGGAGGAATGGGCTCCTTAGCTTGAGGTGGCTTGCCACAATGACGCATGGCATAATCCTTGACTTGCGAAGAAAAGGGGCCGCGAATCGGGGAGGGGTGGCCAACCAGCCAATGGGCGCAGGATATGGCGGAACACGCAGTGCGCACAGCTGAGACAGTAGCGCCGCGACGGACCGAGTGCAGCAGAAAGAGGGACGCTGTCAGGTCGGTGGCGGGAAGGAAGGGAAGTGAGTGCGCCAAACAGAAGGCTCGAAACTGTCGCCAGTAGGGTTCGTAAGTGCGAAGGGTAGACTTCGCCCGAAGATCAACGGTGAGTGTGAGAAGGTCCGACAATAATCGACCAATATATGAGCCTGCGCAGTGAAATAAATTGATACATTAGTTGAATGCAAAACGAAGCGCATACATCGGAGAGTTCGGAAGACCAGCACCGCTAAAGGCATGACGGTCACTGCCAACGCGTAAACAACTAGCACCAAGGGTAAGGCGAAGGGCCATAACGACCTCCGGGCCCCAAGTGGAGCCGTCCAAGCTTAGCAAAGGCCACCAAAAGGCACTGGGCCAATATGGGATCACGAGAGTGAGAGAAGTGCGCGAGCGACGGGCATGAGCTAGGACAGCCGGGATGAGGGTGGGTGGAGGAAAGGCGAAGCAATTCTCGTGGCCCCAATTGATAGAAAAAGCGTCTTGCGCAACCGCAGAGTGTGAGAACTCGAGGGAGCAGAAACGAGCGAGCTGCGCATTGGCAGGGGATGCGAACAAGTCGATAGTATGAGGCCCCCAATGCCTCTCAAGCAGCCGGAACCAAGGTCGTGTCAAGGAGTAGTCGTCGTGGAGCTCAATCTTGGACAGAGCGTCAGCCTCGGTATTCAGCGCACGGGGAATCCATTGGACCGTAAGACGGATCATATGGCGCACGCACAATTGAATAATCGCGCGGCATACGAAGGTAAGCTCGGGACGGCGAGAGCCTCCCTTCTGGAGGATGTAGTAGGCCGCCTGACTGTCGCTGCGGAGCAAGATGTGCGAACGTCGGATTTCGACAGAAAAGGCCGAAAGGGACCAAAAGATTCCGGCCAGCTCGCGAAGGGTACTGGACGAGCCCAAGAGGGCTAGAGGCAGCGGGGAGGAGAGCGAGCCGACACGACCATCCGGCGCTGAATAACAAGCCCCCCAAGCATGGTCGCTAGCATCCACGTACATGACCACGTCGTACAAATGCGGGTTGTGGAAGCGGGCGCCGTTGAAAACGTCGAACTGTGTAAGCCAAAATCGCAGTTCTTCAACAGACTCAGGGGTGAGGAGAATGGCCGCCCCCCATGAGTGGCATTCGGCGATCTGCGTAAGAAGGTGGTGGGAGAAAGCGCGCGCGACAGTGCCAAGCGCCAAGGACATGGAGGCCAACATGCCGGTGATGCGGGCAGCGCGGCGAACAGGGATGCGACGCCCGTTAGTGCCGAGTGTGCCTAATTCATCCAGCTCGGCAAAAAGCCGGTTGCGCCGATCCGCATCGACCGAGAAAGTGGTGGTGCGCGTGTCCAGCAAGAGGCCCAAGAACTTCAAAGATTGTGCCGGTGCGAGTTGTGATTTTTTGAAATTCACAACAAAGCCCGCGGCTGCGAGGTCGGCAATGATTATGGAGCGGTTGTGAAGAGCCTCCGCTCGAGTGGCACTGATGAATAGGATATCATCGACGTATGGAATAAGGCGGATGCCACGGCTACGCCAGCGTTTGGCGAGTTGCTTAATTAACTGGGTAAACACAAACGGCGCTGTAGCCAGCCCGAAAGGCAAAGAGAGGAATTGGTAGTCCTGCCCTTGCAAGGAGAATCCAAGAAACTGCCAGAAAGCGGGGTGAATGTCGACGTGGTGGTATCCAGATTTGAGATCGATCGTGAATAGCCAATCGCCTTCTTGCACCAAATCAGGAACGCGAGTAAGTCCTTCGTATCGAAAACGAGGTACTGAGAGGAATGAGTTGACATGCCGCAAATCCAGTATCAGTCTCTTTTTTGAGGGTTGGACAATCACGTTTAAGGGGCTAACGCATGTGAGGGTTGTGGAAGGAGGAACGACCCGAGCTGCGCCGGTGGCGAGAAGCTCGGCCACTGCGCCTACGGCGAAAGAGGTGAATTGCAAAGCACCGGCATGGTTCTTAGTACGAGACGGAGGGGGCTCAGAGGCAACCCATGGTAGGCGATATCCAGATGTAATCACCGATAGAATCAAGCGGCTGTCGCACCAGGCGGACCACCATGCAGCGCGGTCACGGAGGCGGCCTTGCATGCGGGTAATCTTGGTTGCGTCATCGGCATAGGCCGAAATGGTTCCGAGCTCTGGTAGGAGAGGGAACACAAATAGGGACGGTAGAGAATCAGGAAGGTACCTCATGTAGTTCCGAACGCAACGAATTTTTTTTTTTTTTTTTTTTTTTTTGGAAGGAAGGCAAACGCTAGATATAGGTGCCCGCTTGCTCGCTATTATTCGGCCACGTCATCCCTTAAGTGATAAACTATGGGTTGGGAATGTGAACTTGGCATTTTGGGCTGTAGTTGGTCGTCATATATTCCTTGTCGTGAACCAAA